CTCTCAAACGATTCGGCACTGTGCCATCTTCAGTGACGAACAGTTCCTTCCGTTTGAGCAATGTAAAAAACCCATTAATGAAGACGTACCCAATAAGTGACTCAATGCCGGTCCAGTGTTGAAGTTTACGTCGTAGCCTACTTTATCTACATCAAAAATATGTCTTTCACTGACAGTGAATAATAAAAATAGTATTTGTCTCATTTCGAGCTCAGCATTTTTACCATATCATCAACGAAGATATATTTTCACATTATCATTATCTTTCCATTTATTGTTTATTATTTATTATTGAAATTGATACCTAACCGAAGTTCATTCTAAAAACTCGTACCTTTCACACTTTCCTGCCAATATTTTGATCTGTTAAACACGTTCGGGTTCTAGCCACAAACCAGTGGAAATGGCGAGAAGCCGAAATAGACAAAACAATCTCGCCATACCAGAATGATCGGTTATGACTAAGCTGGTTATGAGAAAGCAGATTCATGAGGTACGAGGGCAGGCCTTAACAATATCACCTACCATAAAACTATGCTAATAATAATTTAAAAAAATGAGCACTGGTGAGACGTATCTAGCATGAACAAATACCAATCAATGCTGATGCCTTTTTTTGAAATTTTTAAAAAGACACGACTTATCAAATAACATACAGACAGGCCATGGAAGATGGCGAGAAACCGAAGCACCTCTTACAGACCAAAAAAAGCTAGGATAGGCTGACCAAAGTGATCAGAAACGACCATACTACAGGTACATGACCGTGCTGGCACCAAAAGAGTTTCACACAATTATTAATTAGTCGAGCTCACTGAGAGTTCTTAGCTCTCCAGAGAAAAATCTTCCATCTCAGTCTCACCGATCTCGTCTTAGACGATCAATATTCTTTCAATTGTGCCTGGTATAAAAATTTTAAAAAAATGTATTGCGAATAATATAGTACATAAAAAACACATTTATTGACGATTAGAGTTCAGCAGCTTGGGGAAGCGACTTAGGTATTACTAATTGCTTGTACCCACTCACTATTCGGACATGTCCTGTGTCATATGACGACTTTACTACCGCAGTGCTTGGCATGGCTTTAACTTAATTTTTTTCGTTTTGTCTGTTTCGGATTAACAATGATATTTCAATATGTAATTATTTACTAGCTGTTGGATTGATTGGAGTCGGTTTAAAGTACTGGGCGATAGGCGGCACTGATGGTGGCGCATGCCCTTTACCCTTGCTAAGTGCATTCAATTTTATTTTCTCTCAGCTTCTTTTATATATTTTCTTTTCGGGCTTATTTTCAATAAGTTGACTGTATTTGGATAAATATCCTTAAGGAAATATAAAGTTATTTATTAGATGTATTTGATTGAAAATTAACGTCCACTGAGAGAATAGATGCACGTCTACAGTCGGCGTTGATCGTTTGATCGATCGTGACTCTTCATGAGACTTTACATATTATTTTATGTTGGAACGATATAAACGCTTTGGAAAATAAGTGGTCACGAGGTTTCAATGAGTCGGCTTTAACAGGCTAAAAGGGATGAGGGGTTGAAGAACTGAGGGTGGCCGGAGGGTGAAGCATTCGCCCTTCTTCGCCCCCACCCTTGTGTCAAACCAACCCCTATGCCACCCCACCAGTGTTCGCTGGGGGCGGCATATCTGTGGTCCTTAGTTCAACCATGTCAGCCTCTTACAAAACCCAAGGTTTTCATCATCAGAGAAAATGCATCATGACCTAGTAAGCCGTTGAACTTATTCTGTACAACATAGATTTGGTTTTATAGCTGTCCGCCCATGCCCGTATAGAATTGTACTTGGGCATTTTAACTTTATTTATTTTATATTTTTCCCCATCGTTCCAGGGTACAAGCGTTTGCCCGGAAAAGTAGATTTGTTTCATTTTCTTTTTCTTCCTTTGTTACGGTTTACAGGTACCCCAATATTTTTTATTTCATACTATCCAAATTTCATATATAAAATTTTAAATTATAAATAAAATTTTCAATTTCCTTCATAAATATGGCAAAACCGTATTTCAATCTTACTTAATTTTTTTTTTAAATGAATACAATCAGTGTTTAAAAATGAGCCATAATCATGGCAAGCCCGATATGTCTTTTGGGCCAAAATAACATGCATATTTAACAAGTTTAAAAATACAACAAGAGTTTTCTCGGCTCGTAGTTAACAAAAGGTGGAAACAAATCAATATGATCATGTCAAATTGGCCAAGTTCCAAACTTGCTTTTGTCCGTTGTCTGTACCTTGTTATGTATACTGTATTGAATGTATGTAGGCCTCATCTTTCGGGATGGTAATATACCAAGGAGCACTTGCTCTATTAATTCATAATATTATAAAGTTTAAAATTGTTATAATAAGATCTGACATTCCATGAGGTTTGTACAGTTCATGAAGTTTCATTTATGTTCTAGGGGTGTTGGTATTTTTCTTACTTTATTAGATAATGATACATAATTATGCTTCTTGTATGTAACTGGTAAACCGAAACAGCCCGACAGTAGGGAATATGTTTGTGTTCTACCATCCAGGCTTATTCCATTATGAAAGAATTTTCAAAATGGAATCAGAACTTTCGGTGATTTCTACTTCCTTGTGCTGCGAGGTGCATGAGCTAAAGAGCATGTTTTGGCATCGTGCGCAGGCAAGCCGTGCTTTTTTGGACGGACTTCGACAATCTGCACAATTCTGCGCATGTACTCCTGGAAACGAAATCCGTCCACCTCTTTCTTCATTGCAACTCATGCCTTCGCCGGGTGTCCTGTGAAGTCGGGCCCTGCGAGATCCGATGCGCTTAACCACCCTCCCCCCGCCGGCATTCAAACTTACTTCGAACCGTCTCTCGATAAGACAATGTCGACAATACTTTGTCTTAGGTGCAATTCATCCGAATGCTGTAGGCATTTCAACGTCGGACCTTTGATGGCTCAACGGTCCTTAAGACGTGTAAGTAATTACTAAGACGACTCAGGACCTTTTTCCCTTACGAAGTCCACATAGAAAAATTTATTTTTAAAAAATTGAACAAATCTCGTTAGTACGTTCCAATAAGGTCGAACTTGCAACTTAAATTTTTCTCAAACGACTTTAGGTCTTCAGGTTCTTCATCCTTTGAAGGTACATAATAATCGGACAAACTGAATTTTTTGAATTTTTTTCTTCGTAATATGATATATCGGCTGGCGGATTTGTTATCCTATCAAGCTCTTGTAATCCGATAATAAGTAATTAGACGGGGCCGTTATTTAATTTATAGCAATGTATATCGGGTGTCGGGGTAAGTGCCAATATAAATAACTACTCCCTTATAAATGGTGATGAACAGTGACGTTTTCTTTGTAATTCCTGAATCTCCAGCGTTGGTCAACATTATGAAGACAATTTTTAAAATTTGTTTAAAAGACTAAATATCTTTCACATTTATACAAAATATGTTTGGATTATGACGAAATGAAGCTACTTAATATTCATAAATTCATCCAGAAGTCGTTAATGACAAATTGTCAGTCACTCACTCACTCTCACTCACTCTCTCTCTCTCTCTCTCTCTCTCTCACTCTCACTCTCTCTCCTCTCTCTCTCTCACTCTCTCTTTCTTTATCTCTCTCACTCTCATTCTTTATCTCTCTCTCACTCTTTCTTTATCCCGTTCGCACTCTCTTTATCTCTCGCACTTTCTCTCTCACTCTCTTTCTTTCTCTCTCTCTCTCCCTCCTTCCTCTCCTCTCCTCTCTCTCTCTCTCTCTCTTTCTCTCTCTCTCTCTCACTCACTCTCTCTCACTCACTCACTCACTCACTCACTCACTCACTCACTCTCTCTCTCTTTCTCTCTCTCTCTCTCTCTCTCTCTCTCTCTCTCTCTCTCTTTCCTTCCTTCCTTCCTTCCATCTCCTCTCTATCTTTATCTATCTATCTCTATATATCTAGTTAATCTAATTCTTCTCACTCATTCTTTTTTTTTCACCCTACTCTCTTTTATTCTCTCTCTCATATTTTCACTCTCTGTCTTTCTTCCTCTTACTCCCTCTCTTTTTTACTCTCCCTTTAACTTCCTATCTTGCCACTACCAATTTATCGCAAACACCCCCACACCAAACACATACACTTACATTTTTAGTGCTTAGAAATAGTTCCAATGTAACATTCTTTAACATAGAGCAAACCTCAAAATCGGTCTTCAGTGTTGCATATGACTAATATTTACAAAGATTTATTTGACATGGACTGACATATTTGGAACAAAGTCAACCATGGTCCTGATTGTAAATTATCCTTGGAGGAAAAAAAAACAACATATTGTACATTTATCAAGCAAGTTAGATTTGTACATTGTGTTTCTGTCCTAATCCATCTTTATTAGATTACATTTGTCAATGAAGCAGTTGTTTCACTGAATTCAACAGAGTGAGGTGATGGCGTCATGTCCTGTATGCAAAGAGACTTGTTTTATCTGTTTACTTCCTCATTGTTGCTAACATGTTGAAACATTTTCAGTTTTATTTTCCTCTCGGTTGTTTCTTTTAGAAATCTCATTGTACTAGTCAAATTATAATCATACAGCATAAATTTGGTTGGAGGAACATTTTTCCCTAATGTTAAGCTGTTGTTTTTAATCGTAAGAGTTCCAAACTTTTGATTTGAATTTAAAGTTTTCTACTTCTGACTTTCAATTCTTCTACACCCTGTATTGCCCTGTTTCATTGTTGTTATAAACTATTTTTAATAATGATTCTTCAGTTAATGTTTCTTTTTAGCACTTTTCTCCCTTAGTAAATACTTCTGAATATACTTATCTTACCTACAGTATAATTATAAGAGAACCGAGCTAAATAGTACTTAATTGTTTCACCTCACTCGCTACTTTTTTTTTTAAATTTAATTAAAATGGCATTTGTTATGAATCTGTTTATTTAGTTTTCTTTGTCTTTAATTTCCCTTGAAAATTCTTTGATTAATTTTGATTTTTGTTCTTCCAGCGAAGGACTGTATCAGAAATGGCGCTTCTACAATTACGAATATCCATTGTGGATAAAAATGTTACGAAAACGATGGGATTTGACATTTCGACGACCGTGTATGATGCCTGTCGAATGATCCGTGAGAAAGTCGATGAGGCCAATATGGGCGAACGTAAGTTTATATATATTAAGGACGTGACAATTTTTAAAGTAATGTATTCTTGGCATTTGAATGAATGTTTTGTTCAAAAAGCAACTATTTAATTATAAGACCTTTTCAATTTCAGCGAAAGATTATGGTCTCTTCCTAGCAGATGAGGATATAAAAAAAGGGTTTTGGCTTGAGCCTGGAAGGGATTTCGGGTACTACATGTTAAAAAAAGATGTAAATAAAGAAATATTACTGAAGTAATTTAATATTTGGTGTATACATTATTAATAACGTTTTAACAGGAACTCTTGGAATATAAGAGAAAGTTTAGAACACTGAAGGTAAGGATGTTGGATGGGACAGTAAAAACCATGCTTGTGGATGACAGCCAACCTGTATCAAAACTCATGGTTGTAATATGCACCAAACTAGGCAAGTTTTGAATTTTCTTTGATTAATTAACTTTAGATTGCTAATAATTAATGGTGGTTTTTAGGTATAACAAATTATGATGAATACAGCTTAGTATTTGAAACACCAGAAGATGAACTTGAGAATAAACCAAATTATGGGACGTTGACATTGAAAAGGAAAAAGGAAGAAAAAGAAAGAGATGCAAAAATGGACCAACTGAGGAAGAAAATTAAAACTGATGATGAAGGTTGTTTAATATTTAATTAATTTCAATTTCAATTAAGAAATCAAAAACTCTCGCTTTGTAGTGAACTGGGTCGACAATAGCCTGACATTAAGACAGCAAGGTATAGGCGAAGGTCAAACGGTTTTGTTAAGGAGGAAATTCTTTTTCTCTGATCAAAACATCGATTCTCGCGATCCCGTGCAGCTGAACCTTCTTTACGTTCAAGCAAGAGATGCTATCATCAATTCTACTCATCCGGTCACTCAACAGTTAGCTTGTGAATTTGCAGGGATACAGTGTCACATTCAGTTCGGAAGCTATAATGAATCAAAACATAAGCCTCCATTCCTTGAGTAAGCATATTTAAAATTTGTATAAAATCATTTGTACATGATCAATTTTATTTTTTTCCCCCAGTCTGAAAGAATTTTTGCCACAGTCATACATTAAAGTGAAAGGCATTGAAAAGAAAATCTTCCAAGAACATGCCAAACATATCGGATCATCAGAACTAGATGCTAAAGTTCTTTATACAAAGAATGCTAGGTCATTACCAACCTATGGGGTTACATTTTTTCTTGTAAAGGTAAGTCTGCAGAGCAAAATCTATTGTAAATGTGCATTAAAACAAAATATTACAGGAATTAAGGTATAATAAAACAATTTAATAAAAATTAAGATCAACATATTTTGATTTTTTCGTAAATGACTTTTTTTAATTTTTATTTTCTTTTTAGGAAAAGATGAAAGGAAAAAACAAATTGGTCCCACGTCTCCTTGGTGTTACAAAGGATTCTGTCCTCCGATTGGATGAATACACAAAAGAAATTATGAAAACATATCCGTTGACTACGGTTCGTAGGTGGTGTGCCTCTCCGAACACGTTCACACTCGACTTTGGGGATTATTCTGATAACTATTACTCAGTACAGACAACTGAGGGGGAGCAAATCGTCCAGTTGATCTCAGGATATATAGATATCATTTTGAAAAAGGTAAGTCAGCCTATTTGTAACTGCTGACAATTTGAAAAAACTATTTAAAACCATAATGACATAAAAAGATTAATTGTTTGGGGGCATCGGTGGCTGCAACGATTTAGGCGTATCACTGTAAGGTGAAGGTCCCGGGATCAAATCCAGTGGCCCTGCATTTAAACCCGACATACTTACAAATGATTTTTTTCCCCTCCAAAAAATACCGGTACTCCAAGTGTTCATATAATCAGATAGTTGAAATACCCTTAAAAAAGGATCTCTTTTTTAAGAATAATAATTGAAGTTACTTATTCTCAGAATTTCTCATCAATTATTTTTAAGAAGTATTAATTATTTTTTATTATTATTGTTTTTTTACTGAGAGTTTGCAACAGAACTATTAATTGTTATTATTTTATAGAAACAAGCTAAAGATCATTTTGGAATAGAAGGCGATGAGGGATCTACTATGGTCGAAGACAGTGTTTCTCCATTAAAGTAAGTTTTGTTATTAAAATAATCACTTTATAGTTTTGAATAAAGTTTATATATTTATGCTAATAAATTTTAACGCCTCACAGGGCTACAATCCTTCAACAGCACGAGACGAGCCGTGTTTCAAAAGTCAACACGGAATCCGTCGCAAAACCGGCAATAATGCGAGCGGCAGATGGTGAGTAACTGTCAATTTCATATTGCGTGCTAAAGTAGAGGAGGATGGATATAACTTATGTTTGCATTATAGCAGAACATTTTTTTATATGGAAGAATGGTTTCTTTATTTGTAAATAGTCTTTATGCAAGTGAATTGGGGGTTTGATATTTGAAAATCAACTTCTATGCACTATTATCATTTTTTTTTCTTTTAATTTATGAGATGTTCTTGGATTAGAATGTTTCTTTTGTAAAAATTTAGTGACTTGAGAATTTATCACAGTACTTTTTTTTTACTTTTTTAAATTGCTTTCTTATCTCTTCTTTAAATTTTTATGATATTTGTTATTTTCTTTTGTTTTATTGTTTGCATTTTGTTTGACTTATGAATATTTTAATTTTATGGTTAAAAAAATATATTTAAAATCAGCAGCGATGAAAAGTGTATTATTGGAATCCTAACATATATCAATCAGGATTGACTTAATGAAAGCAGATTATAGTATCACTTTTTTTGTAAGAATTTTGATGGGGTTATCCATTATGAGTTTGCTGCTGATGGACATTGTGTCATTTTTGAGCTCTGGTTCAACTGCAACTCATGTATGAGGGTTTTTTTTAAATTATAAAATCCTTTCCTTCACTGCATCCTAAAAAGATCTATTGTGGAACCCCTATAAATTATAGCCTTGGAAAGTGCACTTTTTCCTTTAAGATTAAGCACTTTCCTTTGTGGCCTTTTTTGGCTAGTTGGCCAGCTTGTTTATTTCCTTCTATGCCTTCATGTCCGGGAACCCACTTTAAGGTAATCTTGTTTTGCTTTCCCAGAATCATTACGAAGTTTATGCATTTAGTGCCTTTATGGCTGCCTGGCTGTCTTAGAATATCTGCACCTTACACATTTTTCTTTACTAACTCCTGAACCCAGAGTTGTATTGCATGAACTTCAGCTTGAAATTTTTTTTAGTTAGTCCATGGGGCTTCCCTAGGTTTGGCCCTTTTATCCCTGTACCTACTCCCTGTTCTATCTTTGATCTATATGTATACAATATTAGGGACCCGTCCTGAAACCTAGGACCTTGCTGGTGTCCTTAAAATTGCAATAAACCAAATGAACTGAACTAATGATACGATAAAAAATAATTTTCAATGTTAAATTGATATGTGTGTGCTTTAGTAGATTGTTTTGATTTGATCATTGACCATATTGTCTTGAATTTCTGTTTTTAGCTGTAGATCTTTGCCTCATTAAAAAATCGCTAAACGAAAAGGTTGAACAACTTTTTAAATAAAAAGATTTCCTAAGGAAAATCGACACATCACATGTGATTCTCCCAATTTTCCTTTTATATAAGGAAGGGTTAAGAATGGAAAATTAAATAGATCAACTTACAAACTTTCAGTACTACCTTGAAGATAGTTGATGGTACCAATACATTGATAGTAAATTTGTTGTTCTGTTTTGGACTGCGGACAGATTAGAAATTATGCAACAGTTATCAACACTGACCCATAATGAACCACTCCTTTCAAGAAAAATTAAGCTTTCGATTTAGGTTTAAGTTTATTAAATGAATAAGAACATTAATTAAATAAAAATGTTATGATATGGCATATTAGTACATATATTAAAGTCTGATTAATTTAGGACTTTTACTGGCTCTAATTTTGTGTATTTACTAAAGTGAATACAAAAGATCTACTTGCATATAAATATAAATTGGAAGATTTTATTTTTCAATGTTAATATAATTTTTGTTGTTTGACCTGGGGTTTTAGTGCAGTAAGAGATAAGAAAGCATTATGGCATATTCATTAGAACTTTCTTCTTTTTTTTAAATCTTGTTTTATTATATTATGCATTACTTTAGACCACATTTATTTTCATCACTTTTTTGACAATGCATGTACACACTTTTTTATTTTTTTATTTCCTCTCAACCACACAGGTGCTAAACCTTATGGGATAGGTCATGTTGGTGGGGCTCAATATACAACTGTGGGCGGTCAGGTCAACTACGGCCACAGGGCTCCTCCGGTAAGAAAATTTCATCTTTAATAAGTTATGCAATTTTAACAAGAAGAAGTCCATAATGCCATATGACGACGAAGGTCACGCCAAATAACTAAACTATCACATCTTGTAACAAACATCATGCATAATACAAAATAACATGTCGCCAACAGTGGATTCATTTTTCCTCTCGTCCTGAGAAGTTTGTGCTATTATTCCTTTAAAGCCTTGCCCTCTCAGTTCATAGATAATAGAAATTTAGAAAAAATTATTGGATTTAGTGTATGTCCATATATGTTTTGTGTAAAATAGTTGTGATACAGGATAATAATTATATATTTTGCACCTGCTATTTATTGGACAACATAATTACATGTAGAAATATGCTATGTACATAGCTTTCAACTTTGTACAGAAGACGCAAATGTACAGAGGAAAAAATCTTAACCAAATTTTTTTCATAGGTCTTAGCAGTGTTCTAAAAAATAAAATTATTCTACAAGAACATGACCTAGGCGTTAGATTGTCTGATACTCATAATGCCACGCTTGCAGTTGTAGGTTCAAATTCTGGCATTGCCCATTAAAGTTTTTATTTAAGTTAAGAAAAAAGTATTGTAAAGTATTTTGCCTTTAAGCCCTCCAGTATAACAGGAATTGTTATTTTGTACATTTTCTATTCTACAAGATTAGAAATCAGTGACAGTATTTTAAAGGCAATATTAATTTTTCCATAGGAAATAATTGCACAAACTTTAGGATAAGTAAAAAAAAAAGAGCTAAAAGGTTTGTTCATACCATTTTGTAATATATTACTGAATCATTTGAGAGATTGTATTTAATTTTGTATACGGTTTCTATCTTATTTTACTAAGATAGCCGTAATACTACAAGAACAAATTCTAATAAAAACATTTCTGTAGTTGTGTAGAGGGAGTATTCGCAAATGTTTTTATTAAATTGTGTCATTGCAACTTTTTTCACCTATGAAAGTATTATTTTTTCCTTCATCTTTAAAGTAACTGTGTAAGTACCAATGATAATCTTGTTTTAACTTCTGGGTTTTTATTTTTCTATAAAGGTAAACTGTCTTTTAAACTCTAAAAACAATTTTTCTTTTGCGAAATTTCATTTCAAAGTGAATGTAAATGTTATTCTAGCAGCAATAAATTTGTTATTATTATTTTTTTTTTTTTTAAACTAAAGTTCATTTCATATAATTTTAAATAGATCCAATATAACCACAATTTTATTCTTCATCAATCACCACATTTTACCTACCTTGCATTAGCATTGCACTTTTCAATTTTTTGAATTTTTACTGCTCTGCTTCCTTGGATTATACTATAGATGAGTTTTTATGTGTTTTAATTTGAATTGGAATTTCAATTTACCAAATTGAATGATCATAGAACATGAACTTTCAATATCCTTTTTCATTACTTATAAAAACGACAGTTACAAAATTTTCCTCACTTTGATCATTCCTGATAGCCCTGATCTTCCTAGACTGTATGTTTCATTTCACTATTACAAGCAAAATTAGTATTTATTTTTTGGATCAGTGTTCAGAATTGTATGAATGAGTGAAGAAATAATCCGGGTTTAATTTAAAAATATCCATCCGACTGAAAAATATAGCAAATATTACCAGACTGATAAATATATTTGAGCCACCAAAGATTTTATTATATTAGAATTTGTTCATTTTAAAATTAAATACAATTCTTAGATAATGAACACAAGTTACTTTGTATTCTAGACTTGTTTTAGGTATGGACATTTGCATTACTAATTACTTTGTATTCTTACATGCTTCTCACAAGATGAAGACAATTATTATTGGATAAGAGTATGTACACATGTTTAATCTTGTGCCTTGTAATTGCATGATGGGTGTTTATGTTATATTGTTCAATTTGTCGGAAATCGAATAAGATTGTGATAAAATTAAAAGCCGATTGCTGTGGCCAGCAACACGAAAAGCAACTTGTCTGTTAGACTTTAAAGAAATGTTTGCTCTTTAATTTTTTTTTTTACTATAGAAAAGTGTGCTCTCTTGGATAGTAAAAAAATGTATTATGCCTGCTTTTTCTTAGCCTCGCATTTTTTTCTTTGTTTTTACACTGTATTGTGTTAAATGTGCTGTTTAATTGTTAAATATGAGACAGCTAAATTTTACACCCTACAAATTTTTACAGACTGACTGACACTGAAAGCCTAATGTTTAATTTAACAAAAAATCTTATTATAGCACCAAATTTCATTCTTAATCCATAATCACAATTCAATTTTTATTTTTCATGTTTCTCTGATCTTAAGATAATGATGTTATTTCATTTTCCTTAAACCTATAAGCATGATCCAAGGAGGCAAATTTTCCTTGCGCATTAAAAACCGTTTATCATTGCAGTGTTGCGTTTTAATGATATAAGCAAATGTACAAAAAAAAAGTCTGCCTTTTATACAATTTGCTATGGCAGTTTTCTTTATTATATCTGATTTTTAAATTTATTAATTTTTTAACTCCACAGCATTACAGAATTAAGAAAGTATGAGTTTATTCAATTATAAAATTGGATGCATGTTGAAGATATGAAGCAGAACACATAGAACACGGACGGTTTCATTTGAATTACAATTCTGTACTTTTTCAGTGAATTTTAAGCTTTTTGAAACAGCGATCAAGTTTTACAAACCCAGACATTAAATTCTAACTCATGGATACTTTGACTTAGTCTTTTGTGTACACGTTTATTAATTGGTTTTTGCCTCATATCAACTCATTTTGATATTTTACACAACTTGCAATTTTGATTTATTTAAGACTGTAGTACTGACACATTTTGAACAATTTCTGTTAGCTGTGTTACCCTTTTCTTATCTTGAAGTTAACCACCTACATTTTGGCAGGTGCAACAACAACAAATCACAAATGTTTTGTCTGAACCACAACGTGCTTTACTCAGTACAATTACTTTGGGACAACAAGTCATTACCACTGTGGAACGGGAACTGCTCACACGAACAGAACTTCCTGAACTTGGAAATGATGCAGTTAGTATCTGTGTGATTTATTGTTGACATAACATACAAACTTTTATAAAGTTTATAAAAATACATAATAATTACATTTAGGCTTCCTTGAAATGGAAAGAAACTACTGTGGATACAAACAAACAGAATGTCAGCTCTCAAATTGCTGCTATGAATGCAGCTACAGCCCAAGTTGTCACACTAACTTCAGGTTTCCCAATAGTTTCATTTTTATATTTATATTTTTAAGATGGTTGTTTTAAACATAAATGCTGTGTTAGGTTCAGCAGATGAAGTTGACCATACTGCAGTAGGTGCTGCAATCACAACAATTACAACTGGATTGCCAGAAGTATCTAGGGGAGTGAGAATGATAGCTGCGCTTGTTGACGACGCCAGTGGTGATAAACTTCTTGATGCAACCCGAAAACTCTGCTTTGCATTTACAGATTTGCTCAAGGCAGCCGAGCCTTCAACTAAAGAGGTTTATTTCACAACAATAAAACTACTGAAACCCTTGAACAATTAAAAATGTATCTTAATTTTTCAGCCCCGTCAGAGTTTGCTTAACGCTGCGTCTAAAGTCGGTGAAGCGTCTCACAAGGTTCTCAATGAGATTCATGAAGAAGATGAGACCATTCGAGATGCTCAGGATACTTTATTAGGACTTGGAAAAGCTGTTGCAAACAAAGCAGCTGCTTTGGTACTCCGCGGTAAAAGTGTCGCTTCGACTTTAGACCAACCAGATCAAAACAGAGCGATCGGAGTTGCTACTCAGTGTGCTCTAACAACGTCGCAACTTGTTGCTTGTGCTAAGGTTAGCAAATCCTTAATGTTTGTTAATTTTTTCTTTATGGCTTATTTTTTATATTTGTTCTAAGGTGGTAGCACCGACCATCCAGAGTCCACCGTGTCAGCAGCAGTTGGAGGCTGCCGTGAAAGAGGTTGCAAACGCCGTCGAATCTTTGGTAACTGTATGCAATGAATCGTGCACTGATCAGATTTTACTCAGCCAACTTGGTGAAGCTGCTTCAGATGTTACAACCACACTCAACCATCTTTTGAACCACATAAAGTATTTGATTTCACTTTACCATATTATTATAATAAAGTAATTGTACAATGTTTATTTCATCAGACAAGTAAGCGGTAATAAAGAAAGGGAAACTGTAGAAAGTACATCCGTTGAGAGAATTTTAATTACTTCTGAAAGAGTTCTCGAAGCGAGTGGAGATCCAGGCGAGATGGTGAAACAAGCTAGACTCTTGGGACAAGCCACAGCACAGTTGGTTCAAAGCATTAAAGTATGTTTCATCTACGCCTCATTAAAACAAAATTATTATCATGTATATGTTTTTTTTTTATTAAAGGAAGAAGCTGAGAATCAAGAAAGTGGAAGTTTACATCGTAGGCTTCTTGCTGCAGCAAAACTTTTAGCAGAAGCTACTGCTCGCATGGTTGAAGCTGCAAGAGCATGTGCATCCAATCCCCACGATATTAATAATCAGATGCATCTGAAACGAACTGTAGAAGACCTCAGAGCAGCTACAACGACCGTTGCGACCCCAACTATTAGAAAACGACTTATTTCCAGTCTAGAGGTATTTTCGAACAATACAATGTAATTTTCAATTTTATTTACCATGTTTGATGTGAAGGTCGCAGCAAAACAAGCAGCAAGTGCTGCAAATCAATGCATCTCTTCAAGCCGAGGAGCAGAAAAATACAACACTAACAGACAGTCACAGAATCAACTGGAACATGATTGTGTCAATGTATCTAACCACATTCCTGGGTTAATTCAAGGAGTTAAAATTTCAGCGAAAAATCCTGACAATCCATCAGCACAGCTTAATCTTATAACAGTCAGCCAGCAATTTTTACAGGTATTTTTTTATTCTTTCATCATTAAATCATTCAAAATTCAGTGTTATTTTTATTTTTGTATGTGTAGCCCGCAAATAAACTGGTAACATCAGCAAGATCCATCCTTCCGACCGTCACTGACCCTTCAACTTCATTACAACTCAGTAATACGAGTAAAAATCTTGGTGCTGCTGTGGCTGAGTTAAGAGCGTGTGCATTGAGAGCCAATGATGCTTGCGGTTCTGCACTTGAAATTCAAGCGGCGCAAGATTCAATTAAGAAAATCCAGTATGTTGTTCAGGAATTGATGTCGTCGCCAAACAAACAACGTCTTCTTCCCGGTGAAACGGTAATATTCATTCTTTACTCCACACTATTATTTAATTATTATGTATAAATATGAATTTTTTTCATGCAGCCTGAATCGGCTTGTCGAGATTTGAACAACACAAGTAAAGCGGTTGCACGAAGTGTATCAAACCTGGTGAAAGCAGCAACCCAAGGCGAAGAAAATTACACAGCAAATACAACTACAGAAACAGTCCACGCACTTTCCGACCTTGTGAATTCCGTTCGAGCGGTCAGCGCTACAATGCCATCTTCAAACGTCCAACAACAACTCTTCGAGCATACTGAAGAAGTTGTTTTGTGCTCATATCTTGTAGTTCAAGAAGCTCAAAAAACATTGCAAGAGCCTAAAAATGCAGATAATTTACAACTTGCGGCCAAAAGAGTTACAAACGTAGGCAATTTTTAATTAAAACTTGAATCGCTCAATTTTTATTTAATCGCTTACTATTTTTTAAACGCCAGGCTTTGGGAGAGTGCATCAACTGTCTTCCTGGTCACAAAGATGTGGACCAAGCCATATCTAACATCGAATCAAGGCAAATGCAAATCGAAAGAGGAGAATTCCCAAGGACAAACAAATCATTTTCTGAACTTCAACAACAAATTGATGTCAAAGCTGAGAAAGTCAATGTCGCTAGTAGCAACGTAGTTTCAGCAGTTTGTTCTCCTGTAAAATTAGCAACATCTGCTCATGAGTTGGATTCGGCAGTATCAGAGTTAACACATGTAGGATTGGAAATGGCTGGTCAAACAAAAGTAAAATAAATAACTCTTCTGTTATACTTATTCAGTTCCTAAAAATGTTTATTTATCTGTTTATTTGTTTAATTATTAGGAAGTAGATGTAAAACACAACCTTGTCGTTTCACTGAAAAATATCACTATAGTGTCTTCCAAGCTTTTAATGACTGCCAAAACAGTCTCAGCAGATCCAAATTCACCAAATGCACACAACCGCCTCACTTCTGCTGCTAGGTGGTTTGATTTTTTTATTTTTTTAGAATATTTTAATAAATAAAGCATGAAATAAGAAATAATCACTTCTATTTAAAAATAAATAAAACAATTTACTTGTTAATTTTCAAGTCCTTTATAATGATTTAATAAGGTTTTATTTCATTACAAAACTGTTTTAATTTTTTTTTCCAATTTTGCTAAGCTTATTGTTTATATTTTGTTTTTAATTTTTTCTATGCATGATCATTTGAACTTAATTTCTTTGCTATAATCTTTTATGAAAAATAATGTGTTAATTATATTTTAGAGGTGTTACGGAGTGCATTAACAGATTGGTGGATGTTTGCACTTCAGCCACTCCAGGACAAAAGGATTGCGACAATACGATAAGAAGTATAGAAAGTATGCGTCCTCTGCTCGATCAGATCGTCCACCCTGTTAACAATCAAAGCTATTTTGAATCGTTAGATATGGTTACGGAAAGCAGCAAAGCTCTTGGTAAGTTTTCAACATCAGTCAGAAATATATTCTTGTTGTTGACTTGTTCGTTTGTAATTCAGGAAATGCGATGACTGGAACTGCAAACCATGCGAGGGACTCGCAATACACTCATTTCGGAGAGTCGGTGAAAGATGTCGGAAACTCTGTCTGCAATCTTGTCGAAGCCGCTGCTCAAGCAGCGTATTTAATCGCCGTCTCTCAGCCAGGAAGCAAGGCTGGAACTATTGGACTTGTAGATCAGGCCTTGTTTTCTAGAGCTTTGACGGATATCAGCGCTGCTTGTGCCACACTTTGCAATAACAAATCAGGAAGAAATGAGGTTTGTGTTAAATTATAATTAGATTTATTTTACATTAACATATTTTTAAACAAAAATTTAGCATTTCATGTAATTTTATGAATAAAATCAGTTTGATTATCAAGTTTAAAAAAAATTGTATTATAATATTTGAGTGGAGAATGCTGTTTGAACTTGTGTATTTGGAGGATGGATAATATCATTGTAAAATTAATGGTTGTCCTATAAAGAAAAAGTATAATATTAAAAAATAAAAATAATCTCAGAGAGTTCTTCTACATAACTGAAAAAATTCTATCCCAATTTTAAAATATTGCCAGTTCTGACAATTTCAGAAAGTTTTATTGACCAAAAACTTTTTTTTGCTATAATAAACCAGATTCTAATTTTTTTAGATAATGGCTGCAACAACTGAGATAGCCAAACACACAAGTGCTTTATGCCATGCTTGTCGCGTTGCATCTTGCAATGCAACAAATGCTCTTGCTAAAAAATTGTTTGTCCAAAGTGCCAAAGATGTCGCCAACTCAACTGGAAACCTTGTTAAAGAAATTAAAGGTAACGTTGAATTAAAATTGCACATTTCTTGTTGCTGAATTAAATTCTATTTTGTTCATTTTTCAGCTTTAGATATAAATATGGCATCAGATAATAAAGTTGACAACAGGAAAGCTTGTGCTGCTGCTACAAAACCAGTTCTCGAAGCCGTTGAATCACTTGTGGCTTATGCCTCTTCGCCTGAATTTGCTGGCGAACCAGCAGTTATAACTCCGTCGGCACGTGCTGCCCAATTGCCTGTTGTTAACGCAGGAAAAGATATTATTCAGGCATCTTGTGACATGGTCAGGGCGGCACGATCACTTGTTATCACGCCTAAAGATCCTCCGACTTGGAAATTACTTGCAACCCACAGTAAAAGTGTTTCTGACTCTATTAAAAAACTTGCAAGCTCGATAAGGTGAATTTTAACAATTTTTTAATTAATGCATGCAAAAAGTTTTAACTTCAGTATAGTTAAATAAATATCAATTGTTCTATTGATTACTTAATAATATCGTAAATATTATCCAGGGATAAAGCTCCAGGTCAAGAACAGTGTGATATCGCTATACAGAAACTGACGGAGCAGATTAGAGAGTTAGACCAAGTTTCCTTAATGGCAGTTTCATCTGGCTTAGAACCCAGCAAGGGTGCTTATAGCCGTAGTTATATTAGCGTTGTACAAAATTCACTTGCTGAAATGCTAGAATGTGTGGATCCTTTAAGAATGGCTGCTAAGGAAGAAGCAGAAAACATTGGACATAATGTGAACAACCTGGTAGCCTATGTTGAACCGTTGGTGTCAAAATCGATAGCTATAGCGTCAAACATGGCCCACAGCAAACAGCAGATGCATTTGCTAGATCAAGTCAAATCTGTAGCAGAGGCCACATTGCAATTAGTCATTGTCACCAAAGAAAGCGGAGGAGACCCAAAGGTAAACCACTAAGGTTCATGTTTATATTAAGACATTAAATGTATCTCCCAATTTAGAAAAAACATCCAGAACTTGATGAAATTTCCGAAGGCTGCAAAGAAACAATGATGGAATTGTCAGATACATTGGAAAAATTTGCAACACAGGAAGATTTAACCTCGAGTGTTATCGACTCAATAACGAGAGCAATGTCTCGTCTTAATGACACCACTGCATCACACCATAGATCCTCGCTAGTCTTTGAAAGCGGTGACAGCTATGTTGATTATCAAACAAGAATGGTGAACGAAGCAAAAGAAATTGCTCGTATCGCTCAAGAAATGGTATTTAGCATGTCATTAATATGTCAATTTAAAGGTTTATGAATGTTTAAAATTTTGTGCCCTAGGTTATTAAGCGTCAGGGTGGAAAATTGTCTTCCGATATATCTCAACACTACAATAAACTCGCTTCCGATACTGCAGGTGCAAGAATCACTTCAAATAATATAGAAGTAGCTTCAAGGATCACAACAGGAGTCCTTCAATTAGGAACCGCAATTAGCAGTTTTGTAACGGCTGCTGCAAACTGTCACAGTCGAGATGACATATCTGTGAGGAATCTTACAGAATCTGGAAGAGATGTGTCTGAGAAGGTAGCAATTTTTGATTGTTGTTTCTCTGAAGAACGAAATGTAACAAGTTGAATTTTGATCTTCAGGTGGCTCAGGTATTGTCAGCATTGCAAGCTGGTTCAAGAGGAACACAAGCCTGTATCAATGCCGCAAGCACTGTCAGCGGTATTATCGGAGATCTCGACACTACGATTATGTTTGCCACAGCAGGCACGCTGAATGCGGAAAGCGAAGAAGACACATTTGCGGACCACCGAGAGAACATTCTTAAAACGGCCAAGGCTTTGGTTGAAGACACGAAAACTCTTGTCGCAGGTTAAAAATTATGGAATAATTACATTTTAATTTTAATAACCAACCCTACTAACTCCAAAATCATAGGTAAAATGCCAATAAAAGCAGATTGTGTAGATAACAGAAGCTACTCGCAAGCATATATTAGAAAACCTTTTACAAAATATTTTGATATAAAGGTAAACTATTTTTTCAATGTGTTTGAATGGTACACATTTACTTTAAAGTGCTAATACAGTTGATGTTTTTGTCCTTTTTCATTAAAAAAAAAAAAAATCATCATAAGTAATAACAGAATATAAGTGCAACTTGGCACCTTCTCCTTAAGAAATACATATTAATTTTGCTTGTTTTTATCAATACTAAGGAGGAGATAACTTAAATTAACTTTCAATTATAGAATATCTCTAGAAATTTGGGACAAATGTTTTACCATCAGTGAAAATAGAGCAAAATTCATCCTTAATATTAAAGAGCCATTAAAGATGATGGCACTATGAAAAAAGGATAATAACAATAAATAATATTTATAGCCATAGGTCGTGGGTTCAAATCCTGCCTCTACCTCAAATTTTTCATTTTGAAAAAATTGTATATAATTAATTGAGTAATTTAAAATCATATTTTCCATGTATATATTATATTTGCGTGACTTTTTTTTTTTTAAACTGAAAATGTGTGAATTATGCAAGGCAGACACAAATGAGGTGCTCAAATTTTCCAGATATCTTTCCTAATTGAACGCTTCATAATAAATTCTCATATTTTAAGGTGCTGCATCATCTCAAGAACAGTTGGCGGTCGCTGCACAAAATGCCGTCTCCACTATTATTCAATTGGCCGAGGTGGTTAAATTTGGTGCCGCTTCTCTTGGCAGTAACAATCCAGAAGCACAGGTAATATATCTATTGATTTTGTTTTTTTAATTTTATTTATTTTAATATCTATATTGATTTATTATAAGGTAATGCTGATAAACGCGGTTAAAGATGTAGCTTCTGCTCTCGGCGATTTAATTCATGCTACGAAAGCAGCATCGGGAAAATCGATTAATGATCCGTCAATGACTCACCTAAAGGATTCGGCCAAAGTAAGTAATTTTAAAACAGACTTAATTGATTTTGAGATCGTTATAATTAGAAATTTGAAAAAAAATATATCAGAAAAGCATGCAAAAAGAAAGAACACAGTTATAAGATTTGTGCATGCAACAGTAATGTACGTAAAACGCTTGTAGACATAGACATGACATTTCTAAAACGTGGGAATCAAGTGAATCAATTATTAAAACCTTCTGTATTTTCTTTAATTAGAATTCTATCAGTATAATGCCAATAGTTATAATTGGATTTAATTATTAACTATTCAGATGTACTTGATTTTTTCTCCAATGATTTGTACCTTTAATCACATAATTAATCAATCAAAATAATTTTCAAGTTTGTGTATACAATCGCATATAAATAGAATGAATAGATAACTTGCTATTCGGCGACCATAAAAAATATTTATATTCTATATACGTTGTTCCACAAAAAAAGTGGTGCACTTTGAAATTTTGAGATTTTTTTATGCACTTGCCTTTTCAATAATTTACAATTAATTAGGTTTTTAGTTGAGATGAAAATGCCTTTTCAATAATATTAACACCTACATTTCTCAAATTCAGGTATTTATTAAAAGATTTAGTTAGTGGAAAAATAAAAATACCTCTTGAAAACAAAATAATTAATTTAAAAAAAAAACTTGTATGTGAACATAAAACATTATAAAGCAAACTTAAAAAAATTTAATAGGGTGTGTTACTTCGTCTTGCTCTCATTACACACTCTAATCTTCTCGGCATACTCATAACTAAGCCTTTAAGTCTTGAGGAATTTGATCCCATATCTCAAATAACCTAACTTTCAGATAAGGATGTGGGAGGATTATTTATTCGTTTTACCCAAGGTTCAAGCTCGTCCCAAAAGTACTCAGTGGGATTCAAATCAGGGATACGGGCTGACTATCTTTGAGTGTGAATATTGACAAGGTACTGAATAACACGTGTTATTGTAATGGCACCACATATTGCTCAAGAATGTCTGTCACATAGATTTCTGCATTAAGTGACAGCCTATTAAACATATGTAACTCTGTAACTGTTTTTACCTCCAAAAATTCCACTCTACACCATAACTAAACCACTTCTGAACAATCCTCTTCAGGCCATGTTGCCATTGGTTGAAAGCTCTACAGCTGTTCCATAAACTCGAAAATGTTTGTCTGGTGAATGGAGAGAAAACAGGGACTCGTCTGAAATCATAACATTTCTTCATTACAGTTTTTGTCTATTGTCGGTCTCCTTTGCAAACTCTAAGAGGTCCCGTCAATGGTTGGACCCGTTGTTAATCTTCTGGGATGTAGAACTTGTAGGCAAGCATCTTTCTTACTATTTCAACACTAATGGCCACATCCCACACGGTTCAAAGTCCTTCAGACGTCTCCTGGTACCACTGAATGTCCAACAAACCATTGTTGCAAACCTAAACTCGCTTCGGATAACGGTGATTTCTCCCATCCTCAACTAGTGCAGGCAGCTTTCTCACAGATTATAGGCATTTTTTAATGGTTTTGTTCCATGCCACCAACAAAAGGCATTTTTTAAAGGAATAAATGCCCTTGTTTATGTTTACATTGTGGGGATCTTAAATCAATTAGGAATTAAGCGGTTTTATCTCACAATCACCTCAGCAATAAATGTCTTACATCTAATTATAATTATTAAATCATTTTTAAAGTAGTAAAACAAAAAATATAGCCAAAACATAGGTTTAAAAAGAAATCAAAATTTCAAAGTGAACCACTTTTTTTGTGGAGCAGTGCAAAATACTTTACATAATTAAATATTTTTAACAATCGAAATTAATTTTCGTGAGAAAAAAAATGCTTTTTGAACAATGTGGTGTTATATTGAATATAGTTTATTCTATAATTTCTTCTATTCTTCTATGTGGCTGTTAAAGATAGAGAGACAATTTCTTTTTTTGGTAGTAATTTAAAAAAATTATTAGTATGTGTGCGCTTTCTCTTCTCTAAAAGAGTAATATGCCTATTTGCACATTTCTACATTTACTTGCCTATTTTTAAACGATTTGACTGTAAATTTTATATTTTAGTTGTGCTTTGAAAACTATGCATATTTGTTTAATGTTAATGTGGATGAAAGGATTGTTTTTATAAGTTTGTTTTTCAAACAACTCCATTTAGGAAGAGAATTTCTTACTTATTATTTTCTAAATAGTATTAAATATTAAACTAAATCCATTAATTATAGTTTGGTCAGGTGATGCTTATAAAATACATGGATATTTCGATTATGGTAGAACATCCTTTCATCTTTTTTCCTGATTATATTAACAAAAGCATAACCTCTTTTTGGCCTTTACGTTGATGTCATATCCTGTGGTGCGGGCTCGTCTACTTGATCCTACTTTGCCCGTACCTCAGGTCCATTCTTATAGACCGTTGGTTTGCCAGGGTCCCTCAAGTCCATTGACAGTGCAATGGACAACGACAACCTCAAGGGTGGAAGAGAGATGGTGAGGGGCAACCTCAGCAAGTTGTTAATGTCAAGGTCCCTGAGTGTCTTTTTTCAGAAGTTCAGGTATGCATCCTCTTGCCCCCACTACTGCACCGGCCACCACAAAGTAATTTTTCTGGTGTAGCTCCATGAGGGCATTCCTGTGCACCATGTACTTTTGTGCCTTGTAGTGTACCGAGGCATTCAACACACCCTCAGTCTCAAATGCCACCACAAGGTCTAGGCGTCTCTATAGGTCTCTACTACTCCATCCTTGTTGGTGGTGATGATATCTGGCCAGATACTCAACGCACCTGGTGAAAAGCTTCGACGGCGTCTTGTAAGCCTTTATCAAAGTCCGGCGACCAGGGCCTCTGGCAATCAATAGTGCCTCGTCACTATCTTTGAGTGATTCTTTGGGCATGTTGAGTGTCTCCTCTGTCCTCTGTGCCAGCCCCTAACTACTACATTCAGCCGGCAACTCGAGTCTGCCCTTCTCAACCCCGTACTTTTAAATTGTCTCTTACTAATATACCTGTTTTTTCCATATACAATGTATAATATGCATGCCATTTGAATCCACAAGCCTAAAACCACATTTTACTGCCATATCAGAAAATGAGAAAAGTAAACTGTTGCCTATTTTTCCTCAAGAGTTTTGTTTAGCCTATCTGCATACGATGCTTTATTAAGCTCCCTTTAAATGAAGTACCTTACAGAACTTAAAATAATTGCGTGGTATATTATTTTAAAATTGTCTATTTCACTCAGCCTTGACCAAGGATTTCAAGGAAAATAAACATTAGGAACTATCAAGAACTACATACAATCAAAAGCATAGGATACAGTAAAGGCTACAACATAAATGCAATTACAAAATTAATAAACAATGAAAATTCCAGTTCACCCCTTCTTCACAATCGAAAAGTATATAAAAGTACAGGTTTGACAAAATAACACTTGAGACGAATCGTGGAAGATGTTGAAATGCCAAAATGATCCCAGTCATAATAGGCAGATCAAGATAATTAAAGACTCCTATTGTTTTTTTCTTCAACACCTGGAGAAATACCTTTTTTTAAGATTTAATAAATTCTCAATGCAAAATCAAACAACACAATTTTAAAACGCAGGAGTGAAAACAAAATTGTATATGAGTTAAAAGTGCATGATTTTATTCTATTTCAGTATTGTAATGAGGAATTGTACATAATTTAAAATAAATAAATAAATTGTCTAGATTGTATACTGTTTTTAAATTTTTTGGTGTTTTTACTGACACTACTAACACGTAAATGCTCTAATATATTTTATGGATAATCTTCTCCCACTCAAGTAATAATCAATTAAGTGCTTTTATTTTATCATCTTTCTCTTTGGAAAATAAACCAAAAAAGGCCAGGCTGTAAATCTGTAATTTTTTTCTGCATTGTCAAAGGTTAATTTGCGCTCGTTGGTTTAATGATGAAAACATAAATTTTAGCTTTAATTTCTTCCACCTTTCATAAATTCACTGCTACTCAATGTATGTTTCATTGCATTTTTGAAGTTTTAGCAATTTTGTTTTTGGTCTGTCCCGATACAGGACTTTCAGTGGTCTACAGGGCACCTAAACGAAGAAGATCTAATAAGATTTTTATTCAACAACAATGTAGCAAGCCTGATCACAAAATATAAATAATTGATACATCAATATTTTAATTGAGCTTATCATATTTAACATAATTAACTATTTTAAAATCATAAAATGTCAAATTAATCTTATTTTTATTGAGAGTTCAAAATTTCATAAGGTGGATTTTATATATTACTAATATGTATCAATGTACTAATTAATAAAATATAGAACTCAATGAATTTTCATTGTGAATTTTTTTTACCTAAATTTATTTCATTTAAGGATTTTATAAATATATTGGCAATTTAATCGCTTAATTGAGATATTTTATATTGAAACAATATGTTTGGAAGATGAATAATAAATAATTCCTTTGACATTAACAAATCCCTGGCACATAATATATTTGTGTTGTGAAATATTGTTCTGAGGTCTGTGAAATGTTGAAACTGTAGCCTGATCATCTCTGATCATCCTGGTTCCCATAGTCTCCGTGGTTTTTGCCTTTTTTCTATTATTTGCCCATCCTCAGTGATTGAAATGTGTGTCCTGGTAGAGGTAGGTAAACCAGAATGATTGGGGATGTAATTAATAATCTTAAACATTCAAATTGTTTATAAAAGAGGTGAATATGATAAATAAATAATTAAAAAGCCTAAATTAACAATAGTTTTTATTTTTGTATGATGTACAATTGCTCATTACATAGACAATTTTTAAAATTGCTTTATTTTTGAATAAGGTGTTGAATTTTATCTTCTTGGATTTATAAGCCAAAATTGATCAATAACAGTAAATGTATTTAAAATATTTTCCGTTTTGCCTTTATAATGTTGTAGGTTGTTAAAATAGAAATACAGCTTTTATTTAATAAAGAAAATGGAAAGTTATGTCAAAATTGATGGAATAAAAAGCGTTATTGTAAATATTATTTTTACATAATTAATTGACTCTGTTAAAATGTAATTTTTGCATAGGTGCAGGTGAATTGTTGGTTTATGATTAATCTCTTTTTATATTAATATTTTGAATTAGTTTATGTAAAACAGGAGCAGAACTAGAACAGTTTTGGACCACAAAAGATTTATTTTAATTTACTTTCCAATCCTTAACAGTTTCAATCCTGACATTTAAAATTTTGTACATTTTTTAATGTACTGTATCGTTTTGGGATGTGTTTCAAAATTTAAAAACATCCTTAAAATCTGTCGAAACTTGTACATACTGTTCGATAAAGTTTTTTTTTTTGAGATTGTTCAGCAGATTATATCGGGCTCCGATCAGGAAATGGTCTAAATATAGATTAAAAGCAACATTTCAAATTTGATCGATCAGTTTTACACAACGATGGAGAGAAGAGTTCAGCGTTACTGAACGTCGATGAGCAATGAAAGGTATCTATTTTTACCTTACCAGCTCTTGTGGAACAAGTTACCCTATGATTTCTCGTTCTTATCTAACGTACCAGATCTTCATAAACGACTTGATCATGTATGCACTATAAGATTTAAAAACTTCTGTTATCATTTTTGTCCTGTTTTCAATTAATGAACATATTTGAAGACCATTTGCACACATTACATTTACTACATTTTTTTAAATTTTATTACATTATTTATCTTTATTTGTTTTTATTATATGTTATACATTAGCTGCATTAAACATGATACAGAGTTTAACATTTTAAATCAGATGGCAGGAATATTATAATTGTAGCATTTAAATTAATGAGACAAAGTTGCATTTCGTTCGAACAACTATTGTCTTATTTTAACTTCAATTGAAACTATTTTACTTTATTTCTTGTGGTTTTCATTGCTTAAGGGCTTGTTTTTGTAAAGTTTTCAATATTTTGTAATTCATTGCACATTTTGTTTTACAAATTTCACACAAGGAAATCCATACAGTTTTGGCAAACCTAACAACCAACACCATTTTCAAAATTCATTCTAAAGAAAAACAAAACAGAATTTTTTTAAAAATAATTTGGACTAGAATAAACGAGTGCCAAAGTATTTTGCTTGATAATTGTGGCTTGTTTTGATTTTACAGTATCTAATTGTTTAACTAAGAAACTAATCTAAAGTAAAACTAATTACAAAGATTAAAATATTGTAGTTTAAAAACTTAAAGGTAGAATTACATCAAAATAAACCATTGTTTAATTATTATTTAAAATTGTATTGAAAGAGTTTTAACCCAGAACTTACAATAAAATAATTATTTATAGGGGCTTTGACTAATTGTCTTTCTTTCTTTCACCAATTATAACAATTAAAATATTGTTAAATAGATTAAATACAAAAGTAAATAAGAATGTAAGGTAGAATTGATAAATTAAATTAAAAAAAAAAAATTGTTTATTATTTTAATCGGTAGATTTTTAACCCAGAACTTTCAGTAAAATAATTATTTATAGAGGCTTTTGTCTAATTGTTTTTCTTTTGTTTACCAATTATAAAAACTAAAATATTGTAGATTTAAAACTTAAAAGAAGAATGTAAGGTAGAATTCATAAATTAAATCAAAATAAAAAATTGTTTAATTATTATTTAAAATTATATAGATAGATTTTTAACCGAGAATATTCAGTAAAATAGGCTTTTGACTAATTGTCTTTCTTTCTTTTTATTTTCTTCTAGGTAATGGTGACAAATGTTACTTCATTGCTCAAAACCGTGAAGGCCGTTGAAGATGAGCATACAAGAGGAACAAGAGCTTTGGAATCAACAATTGAAGTTATTTCTCAAGAGATTAGGGTAAGTAGACTTAAGACTTCACCGAAATGTGACTCTTGCGAAAATTGATCTTTATTAATGAACTACTTAACTACTTTGAACAAATTTACTGCAGTTGTAAATTACAGATAAAAAGTAAAAAATAAAGTATTAGAAGAAATAATAATATGTGGTTGTGTGAATGTGATTTATTAGCTTGAATGAAGAGGCTTTCCCCTATTACCTCAAGGGATATCGAGTTTGCCGGGCCTAAAACTTAAAACACAAAAATAATAATAAAAATATAGGGCAAAAGTGTCTTTTTTGTTTTTTTAAAACAAAATAAATTTTCACAAAATGTCCTATCCGACTTTTTTATTTTAGGCCCTCTACTCAACTGAGCATAGCAATATTCCTGGCAGCCCAGAAATGTTGGTAAGATGCACCAAGCCCATAACACTTGCAACAGCACGTGCAGTGGCAGCAGGAAATAGTTGTAAACAGGAGGATATTATCGTCGCAGCAAATATGGGTCGTAAAGCGATTTCAGACATGTTGACGGTCTGTAAGGTAAGAATTAATTTTCCTTTATTATTTAGAACGTTGTTTATGTCTTTGTTTTTTTTCAAAGCGAGCTGCTCAAAGTGCTGAAACGAATGACTTGAAGGAAAAATGTCTGCAGAGTGGCCAGCAACTCGCCGAAGAATATAGAACATTATTAGAGTCTGTCCAGTCTGTAGTTATGAAATCAGGCTCGGATAAAACTCAGCTGACAATCATTTCAAGAAGGATCGCACAGTACGTTACAGAATTAGTATCCATTGCTGAACAATTGAAAGGTATAATAAATTTACAGTTATTGATTAAAAAGCAATACTTAAAAAAAAAATGTTTAGGTTCTGACTGGGCAGACCCAGACGATCCCACAGTCATAGCAGAAAATGAGCTATTAGGTGCTGCTGCTTCAATCGACGCTGCTGCTAAAAAATTAGCAAGTCTAAGGCCAAGAAAATCAATCAGCCATGTAAGCATTATTAAACATAAAATTTTCATACCAAACAAAAGAGAAGGAAAATTTAAACTCATATGTATAGTAAGTTTTGTCCTTGATGTTAGAAAATAAAATAAAAATTAGTTATTAGTAGTTCAATATGGCATTCATTTTCATATACAAATTATTACAAATTTTAACGTTACATAAATGATATCATGCACTTGGTCATGAGAATGTTTGTGAAATTTTTCATTTTTATTTGAATTAGGCATAATAGTGTGAATACAATCTTAGTATAAGGACCATTTATTCTTTTTCTAAGATTCTGTTTAAAAAATGTTTGGTTTGTAAGAATGAACTTATATTATAATAAGCAAATTTGGGATTAGAGAAATGATCAACATGTCGAGCATGTTTCAGTGTACAAAATATTGAAATATACCCAGAAAAATTTGTTTTTCTACTTTTCAGGAATTGGAAAATCAGAAAATGTCATCATTAACTTTGGTAGCTTGCTGCAAGATATGTTTGATATTCTTGGTTGTTCAGAATCAACCGAGGATCAAACATATTATGCAGCGGCTGTTCACATCATCACATTCTTCTATAATAAAGTTTAATCATAACAAAACAAAAGATTCCAGTTCATTAATCTAGATTTTTTTTCCAGGAAACTGATGATTCGTTGAATTTTGATGAGATGATACTAGAAGCGGCGAAATCAATAGCCGCTGCTACATCAGCTCTGGTAAAAGCCGCATCCTCAGCACAACGGGAATTAATCGATGCTGGAAAGGTAGGATTTTTTTTAAATTTCAATTACGAATAAGGATAAACTGAGTTGCTGGTCGATTTTACAGGTCAGTCGAAGACCTTTGACAAGTTCTGATGATGGTCAATGGTCTGAAGGTTTGGTATCGGCTGCCAGATTTGTCGCAGCAGCTACTCACTCTCTGGTCGATTCAGCGAACTGTTTGGTGCAAGGAATCAGTTCCGAAGAAAAGCTTGTATCTTCAGCTAAACAAGTAGCCTCATGGACAGCACACCTTCTTGTCGCCTGTAAAGTCAAAGCCGATCCAAACAGTGACACAACAAAACGCTTACAGGTATTTAAGACTGTTCTCAAGTTTATTATTAATTATTTTTATTGGAAATTATTTATGTTTCCAAATGTATGAAACATTTTTTTTATATGATAGTCAGATAATATGTTCTGGGTTATCATCTTACATAAGTTAATGTATTGGGTGTTTGTATAAGTTTTTCATTTTTTCAAATTTCGACTTTGAGCCGTATAAAGGTGATCTATTGACTGCTAGCCCTGTAAGCTCTAGGGTGGGAAGAGAGTTTTTTTGAAGATATTTTAAAATTGAAAGGGATTTTTAAGAAGGGGTAGTTGATCCCAAAAGTGTACTGCAACGCGTACAATATGGAAGAAGATAAAATTCATACGAATTAGATCTTTGGAATAGAGTGGGGGATGCCTATTGAAATTTATGTGGGATTTAGATTTATAATGTTATATTTTTACTTGTTCCGCTCTTTAAATAACCACTTAAAAGCTAGGAAATTTTTAAATGAAAACACTGAAAATTCAAACTTAAACATTTCTTCTCGTCTAAGTCATCAGACTTTTACAAAAATGGTGAATTTCTGCTATCAGACCATTGGCAGTATGATACAGAAAATAAAGAAAATTATGTTTTAAAATTTGACTTTTTTTCTGAAAAACGAAAAAAACTTGTGAACAAATCCCAATAAATGTTATTCTTAAATCGTATTATTTTAATTACTAGTCTAGTTTAGATTTCTGTTCATTTTCTTGTCATTGTAGAATGCTGGTAATGCGGTTAAGAGAGCGACGGATAATCTGGTTAAAGCTGCTCAACAAGCAATTCAGCAAGAAGAAGAAAGGAGTTTGGTACTAAATAAAAAAATGGTCGGTGGAATAGCACAAGAAATTAATGCGAGGTAAGATCTTGGCAAATCCTCAAGTTTTAGTTGCTGTTCCTTTTTTTCCTTTTGCTTTTGTTCTTTCTTTTTTAAAAGAATGATTAGTTGTAAATGTTATTACTCATTTTCTTTAATTTTCCAGTTAACACTTTTAAATGGTTGTTTATTATTTGATAACAAGGTGCTGGTTTCTAACAGCTCAGGCCTTTTGGATGTTTTTATTTCTTGTTTCTCTATGTAAGGAGCGTCGAGTTTGAAACAAAGGCTTTTTTATTTTATTATTTTTCATATTGTTACTTTTGCTTTTGGGTGGTTTCATTTATTTATTTCTTCGGTGTTTAACTTAGATCTGAAGTGCTCCGGATAGAAAGGGAACTCGAAGAAGCGAGAGGACGCCTCACAGCAATACGACAGGCGAAATACAAGAAAAAAGGTGGTGATAGTGATTCTGAAGTTTACGACACGAGGTTTGTACATTCACATTGAAATTTATACATTTTCAGATTAATTAAGAATAATAATTTAACAGATTAACATTAAATGTCAAATAATAGTCGAGAGAAGAATAGGCAGTTAAAAATGTAAATAACACTTGTCCTCAGAATTGTACATATTTTTTCTTTTTATACTGATTTGTAAAACATGTATGAGTGACCATGTTTTTTCTTTCTTTTTAAATAAAGGACATAGAGAGATCTTCTAGTTTTGGCCTCACAAACCAGTCATCAACTGCCGGGATTGAAGCTCTATTTGTTCCAAAGTGTGACGGGGCACATTTTTCATGGTCGTATTAGGTGGAAAAGAGATCAAAACAATTGTCGGTTTATTTGTCTAATTAAAAAATTCAGTGCTGTTTTCGGTTTGTGGGTTTGGGGATAAAAGATTGTTTCAAACTGTTTAACATGTCTAGTCATTCAAAGTCAATTTTATGTATACAGGGTTGAAGATTATTCTTCGCAGTCTATCAATTCTTCAATGAACGCTACCCATGGCTCTTATGGCGGCAGTGGGCTAGATTCTGTGGCAAATTCTTCAATGAACACAACCCACGGCTCTTATTACGGTGGAAACGGGCTTGATTCTGCACCAAACACACCGCAGACCCCTGAGAGGATGTATGTCAGTTCAACGGAGACCAAGTCTAAGGTGTACCAACCGAGTTTGTACAGCTCCTCTCGAGGTCAGGACTTTCCGCCTCCTCCACCGCCTCCTCTTGAAATAACATCATTTTCAAATGCATTTGCCACTAACAATTATTCAAATTCATACCCTGACATGGAGTACATGAACGGAAGCTCTATCCAACACAAAACGATGAGAACTTTACAATCTACTATCACATCATCCAGGTCGTATCGAGTCACAGAAAGTTGATTTTGTCAAAGCTACACGAACAGATAAAATCAAAGACCGACAATGGGTAGTCACTTAACAATTAAACAATTATACAAAACTTAGTTTATAAAATAACAATCAGTAATATTAATCGGATATGGGATTGAAATTTCTGTGCTAACATCGCTAGTTACACATTTTGCATCTTTCTTATAATGACTTTATCACAAGTAATAATAACTATATCAAGTAATATGAACATCAAGAACATAATACTCTGTTTAAAAATACACACCATACAATGTATGTTAATTTTATCAAACATGGACACATAACTACAAATTGTATAAGGTAAAAACATGAAATTACCTATTAAGAAAAAAAAATTTTGTAACTCAACACAGATTAATGAATTATGTGCATGTATGGCACTTTGAAAAATTGAGCTTACAATCAATGTAAAAAAAATAATAATTGTGATTATACATGATTTCTTCTTATTAAATGATCAATTTTAATAAAAGGAATCTTTCAAGTGCCTATTTTTAAATAACACAAACTTACATTAGTTAATTATTACAATTATGTTACTTAACTATTAACTGATTAATTTAAATTAATATTGGTCAAAAGGAAACAATTTCTGTGGACTGCGTACACGTTTAATCAGACAATATTCAATCTCCCTAAGTTTAAGTAATTGCATTATCCTTTAAATTATCAGTAATTATTAGTTATTAAGAATATATTTTATTAATATTGACTGTTTATTTGTTAATATATTTCTACATCAGAACATAATTGATTAAAAAACAAATTTTGATGATGTTGTGAAGTAGAAATATATTTTACGACAGGCATAAAGTTTCATTTTTAATTAATTGTAACAATAATAATTAATAACCAAAAATTTGTTGAAAATTGCACACAATTACTTATGCTGAGCGAGATAAATTAATAAATGCTTGCAAATATTTTCTAAATGTTTTACACAAAAAATGTTTTTTCAAGTAGTGAGAAGGAAATGTCCTACGATAGAAATGATCTTCATGGTATACCTTACAAAGTTCAATCAACGTAAAATTAATTCATTTATTGTTTTCATCATCGTGTAAATTTGTAATTTGAAAACATATGTAAATTACTAGTTGTATTTTCATTAATTGTTTTGATATTTACCATTTAATTTCTTCCAACATGTAGTACATATTTTTATATATAATATTCTAATAAAACTTATTACGGAAAAAAAATATTGAAAGCATAGGCAAACATATTTTAAATGTTTTTCATGTTGTTAAATTTGTGAAAAGATTATAATTCAGTATGTCTTATAATTAATATTGTTAACTCCCTGTTATATGGATTGTTCAAATTTAAACGCTTAAATATTAATTATAAGTTCAAAATTTCAATAACCACGAGTGAAGAATTTATTTTACAAACTAAAAAAAATGGTATTCAAGTCTAAACTCGGTGCTTATAATTTTTTTTTTTTTTTTTTACTTTAACATATTGAATATTTATGTACAATAATTAAGTAATAAAATGTGAAATTAAAATGTTATAATTTGTACAAGGATTATTTCATACCCAAATAAAACAACATAGAACATGATGGCTCGTTGGTAAACATCATCAAAGCATGTAAGTGACTTTTATTTTTATAAATAATTAATTATATTGATAAAACCTTAAGTTAGCAATTACTGTTTTACAAACACACATTTAAAAATGTGCAAGTTTTTGTACTCACTTAGGTGGTACATACACTAAAATTTGAATCAGGGGCTGTTCTGCAACATTTAAAGCGTTTTTTGATGGGTTTTTCTTTTGTAAACACCGGCACTCTAAGGGTTTATGTATATATAAAAACATATAAAATAATATGTACATTATTTGTCTAGCCATACTTGTCATATAAGTAGAGGAATTAACAACTTCCTCTACTTTAAAAATGGAATGTTGAAACATCAGTTTGTCTTCTCCAGAATACAAATTGTCCAAATCGAAAATGAGATATAATAAAAATTAATGCATGAAAATAATTGATCAAAAATAGAAAAAATGTAGTTTGAAAGTGATATACTATAAGTGCTGTTGTGTACGAGTTGATGATGGGTGTTGTTTGGTCTGAGTTGGTGAACTCATGCCGAATCAGTGTAGTACAAGTGACTAATAGCTTATAAGTTCCATATAAAAGTGTATGTTTGTTATGTAACATTGATAATTGTGAGGAAATGCGACTGTAGCTTGATACCTTTTTAAGCAAATTTTGTCAAATGTGTGTCCAACTTTGTTCACTAACACATTTTTTTGGTCTTGTCACACACTGGCACACAAGATATAAATATATAACATCTAACTTAAAGAGAAATTCTTAACAAGTGAGAGGATGAAATAGAGCAGGCAACAAAAGTTGGCAGGAGAAGGGGGCCTGCCACTTAATAATTAAACATTTGTGAGACGGTCTCACGTCGATGTGAACAAAAACCACTAACATCGAGATAATTTGGAAAAGTTCACAAGAACCCCAGACTGAATTTGCTCTGGATGCCCCCTTCCCACCCAGGAAGAGGAAAAGGAAGCAATCAATTTATGAGGAACCATTTGCTCAGCTTCTACACCATCCCAAATTAGATGTAAGCTAATGTGAATGATTTCATCACTTACGTTGACCACTCTGGAGAGCTCTTTACATATTTAACTCAAATCATGTTACATAGCGTCCCTCAATTTGTCATTATTCAAGACAGGGGTGTACCAGACCTTCAATCCCCTCATACAAGAAGCAAACTTTTTAAACCACTTTTAGGCAGTGTGCTCATTTATTGTTTTATCATCAAATGCGCACCAAGCTTAAATTCAGCCATTACAGTGGCTAATGTAAGGCACTACATGGCCTTGTGCTTCACCATAATTATGTTTCAAGCTGACTAGATAGCCATAGAAACTCATGAACATGAAAGAAAAAACAAACGTCTCAAGGGTACAACAATCAGATTGTAATGCAGCTCTATAGGCACACCAAGTTATGAGATCTTAGTCAAAACTAGTCTAAAATTGTCAAATACAAACAATGACAAAGTTTTTTTAAGCCCAAGATATAAAAAATACCATAGACCCAAATTCGTTTCTTATTTTTAATTAGAACCTCTATTATAATAAATAATAATAAAATAAAATATTAAAAAATTCAGGGGATTGTAGCCGAGTGGTCCGTGTGATAAGACTCTTGGCTCGTAGACCCTATTGGGTTCAATTCCCACTGTTGCCCCAGCCTTTTTTTCTCACAACCCTTCTCCCCAACTATATATGATGAAATAATCAACGGAATCGTACACAGACTAATACGCAAGCTCACAAGGCTATGAAAAGTTAAAAAAAAAAAGAACAAATAAAAGCAAACACTAAAATAAGAATGTTTTACCAAAGTGAAAGTACCATTAACATTGATTGTTTTAATATTATGCTCAGCCTTATAGAGAATATTACAGATCACATAAAAAAATAGTACCATCAAGTAAATACGTGCATAAATATAAGTACAAGCTATCTATATTTGCATACAATTATTAGCCATCGTTTAAAGTATGGCATCACCAAAAGAAAGCTATGAAAATAATTAAAATTATGAACACAAATTAATTTAATAATACTTTTTAATAAAAAAAAGGCACTGTTCAACTTTCACTTGTCTTAAATAAAACACAAGAGATCATATGATTTGATTTTGTTCTCATAACAAGCCTGACGTTCGAGTCATACAGTTGTACCTGGAATTGATTGAATATTGAATTCGTAAGTTCTCCAAAACAAAATTTATTTTAATATTATTTCATTAATAGAAATATAAAACAAGATAATCTTATCCTTTAAAATTAAATCAATAAAAATAAAGCTCTTGTTAGGTCTAACTTAAATTTCAACCTGGGCATGTTTTCTGTTAGGCTTAACTTTTTAATCCTGGCCATTAAAAACAAATTTCTTGTTTTCCACAGAAAATGGTAAAAACCGTGATTCTATCTTCAATGCTACTAAGTGTAGCATTTGCAGCGTAAGTGTATTTTTCCTTGTAATTTGTATTTTAAGTTAAAAGTTAAAATTTCAGCTAAAAAATTAAAAAAATATTTCAGCGTTGTTGAAAGGAGTGTTGAAACTTCAACGTAAGTGTTTAATTTTTTTCTTTTTAATTTAAAATGAAATATATAAATTTTTATTCAATTTTTTCAGCCCAGCTGTAGTCAACCCATGCAAATGCGGTGTCATGACTTCCTCAAAACCGGATTCTGTACCTGTTTTGGAGCACGAAGTCAAACTAAAAGAGCTTAGCATTACTTGCGACAACGAGGGAAAAGCGAAATGTGAAAGGATGTGCAAAGTATTGGTGAGTTGAAAATATTGCAGTTGGATCATTTCTGGTCCTCGGCCTGTTTAAACGTTGTAATAAGGCACACCAAACTACATGTACTAGACATTAAAAATATATATTTCATTTATATTTTAAGGCTGAAGCTGCAAAAGTGGATAAGAACAAGGGTAACAAGTTCTGTGAAGCTGTTAAAAAAGATATAACCCTTACAGTAAGTGTTTTTTAATTCAAATTGGAACATAATTTTCAATTTTAATTTTTTTCTCCCTCAGCCTTCTCTGTTTACGTCTGTCTGCAATGAGAAATACAGCTATGCAGGAGTAACATTTGACAAACCAGTTTGCTGCAAGAAAGGTGTGCTCGTCCCCTGTGAACCTGCTGCATAAACTTCTTTGTTGCAAAATGCAATTTGTTCGTAAGAAAATTTTTTTTTGTTTTCCATTTGAGCCATGTGGCCGAGTTCAATAAACTTTTCTCACTTAACAGTATTTTTGTTGTAATTGTTATTTAGACATCAAAAGGTAGTAAACAATGAATAAAACAATTGGATTTTTAAACATTTTATTAATTTTTTTGTGCCTATTGATCAGTATACATGGTCATCATTAAGATTTTTTTTTAAAACTGTTTTATCTTGAAATTTCACAGACCTTTATAAGCATGTTCTTTTACATTAAAATTAAAGTTAAACGTCTTAATAATTTGCCAAAGTTGTTTTTCACCCTACATAATTTTCACCTGTCTCATAAATAAGAGAAAGAAATTTAAGAAATACATTTTTTTAAATATAATTTTTTAATATGTAAGTTATCATTATTCTTTAAAATGTATAAAAGCCACAATTGTGGATAACAATAGTGCAAAGAAATTTTGTAGTAATACTGCCAACTAAGTTATAGGAAAATTTAAGCAGAAATTCAACCACCAAGAGGAAGTTAGTTGTAAGAAAAATGATCTATTATTATTTTTTAAATTGTTATTAAAATTCTGTCAAAATTAACTGAATGGCATTTTTCAATTTTCTATTACAAGAAGCAAATTATTCTCTATACATATACCAGATTTAAGGCAATTTTTGGCTACAATTACAACATAAATTAATTTGGCTAGTCGCTTTATATAAATGTGACAAATAAAAAATTCAAGATAAATTGTTACTTTCAAACTAGATATTCAATGTTAAATATCAACCATCATTAATTAAAAAAAAGAAAAGACTAGATTGAAATCTAATATAACACGTTTATGACTGAAATAGTATTTAACTAAAATTTGTACCGTGAACTATCAAAATTTGTAATATGTCCCATTCTAAATTTAAATTTGAAATTTGGGAATAACTTATGCAAGTTGTACTACTCTCCTTTACATAATTATCACCCATAATAATTAAACTTAATACTTAGCTAATTTCCAGCTATAGTTTGTACTTTATCCTTCATTTGTTAAAGCGATATAGAATGTAATTTATTTTCTATACCTAAAAAATACACCGCAATACAATTATTTTCCTGTTAAATTGCTTGATGATTGTTTAAGGAAAATGAATTAGAAAAAATATATTTGCAGGATATAACATTAATAGGCAAAATTATGAATGACCATCAAAGGTTTCAAAATTTGAATTTTCTTTTTAATATAACGTTCATAGAAAATAATATCTCGAATAGAAATAAACAAAAACAAAGCAATAAAGATAAATAGAGAACTAGCCAACAAAACAACTGTCATAAAATGCCCATGAGTTTTTTTATTTTTAATTTTCAATCATAGGCAACATTTATTATCTACTTCTCAACTTCTGTCATATCACAGTTAATTTGAGATTGCTCTTGTCGTCCCAGAAATAACAACAAGGAAATAAACCATGACAACTTGACAGCTATTTGAGTAAAAAATGGTTTTGTCTTCCAAGCTTTTTTTTTTTTTTCTTTAATTAAGTTAATTATTTATATTTTATTAATTTTTATCTCCAGTGTATTTTTACTTTTTAAATTCAGAATAGTTTTCTAGCTTGCCAAGTCATAAGATTTTTTTCGATATAATTCAACAACTTTGGACCTAGAAAAGGAGTATTTATAAATATTGCCTCGTGCGTTGTTTTTTTAAATTATTTTTTCTTGTGAACTTCAAAATTTTAAAGAATGTTGAGCCCTCTTTGAGTATGGAAATAGCAGAAACTGAGCAGGAAATCTAGAATATGACCAAATTTCTGACTCATTCTTTAATTACCTACAATTACAACAAAAAAATGAATGTAAACATTAATAATGTAATTAAAACAAAGAAAAGAAAAAGAAAAAAAAATCGATAAACCTTAATATTGTACAAACCTAATAGCAGTACTACCAAAATGTATATCCTCCATCACTGCTACCAGTTAGAAAGGCGCCTTTTTTCTGAGTTAGAGTTATGTTGTGACCGGCCATTGCAGCGAGCTGGGCGGGTGTCGGAGGTACGCCTGGAGGCGGACCGGGGACAACCGGAGCAGCGATACCATCGAATCTAGCACCTCCATCGTAACTGTTTGGAATCATTATTGTTGGCCTGAGCTGAGGCTGAGGGTAAGTGTAGGCCAATGGGTGGTAGTAAGCGTGCATCGGAGTGAATGCAGAAGCGTAATAACCGGCTGGGCTGGCTGCTTGGCTGTACATAGTCGTTCCTACACCAACTTGTGGATACATCTGAAACATTGACAACAGTCCGAAATCTTTTAGTATGTTAAGAAAAACAAACTCTATTTGATAAGAAATTATTATTTTAATTTATTTTGCAAATTTATATGTTATGAAATAACAGAGAAACATTTCAATAAAAGGATCTCGGAAATCAATTAATCTCATAGAACTGTTGATTTGGGTAATAAATAATTTATGATTATTATTCGTACTAATTGTTAAAAATATAATAATTTAATAAAATTTTGTTTACTTATTTGTAAGTACGTACATATTATAGAACGAGGTTTAACATTTGTGTAAAATCTAAAATAAAATGATCTGCATGATATACCAGAACTTACTAAGGTTAGTAGTCAAAAACCCTAAAGTTAAGGAAAGAAATAATAAATAAAATAAAATAATTAATTTGAGAGATAATACAGACATGAGCTGAGCCTTGAGTGATCATAAAGGACTCATAGGTGAAATGAACTGGATTCCTGCATGAATTAAAAATTAACACAATCATTCCCTTACCCATTCAGGATGGTGAGCATGAAGTTTGTTCCATCACACAATCACAAACCAGTTGCAAACTAATCTGTGATTTTTGCATGCCCCAAACGTTCACAATCACGGATTCTTAACTTTGATGAAATGCTTTTTTTCCAATCTCAGGCAAAAAACAATTTAGGTGGGAAACATTGATGAAATTGAAAACAGACTTTTTGTTGTTTGTTATATATTAGTGCATCGTGTCTATTATTTGGTGTAGATTCCTGGTGATTAGTGGCAGGTTCTTCTGGCTACATAGGTATATAACTTACTGGCCAGCTTCAGGTTGTTAATCAACTGCCATAGCCTTGCCAGCGGCTCCTTACAGTAGGAAATTGCTTATGGCTTTTCCTCTTCTAGTTGCAAGAATCCAAATACCTGCGTAGATCTTTACAAAAAGATAAAATGTGTTCTGCGATCTTGAGTACAGGAATTACTTTACTTTTTTTAAAAACCTTTTTACACTCTTATTAGTGAAAATTAACATAAACAACCCTCTGCTTCTATGAACTTGAATCTAAAAGTGAAGAGAGTTGAACTCTCAGTACTTCTCTTGGGGAATACACAGCTCAGCTAAAGGGCTCGAAATCCAGATTGTTGCAAAACAACTTACTGTGAGTAGGAACCATCTTTTTAAAAAGGATTTAACTATAAATAGCTTCTCAATAATTTTAATAATGACAAAGTAGAGTGATAAAAAATATCTACCTGTTGAGCTGCCATTATTGCTGGGATTTGCTGATCGTATGGAGGTGGTGCTTGACCTGGATAGAGCTGCTGGTAAACAGCATAAGGAGAGCCTGTAGCTGCAGCAACAGGCGAGCTAGCTGGATGGCATATATCGTTAATTTTTTTTAAATTCTCCAGCTGTCAGTGTTAAAATTAAATTTACCACAGTTAATTAAGGTTTTTAGTTGAGATAAAAAGTCAATGGCATGAGCGGGATTCGAACCCACGATCTTCAGCTTGATACGCCGCTGCTCTACCACCTGAGCTATCATGACCTCAAACCTCAAGTGGTAGAGCAGCGGCGTATCAAGCTGAAGAACGGGGGTTCGAATCCCGCTCGTCCATTGACTTTTTTATCTCAACTAAAAACCTTAATTAACTGTAGTATATTAATTGGCCAAGCGGACCACGCAATTAGTGAAATTAAATTTACCTGCATAAGCAGCTGCTGCTGGGTGAGGAGGAGCAGGAACATAGCCTGCTGGGGCTTGAGGAGCAGCGGGGTAACCTACAAACAGATGAAAATTATTTGGTACACTTTTTACAATAATTAAATCTACGAAACAACCAGTCTCCATTCAAGCTTCTGACCATGCTTTATTAAATATAAATTAGATGGGTTTTCTACCACAGTATGGCAACAATTTTAGTGAACTTATTTGGCTGAATAAAAATGCTCTGCACTGTTAAAAAGTGTCAAAAAAATAAAAATGCTTCATGCAATATATTTAAGTGTATTTTGGTTATAAGATTATGTTAATTACATAATACGATTAGTAAAACAAAACAAAAGTTGATAAATATGGTAAAAAGCCCATCTGACCCTTTTGTTAATTAGAAATAAACATTGTACAAAGACAATGTATTTCTTTTTAACAAATAATAATTGCTCTGGTTGCCTCGAAATACAATCATAAAACTGAATAAAATAAGACAATCACCATGAAATCAACTACTGCAAACCACCACCCAACTGCAGTGAAATTAGAAACAAATTTCATTGCAGGTCAATAAAATAGTTATTTTGGCATACTGCATTATTATGTATATACACTCAGTTGTAAACAAAATATCAAATATACATTAATACAAATCGCTATCCAAACCCATACAGTCACACTTAATGTATAGTAGTAATAAAAATGAACACGCAATAAGTCAAAATAATGGGTCCAAAAAAATTAGTTGTTAAGAAGTTCCACCTTAACGATTGATTTGTCATATATAATTCAGTTACGACCTGATTCAATCAACGAGAAACCAACAATGGAATACCAACTGATATCGAAAAAATAAAACCAACTGCCACATTTTTTTTCATTTTATCTTTTTTAAACGAGCCACTTGTCATCATCTCGTATGACGAATTGAAGAATATTGTGTATATGTTTAACACCTGTGAGGAAGAAATTAAAATAAAAATCACGACAATGGCTCGAATCTTTCACAATTTTATTTATTTTATATTTTATAGATTCATGTTAATTTTTTTTAAATTAAATATTTCCAAATATACCAAATAAAAAATAACTTTCTTCGCAAATATAATCTCAATTTTTCCGGATGTTAAAAAAAAGAACTTAAGGACAACTGAATACAGATAATTAAAAACTTTTAAGTTATGAATAAAATAAACAAACATTTTCTTATTTTTTAATCTTTAGATCCGATTTTCTGACATTTGTGTGCCTATATTTTCCTCCTTTTTATTCAGTCCAATTGAAATCAACGCATGCCATGCAATCCCCACATGCACATATCTTAAAAGCTATTCGAACATTGAAATAAAAGAAAATCATGCGCTAATAGAAAAACCAAGGATGAATACCAAATGAAAAATAAAAACAAAAACAAGACCAACCTCAACAGTGACGCCAATATATCATTTGATATTCAAACTAAAAAGTAATTTCTGATAAAGCTAATGCAAGAAATATAAAACAAAATAATAAATAAAAAATATTAGTTTTAAATAAAAGCAGGACTAATCATATTGATCAAATGGAAGTTTTTTGTTTTTGTTTTTTTAACTAAAGGAAATGCATAATTTTCCCATGATTTCATTATATTTTTTGAATAAGAAAATGAGTTGAAATAACAAACACACTCATCACAAATATAAGTGAATATCACTTCCATTGGACAAATATGTAAGTGCTACTTGCTCAATATTGCACCATATCTACAAAATTGTCATAACTACCCAATAAAAAAAAAATAATAAAGTCAAAAGCAAGAGCAACATCCAAGGCAAATCTACATCAAAAATTGTACACTTATTATCAATTAAACAGTAAATATTTAGTAGTAAACAATTTTTTTTCTTCTAATTTTTTAAACATTACAAAACAAAACAATTGAAAAGTACTGTTGTGAAAATATTTTGTTGTACATTGGGTCAAAAGGCTCTTCCTTTTCTACAGCCATTCATTTCAATGAATCTATGTTACTGCCAGCATGACCTACTTTTGGTATTGATTTTACGTCTGGGAGTCATGGTGTAGATTTGCCCATCCTCATGAGATTTTTCCAAGCAAAAGTTAATACACAGCAAGAATAGAGAAATCTTTCTATTAATATTATGCTATTTAGCTTATTATAAAGAGGTTGAATATTTATTTTAATTTATTTTTTAAATTTAAATAATAGCATAATATTTTTTAAAGATACGAGCATAAAAGCATGCAGTGTGAATTCATTCACAGGCTATCTAAATTAATAATTTCGCTTTAGAGTTTACACACCAAATTTGATTATTGCTACTTTCAAATTGGACATATTCATTTTATATTTTACAGTCAAATCAAATTTGGTAGGAGAGGTAATGTAAAAAATTAAATGCAACCCACCGAGAATCATGCTTAAAACAAACTTAACTGTACTGTTTGTGTATTTCTTTTCTTATTTTTAAGTGTTGTTATAATTAATGTTTTATCAACAGGTTTAAGTAATTAAATATTTATTTTCATGTTGTAAGGCTTTAAATTGTCCTCTCTATGAATAACGTACATTTTCATCACTATAAATATTTGAATATAATATGGTTACTTTTTTTGTATTTTACTTTATACGATTTTTTTTTCAAAATTCAAATAAAATAAAATATAAGAATTAAAACATATTCTTTGTATGATATCGAGATCACTGAATTTGCAAAGAAATAAAAAATAAAAATCACTGTGTTAAGTTCGAACCATTTTCGTAAAATAAATAATAAAAGTAAATAGAACAAAAAATTAAATCAAATAAATAAATAAAAACTAATATAGAAATAGAGAGGTTTGGTTCAATTTTTAGGATTATTAGATTTGAACAATGTGGAATGGGTGAGGATAAATAAATTTTCTGGTTTGCTTTTTATTTTTTTTTAAATGTTAAGTGCAAACCATCATAGGAAATGACTCAAAACTACAACTTAAAAGTATAACAACTCTTCTCTTCTAGATATTAAATACAGTAAGGCAAAAATGTATATGAAAAAAATACATTTTCTAGAGTTAACTATAAAATGTGTTAATAGAGTTGAATAATGCCATTTGCTTCTATTATAGAAAAACCATATATAATCACCATAAATATGAAATTAGAAGAGAAGAGCTGCTTGTTATCATGCAAATCCCTTGCTAGAAGGTGGCTGAAAAAGCTCAACGTTAATATTTCATCCATTGTTTTAGAAGTCTGATTGACCAAATTACTTCTTTCAATTATTCTTTTTATGTAAGGTTTTGGATGAGTTGAAAAATTTAATATTTCAGTTGATTTAATGATTTTTACAATTCTATTTGTCTATTCCTCAGACCGTCTAGCAAGTAACATCAATACATATGCAGTTTGAACTACTTCTAGTGTCCTAAACAGGGTACAATGAAAAGGAAACACACAAGCACAAGAGAGTATTATAGCAAAAGTAAACACACAGAGAGTATAGAGAGGTGTGAAAATACAATTATAATTAGTAAATACGAGAATCAGGCCCCATTGCGATGATATCCGTGGGTATCAAAAAGCTGTAACGGATATAAGGTTAGTGAGATTACCAACACTAAAACACCATAGGTTGTTGCTTCAGTTAAGGTCACTAGCCAATCCCGCGGCGCCAATGTAACTCTGAAAATAGAACATACACATAGCAAATGCATAACATAAACATTTGTGCCCTTCCATCTCATTTGATTTTTTTTTCTTGGTAAAACGAGAGTGGAATGACTCATGGTCACTTTTTCATTCGTTATAAAAAAGTGAAAGCACTGCCCATTACACACAATCTATCCCTTTGCTTGAATTAATGTTATTTTTTATTATGAGGTTTGACTGTAGGAGTATCATGCCTAATTAAACTTCAAGATCAATAAAAAAATAAAAATAAAAAGCTTTGCATCTAAATTGATTTACATCAATCAGACCAGTTCAGTGTTTTTCTAATTATAGATTTAGTCTTTATTGGGTATTTAATTCTCAACATTTGGGTTTTAAGATATTATCCTTCTATATATCTTCATATATTTATTTGTCATCTTTCATCGTATTTTATTAAAAATACAACATGCTCACAACAACCCTACCCCCACCCAAAAAAAAACTGCTTAGTTTTAAATTGCTAAATGTTCCATAATAATATAAAATAAACCTTTTAACCACAAGTTCAGTTAAAGCCCTCAATTGTACACGTCTGCAGAAATGATACACAAAATTTACCACCATTGATCCATACCCAGAATTCATTTCATGTTTTTGCAGTTAAAAATAAATAAAACAATTTATCAATTGGGTAAAATTTAGGTTATTAATTTTTTACGAGGGTATTTCAATTATATAACCCTCTGGGTGCCAGTTTTTGGAAAAAAAAAGCTTATTTGTAAGTTATGTCGGGTTTGAATGTAGGAACACTAGTTCCAAACCCCAGACCTTTACCTTACAGTGATAAGTGCCGCTTAAACACCTTAACCGCTGCGGCCACCGATGCCCCCAATGGTAATATTTGTCTTGCTGACATGAGTGAGTGGTCGATAAATGAAAAGGCCGTCATACTTACCTGCCAATGAAATGGTGTGACCATGAGAACTAAATTACATCATGTATATTTAACACGTTGACTGCAGAGTACTCATTGCATAATGTTCAATTTAAGTGGGTTGCTTTTCCAGTAGCCTTTTTTCAAATGGTGTTCACGCCTGTAATTGCAGTCTTTCAACAATTATTTATTCTTATAAATCTTTTATTTTATCTAGTCTTCAACATCTTTTTTCTTAGAAACTTGGTGTGTTTAAGAATTAAACGTGCAATTTTTTTTTTGCAATCCATCAATGCAAGAGTCAATTGATGATTTTGTTCCTGTAGGGACATAAACAGAAGCATGTCCAAGATATCAGAAAGCGAAAGACAATCCAACAAATGTGGCAGAGACATGAAAACCCATGTCTCTGTATGGAAAAAAAGACAGTCTTGGTGAATCCACTCCAAGACAACGTAAATCTGGTGTGTTGTATCTGTGTTGCACATACCAACCAAATAAGATTACAAAATGACACATGACTGACTGACAAATCTTTGGCAGTTGTTCTGTCAGAGATTATCAATCTATAATTCATGAACTTCCCCAGACTATTTTTCGACTAAAATATAAAACTAAACTCAATCTTTGGTTTTATTATATATGTTTTGTATTTTACCTTTCAAAATACATGGCACACTCGAATATTGAAAATTTACTTAATAGTGCAAGGATTCACATGTGCCATTTTTAAATTTAAATTAAGTGACTTCACATGTAACAATTTTGATTTTTTGATGAAGGTATTTCAACCGTGAGCTAATATGCACCGAGTGCTGGTATTTTTGAGGGAAAAAATGCCATTTGTGGCAAGGCAGTGCCGCTGGATGGAACCCTGGACCTTTACCTTACAGCACATGAGCACCGCATAACAACAAGTCACTTCTGATTCAAAAAACACCCGTCTTTTCCCACCAGACTGTTTACAACTACATCGTTCTGGAACAACGCACTAATACACCACCTCTACTAGAAAACCCTCACTTTCAAATCTTGTTGCTTGGCATTGGGTGTATTTTTGGAATCGAATCGGCATCACAGGCCTTTAGTATCGCTTTGTCAACATTACTGTGAACACCCTTTTTCGATTTAACCTTTTGGAAATATTTTATGATTTTTCGGGGGTTACATATTAATAAACATAATGTATATACTTGTGCCTTTTTAATTCACCTTTTAATTAATGCATTAAAAAATTTATTTCATTATCTAGGGTTTTAGATTTTCCGTGGACCTCCCATGTCATTACCACTGATGATAATGGAGGTTTTACTGTATAAAAGTAAAGTTTACCCTGAGATAGATGTTTTGACATGGGGTACCATGAAATAATTGAAATATATTAAGGGTGCCGGAAATCAAAAAAGGTTGGCGGCCGATGATTTACACGACCTACATGAGACTTACATTTCCTCGCTGAAAATGGCGATGGAGATAAAATGTCACAATATCATTCAATTTAATCAGATGGAGATGTTGATGAGTTTTCTTTGTGTACACATTTCTGCTAATTAGTGATACTGCTACAGTCAAAATCTCTTTTTATTATTTCATTTTTAATAGTGACCATTTTTAAAGATTTTTTTTTTTAAAATAGGGCAGAATTAAATGAAATCGTCAAGATTTCAGTGCTAAGGATTTTGTGTTTCGTTTCTAAAAATATCTTTTTTTCATAATGAGATTAATTTATGTAAGATAATTAAAGAGTAAAAGAAATCAAGGGAATGGGAGTGAACAGGAACCAAATCCAAGGACGTTGATAAGTATCACCAGGGGGAGACGGAAGGATAGGAAAATGTATACATTACAACAATAACGGTAATAACAAAGTCTGTAAATAGGCGAAAAAACAAATCGAACATATAATAAAAATACAAACAATAAAAATGAAAAATAGCTGATGGAATGGAAAAACGTGTGATGCAAGTGGCTCCATTTTGTTCACCACCTTCGGTTCAGTATTGATTTTGCTCTTCTTCGTTTTCACGGGACGGGGCAAACGTCAAATCCATGGTGCGAATATACAAAAAAAAAGTTGAATTTGATCGTGAAATTGGGCGAAAACCGTCGGAAAAGCCGAGCCCCTCGCGAAAAACATGAGAGAAATAAAACGACAAAGCGATTATTATCCGCCCAGGGGGGAAAAAAGGCGTTAATAATCCTTTGTCCTAGCGATAAAAGGCTAAAATGAAACAGCTCGTATAATGTTCAATTATAACGTACCTTTTTTCTCTGACATGGCTCAATATAGATAAGGGGCCTAATTAAATACTTAAAATATCACAATTCGCAGAGACACTGTATTGAAATGGTAGAAAACTCAATTTAAATGCCAGGAGAACTTAACATCGATCAGTCTCAGAAATGGAGTCCACAGCCGAGGTAGAGCTCTGGAACGACGGACAAGGTCGAAAAGAGCCGAACCACCGTCAAACCAGCTCCCTCATGCACTTCGCCGGCGTACAGCACAACTAAAACAACACATTTCACCCTAAACGGTCACAAATACAAACAATTAAATATAATAAGAAAACAGACATTAAACAATAATAAAGTTGCTCTGCTTTCAAGCAGAGGGTGTTTAAGTTGGGTCAAGAAAAATGAAAGCCAAAAGAACATAAGATCACAATAATCATGCAAATACAACTTCTCACACTACAAAATTGTTAACGTCAGCTAATTAGAAAATTATTTAAATGAGAAACAATACATATTGCATAAAAACACATTTACAAATCACTATTTGAAATTGGTATTTTTGGAGAATGCAGTCAGAAATATTATTTTTTATGTTCATTGTAAAATCGTCACAACCAAAATACAGCAATTTATACTCAATTGCTATGATTGCAAATACTTGGAAACGTGAAATTCAACAATAACTTCGTCCAGTCAGGCTGCTTTCAAACAGAGAGCATTGTTGAGTGTTCAAGTTGGTCAAGGTAAAAATGCAAGCCAAAAGAACATAAAGATCACAATAATCATGCTAATACAACTTCTCATACTAGAAAATTGTTAACATCAGCTAATTAGAAAATTATTTAAGTTAGAAACAGTACATATTGCATAAAAACAAATTTACAAATCACTATTTGAAATTGGTATTTTTGGGGAATGCAGTCAGAAGTTTTATTTTTTATCTTCATATTAAAATCATCACAACCAAAATGTAGCAATTTATTCTAAATTGCTATGATTGCAAATACTGGGAAAACTGAAATTCGACAATAACTACATCCTGTCGGGCTGTGAACAAGCAGAGAGTATTGTTGGGTGTTTAAGTTGTGCCAAGAAAAATGAAATTGTTAGCATGAGCTAATTAGAAAATGATTTAAAGGAGAAACAATACATATTAACACAAATTTATAAATCATTATTTTTTTGGGAATGCGTTTAGAAGATTTATTTTTCATCTTCATATTAAAATTGTCACAATCAAAATACTGCAATGTGGAACAAATTGCAATGATTGGAAATATTAGGAAAACTGAAATTCAACAAAAACTACATCCTGTTGGGCTGCATGCAAGCAGAGGGTTGGGGGTTAAGTTGGTCAAGATAAATGCAAGCCACCAGAACATTATATCACAATAACGATGATACTAATTTCTCACACTAGAAAATTGTTAACATGAGCTAATTAGAAAATTATTTAAAGAAGAAACAATACAATTTGCATAACACAAATTTACATATCATTATTTGAAATTGGTATTTTATTATGGTACTAAAATCATAATTAAAAAAGTACTTACTTCACTAACAGCTCCCTATGGCCACGTCATAAGTCACCGAGAATCTTATCCTGATTACACATTTGAAAATATAACAACAAAAAAAATTCAAAAGGTTGTAGGTTGAGATGAATGGGTGTCCGGGTAGATCGAAGCTAAGGGGCTAGAGAAGTTGCATATTGAGTTGAAGGTCATGGGTTTGAATCACGCTGCTGACACTTGCTTTTTCATCTCAACCAATACCTTAGATTAAAAATATAATTCATTAAAATACATTTTTTAAGATAGCAATATCTCATTACAAACATAAATTTTTGGTAACTTAACACTGATGATGGCGAATGCCGAAATTCATCTGGTCAGACAAACGAGGATTGGCAGACCAAAAAGACCAAACTAGTTCATTCTTGTTAAATGTTTATGAGATAAATACCGTTGGTATTTTAAATATATCTAATAAAATAATTATGTTGTAAGATTGTTCTTGAGGTCTATCGTAAATAATCTGTTGAATAATTTAAATGACAAAGCTACAATGTCTAATTAAATTGTGGGATTTCTTCTCAGTGTCTCAAATATGACTAAACCAGCAGCATCATCTCTGACCATCTTGTTCTTCCTTTTCATATAAAAAACTCAACAAAATAAAATAACCAAAATGAATTGTTGAATTTGTGAAGAGCGGTCAAGAAGTCAACAAATTATGAAAAACCTAAGAAACACACATATCTAACCAAAACTATGATTAAAGATGGAGAAAAGTCCAAAGATGTTAGACAGAGCTAAAACTAAAAAAAAAAAAAAAGAATGTAAAAAATGAACATTGCATTAATATATTTAAAAAATAATTTCAAAAACTATACACAACATATTTTACATATTTACACAGGAATTATTTATAACATTTGTTATTTAAAGTTCACTGTACACTTTAGAAAGATTTAGCACAGGTATCGTTTTGCTCGCCAGTCAAATTCAAGTTCATAATCATCATCTTCGCCGCTTGAGACGTTTTCCTCTTTCACTTCCTTCGGTTTGAGAAGAGCATCAGCTTTGAACCTGTCTTTACGCTTTTCTAGTTCTACAACTTTTGAGAGCTTCCTGAGCTGTTCGTCGATTTCTTCAATCTGTCTCAGAGCAGTTGCATCTTCAGTTTCATCGTGGATGATCTGGGCAGACAGAGTCGTCTCCTCTTTTATCTCCCTCTGAAACCTCTCCCACTCTTCCTGGATTGGATCCTTGTATTCAACTTTTCTCGCCTAAATAAAAATAAAAAACAAAAACCTTTGAAAGTGTTTCACAGGAACTATGACAAAATTGCAAAATGCCTCCTCACCTTGGCATCTAAAATTGGATTATCAAAAAATCCTTCAGGGAGTTCAACAACAGGTTCTTCCGTCGTCTCCGTCTCCATTGGTTCATCTTCAGTCTCTTCTTTAACACCGTTTGTATCCAGTTCCTCTTCAACCTCCTTTTTAGTTTCAGCAATATCATCAAAAAAGTTATCAGGAAGGGGGGTCGCATTCTTCAAAATGCCTTTAAGCTTTTTAGGTGGAGGAGGATCATCTTCGACTTCCTCTTTCACGACAGTGCCCGGTTTTTTAAAAATGTGTCGGACAGGACCTGCCTGTGGCGATGGCATAAGTAGTGTGGGAATGATGTTTTGTGGGGGTGGTGCCGCCGCATTCTGTTTCTTTCTTGCTATGTTTTCCTTGTGTTGTTTAGAGTTTATGTGCACATTCCAAATAGCTTCTGACTTAATAACAGAATCGCATACGATACACGAGAGGACACCAGTATCTGAATATGTGATGGTGGAATTAAGGAGAATTTATTCATAAATGAAACCAAATGAAATGTCATAAATAAAACTTAAAAAGTACCTAAGTTTTAGCTCGATGGATAAAATTTTATCCATTTAATGCTCTGAATAGTGTAAAAAAAATATACCTAAATATATATAATAACTATATATATAATATACCTAATATATATATAATGTATTACTGGCTGCTTCTGAGTTTCATGATAGTTTAGACTGTGGTACATCTGCATCCACAAACTAAGAACCATAAACTCATTAAGCTTTTGCCTCTTACAATTTTCTAAGCCTTGGAAATAAAAATTGAAGCTGACAGAAGAGTCAGTCAGTGGATAAAAGGAATCTTTACATACAAAAAAATTTAAGGAACATCACTTGAATTTTAAGGAACTATTGTGATATGAGGTGAACATGATTAATGAATTCCTAAATTCAAAGCCCTCTGTGGGTAATGTCTTGATGAAAAAAGAGTATGTACCATTTTTTCAAAAGCTCATTCTGTTGGATAAAAAGTCATGAAAGCAAATTATTGCAAAGGTTCTGCCTTGAATGTCAAAATTAAGAAATTCTGTGGGTAGAGGCTATTTTTATTGAACCAACCCCTCAGAAGAAAACAAAATCTGTAGACGCACTTATATTGTATAAAAGCGAATACGCTGATGCTTTAACCACCTGAGTTATCACTACTTCAATCCACTCGGACACCAATTCTGAGGAGTGAGAGTTGTCTCAAACTAAAACCATTCAAATTTTCCTCTTTTTGCCATTTTTTAAATGTCATATAATCAGGATTTGATTCTCAGCGACTTATGAAGAGGCCTAGGAGCTGTTACCGAACTGATTACTCCTTTAATTATTTTATTAATCTTTATATTTTAGTGGTCATCATTGACCATATCATTTCAATTAATTATTCTTTTTATCTAAGATCCTGGATGAGATGAAAAAGTTAGTGTCACGAGCAGGATTTGAACCCATGGCTTTTCATCTCACCTAAAATCCTAGATAAAAAGAATAATTAATTGAAACAATTAATATGGCCAATTATGACTGCTAAATATATTTGGATTAATAAAATAATTAAAGAAGTAATCACTTCGCTAACAGCTCCCTGTGTCATTTCCTAAGTCGCAGCAAAACAAATCCTGAATACACAATATTAGAAAATAAGGCAAAAAGAAGAAAATTCAAAAGTTCGTAGGTTGAGATGAGGAGTCGGTGTACCAGTGGATCGAAGTCACGTTAGTTTAAGTGCAATACTTTTGCAATTCATGTCGAGAGACGTGTTTGTAGAAACCCTTCAACCTGACGATGAGCTAAAGGGCTCAAAATCCGGATTGTTGCAAAACAACTTAATGTGAGTAGGAACCATCTTTTTAAAAAAAGGATTGAACTCCACACCCCTCCATCATTTATAATTTCTATAGTTTAAGTGGTTAGAGCAGCAGCATATTCAGCTGAAAATTGAGGATTCGAATCCCACTCATGACACTAAATTTTTCATCTCAACCTTAGGTAAAAAATAACTAATTGAAATAATTAATATGGTCAATTATTACCGACTAAAGATATATGGATTAATACAATAATCAGCTCCCTGTTCATAAGTTGCAGCAAAACGAATCCTGAATATACAATATTTGAAAATGTGGAAAAAAGAGGGAATATTCAAAAGTTAGTTGGTTGAGATGAGGAGTTGGTGTCCAATGGATCAAAGTCATGATAGCTTAAGTGATTAGAGCAGCGGCGTATTCAGCCAAAAGTCAAGGGTTCAAATCCTGCGCGTGACACTAACTTTTTCACTGCAACCAAGACCTTAGATAAAAAAATAATTAATTGAAATAATTAATATAGCGCCAACAGGACTATTTTAAGCCTATGCATTGTTTAATATGTACAGTGGAATTTCATGGAATTTTAAATACAGCTTTGGTTATAATAAACGCCATCAGTGAATAGAGCTACAAAAACTGTGACTAATTAATATTTTTTTGTTAATAGTGACGAGCAATTTAATGGTGAAAATTTAAGAAAAAAAGGATATTTTGCCAGAGAAAATTTAAGAAAAAAAGGATATTTTGCCAGAGGCGATTCGATTTTCTTGATAGAGTCGAGGGCCTTCCTCTTCTGGGCAGTCATAAACTTCCTCAGCTCGGTTTGGGAAATTTTCTTCCTGCTCATCCTGAACTTCAGCATAGAAGGCGGACTGCAGACACGGTCAAAACAAACCGTCAAACCTTCTGCAGGTTGCCGGTTAACCGTACTGGTACTACTGGTACTAAGTTGGCAAAGCGACGCAAAACCCTTTCAGCTCTAGTTCAATCTATTTTATACTATTAATAATAAAATTTGGTTCAAGTTTAAGTTTTATATCAAATTTTATCTAAAAGATTGTGCAAGTGTGATAGTACGTGGTAATTGGTATTTAGAAGGAGATACGATCGATACGAGCGCTAAGTGCAGGTTGGGAGTATCGATGCTAAATTCTTTGTGATTTGGTATCGAAATTGCCCAGTTCGAGGTCGACGGGAGTTGACGTTTTCCCATCAGTTTTTCTCCTTGGAAAGGACCCGGGATGAAACTCCCCGCGGCGATGGGCCGTCTCAGCACGTAAGCGATGCTGTTCAGCACGGGCGCCAGTTACAAGTCGTACAAACGGGAAATGGACCCCGAGACGGGTAACGCGAACAACGACAACGCCAACATGGACGCGAACGGCAACGGAAAACGGGGCGTTCCGATGCAGAGGGACTTTTATCGGAGGTTGCGACGGGATTCGGACTCAGTGCCCGACTGCCCGGACTTGGACTTCGTCTACGACGACGCGGACTCGCACATCAACGAGATCGGCGAGCTCTACACCTACTCGGAGCAGCCGGAGTTCCAGTTGAACGTCAAGGCATTCGAGGAGCAGATGTACATGTACGACCTGTCCCCCAATTGGGGGAAGTTGGACCTCCAAAGGCGGAAGACCATCATCGCCAAATTGCTTGATCAGCTGGAAGTATCAGACAAGAACCTTCGTATGCAGGCTGCCAGATGCTTCCTGTACCTGGTGCAAGGATGCTGGGCTGAGGTAACAATAACATCTCATAAATGTCACAATCATATACTGAAAGAAATCTGCAGACTTCCCTTTAAACATGGTTTATATGCAATAAATTTTTTGGACAATTTGGTCACCTCTGAGTAAGTAATGTAGTTCTTAAGAGAAAATTGTAATCGACGTCCACTCGTGTGCGTGGCTGGTTTGGTATGCCAGAGTCCTGAGGTGGAGAAGGCATCACTTTTGTAGATGAGGTGATGAATATTAGTACCATTGTGTTTCTCCAGAGTCAACAGTTTGTAATTAATGCTGGTTTCAAATCATACAGTGGTTGATGAGTCTCCAATCAGCACATCGAATGTTTTCGGTGTGCATTATAGAACCCTGTATAAGCTATCTGAAGGGATGTGCAAAAATTATAAAATCTGATATAGGAAGTTGAGTCTAATGCTGCCCAAATGGTTTTTGTGATGAGAGCCAAGCTGTGGTGGTTGGTCTTGTGAACGTAGTTATGTGTTGTTGACTTGATTTGTCGGTTTGCCGAAGAATTCACTTGGGAATTTTAGATTTGTTCCATAGGCCAGATTAGCGGCAGTCCCTTTGATCTCTTCCTTGTAGGCACATCGTAATCCTAACAGTACTATGTCTAATGGTCAGAAGCCTCAGTCAGTGTTTATTCTGCTCGTGAGAGCAGCTTTCAGTGTCTGATTTTGTCTCTCAATGAATTACAGATGATAGCTTGTAATGTGATTTACTTTGATACCTCCTGAGGTTGGCAACCTGGTGAAAGAGTGAAGACATGAAATTTCTATCTTGGTCTATCACAATATGAAGAGGTAGATCAAAACGTGATATCCATCTGAAAAAAAATGTGCTAGTGATAGTCTCTGGTATTGGTATAGCCTCTACTACTTGAAGTGATCTTCAAAGGTTAAAAGATAGTTGTTGCTTCTAGGTGTATCGTTATGTACAAAAGTGAATCACTCCTTTCAGTGTGCCATGTGGTTTATATACAATATTTTTTGCACAATTTGATGTGGAGTGCCACAAACTTTTTACACTGAATAAAAAAAATTTACTCATTAAATCTGATATAAGAAGTTGAGTCTAATGCTGCCCAAATGGTTTTTGTGGATGTTCACATTGGTAAAACAGCCTTGATCTCCACTTTACATCAACAACAAAGAGATATCGATTTCTGTTCAAATCAAATGCTTAGGTCTATACCTAGATAGCAGACGGATGTGGAATCCCCACAAAAGATGTAATAGGCAACTTACAGAATACTTCGATGACGAGGAAGACTTCTAGGACAGAAATTTGTTTTGACCGTTAACACTACACTAACCTTATTCAAGATTTTATTGAGTGGACTGTGGGGTTTTGCCAAGCCATCCTACATCTAGCACATCCAATCATTCAAATCAAACAATCCTGGATGCCTATTAACTGACCAGTTCTTCAGAATGAGGTGCAGCAACTAAGATATGACCAGTACAAGCTGGCATCCTACAAGGGAACATTCTTAGTCCTATTCTTTATACCATTTATACTGCTGACTTTTGGATGATATCGCAATTTAATCTTCTAACCCAAATCCTATTCAAGCAACTTTCACCATCCAAAAACGCTTACCAGACTGTGCAAAATTGTACTCATTGTATTTTTACATTGGGGAAAAAAATCAGTTTGACCTTTGACTTTAGCCAATTCAATTTCTTCTTTTTATTATTTTATTACAGCCCACTTTTGTCACAGTTCATATTATTTGTTCAACTTACTGCGCATAAAAGTTATTTAATTAATATAATTGTTTTTATGTTTTAGGTGCAAAGTGATCGTGAGCAGATTTTGAACACGAGAGAAAACGTTCTACTACTTTATGATGAGGGGGTTTTTCACGCTTTTATAGAGCTTTTGAACATTGAAATTGAAAATGCGACAACAGTTTGTAGAAAGTTTGCAGTGAGCCTCGCTGATTCGATAGATCTGAGGGTAATTCTCACTGTTCTTTACACGACCGTCGAAGTGATCCGATCACTCATCGATGAGCCAAATGAGGACTTCTCCCATTATATACATGCAGTCCAGAATGACATCCTTCATTCTTTCGGTGACGATATGTTAATAATTAAACTGTTCAACATGGTGACAAGGTACTGCAGCGGGTCTGCGCCGCATTTCCCAATGAAAAAAGTCCTTTTACTACTTTGGAAGTGCATACTTGTCGGGCTAGGTGGGATAGACACACTTCGCCAATTGAAATATGAATATAGGAAAGAAGCGGGCTTAGAAACGATAGAAGAAGATACGATAGAGGTCGTTAGAAATATGCGAGCATCGTCCCCTCCTTTCAATGCTGCAGAGCTCCTCGAAACGCAGAACAACCAGAAAAGGAACAACAGGCCTCTTCGGCGTAGCCTTATGAAACAGAGTTCCCTCGATGAGCAAATGGGTGTAGAATTTGAGAACTCAGACACGTACGAAGAAATGAGGGAGAGCGAGTTGGAACCAGATAAAGATAGGATATTTGAGCAAGAAGAGCCTTCCCAGGCACCGAGTCCAAGACCTCTCACACCCGTCCCGATAAAGAGCAAAGGCCTCCCATGGGTTCCAAAAGTGAGGCAGAAAGACCTCGACCAATTTTTGGAAAGCACAAGGGTAAAATTTGTTGGCTTTCCTCTTGAAGGCGACCGTGAATCGCTTTTCGGCCTTCCCGAGCCGATCCACGAAGGTGTACGTGTCTTCAAGCAACATTTGTACAAATCTCTTTCTGAAATCCAAGTCGAACAAGAGGAAGAACTCGTTAAAAGCCCCGTATCCAAGTCTGAGGGCCCGATAAAGTTGACACCGGCAGAAATTGTTTACCAAGCAATGTTTCCCAATCTTCCTCAGTACATGATTTCCCTTTTAAAGATACTCCTTGCCGCTTCTCCAACTTCTAAAGCAAAATCTGACACCATAAATATCATGACTGATGTTCTCCCTGGTGAAATGCCCATGACAATGTTGCAATCTATGAAATTGAGCACAGATGTAAACCGTCATAAAGAAATTATCGTTAAAGCGATTTCAGGAATTTTACTCCTCCTGTTGAAACATTTTAAACTGAACCATATATATCAGTTTGAATTTATGTCTCAGCATCTTGCTTTTGCAAATTGTATCCCTCTCATTATCAAATTCTTCAATCAGAATATAATGACATACGTAGCAGAAAAAAATGTAATTCCGATTCTTGATTTTCCAGCTTGCGTAATAGGTGATCAGCCTGAATTGACATCAGAGAGTCTTGACATAGGAGATAACCAACAGTACTCTTGGAGGAATCTCTTTGCGTGCATAAACCTCCTCAGGATCTTGAATAAGCTCACTAAGTGGAAGCACTCGAGGATAATGATGCTCGTCGTTTTCAAATCAGCTCCCATTCTAAAGAAAACACTTAAAGTCAGGCATGCCATGATGCAACTTTATGTTTTGAAACTTCTGAAGATGCAGACAAAGTACTTAGGCCGTCAATGGAGGAAATCAAACATGAAAACAATGAGCGCCATATATCAGAAGGTACGTCATAGGCTTAATGACGATTGGGCATACGGCAACGACTTAGATGCGAAACCATGGGATTATCAAGGAGAAGAATGCATCTTGAAAACGTCCGTCGACAGATTCAACACTCGTAGATACACCCAACACAACACCGATCCGGACTTCGAGCCAGTCGATACCTGCATCACATCTGTACTCGGGCAGAGAGTCGAGTTGACGGAAGATTTCAAACAGCACTACGACCTCTGGCTCCAGCAGGAAGTTTTCCAGAACACCATCAGATGGGAAGAGCTTTTGAACCATGGATATTTATAGAGCCTGGAACCAACTGTGAAACCCCTCCTAGTCATTATTCGGTTTTTTTTTTCTGTGTGGAAACCTTTGTGTTTATTTCAAACTGGTGGAAATCGATCTGAATATTTTTGTGGACCAATTTATTTTTTTAAGTTTTTAAAGCAATTAAAAAAAGCAGTAACCAAATAAGTTTCATTGATATTTTCATTAATTAAACTGTAACTACGTTCTATGTATATACTAATCTTTGTAAAATATTCTTAGATAAATTTTGTTTTGTTTTTATTACTTTATATATATATATTTTTTTTTACTTTTTCAAACTCTTTCACTTTTCTTCTTGCAGTTTGATAGTGCCTTACTCGTGCAGAACGTTGTGACTGCATCTGCTGCTTAAATGTTGTGTTAGGTCATTAAACATTTTGTAGAAATGCATTTGATAGCAATCCAATTGTCTTCCTGTTATTTCTCTCTTTAGTGAATAATTTTGTAAAAAATTTTGTAGAAATAATATGACACGATTTTTTAAAGACAGTCACAATTATTTCTCACATTTAACATGTTCAATAAAAAAACAAAAAAACAACCGCAAATGAAACTTACAAGGTGCAAGTCCAAAATTTTCATAAGTTATCATTTCCTCTGTTTTTGTTTACTGAACTCATTATTTATTAAATATTTATGTATTAAAGAAATAACTAATAATATGCCTCTAGAATATTTTTTTCTGTCAGTGTTTGACTTCCATCTCCTCCCCACAGTCACTCAAGTGAACACCAAAGGCAATTAGTCTAAATTGTTGAAAATACAGCCTAAATCTATAATTGGGATTTTCACTTTGACACCCTCCTTGCATTCATGCCAATAAATACAATCAGACAGTGAAAATCAAGTATTCACTATCCTAAGTTAACCTAATTGGTTCGACAAACCTGTGGGTACTCGATATACCACACAGACTGTGTTTATAAACACTACCACTCGTGCAAATAAATACATTCATACAGTTGAGTAGTCACCAGGTTTTTTTTTATATGCCAGTGACTATCCTCCTATCCCATTGCAAATGGATATTGAACTAAATAACCTAGACATACTTGATATTTCATCCCAAAAATAGCATAATGCTCACACCAATAAATACATTCACCCAAATTAAGGATATTATTTCAACCTATTCATACTATAACAAGCTACACAATCGGTTTTGTTGATTACTCAGGCATGATTGAGAAATTTCTGGTAGTACAATTTGACTACACAATGAGATTACTGTCAGTTTCAATAAAACTATTGTACATATGACAACAGTATTCAGGAATGGATGGTCAGGGCTTTCTTTAAAAAAATAAATAAAATAAAGTTCACCCCACCAGTGTATTACAGGAGACAGATTGAAGAAAATAAAACATTCTTGATGTCCTTGATGGTCTACCGATGAAAGAGCAAAACCGAAAATACCCATGCAGCACAGTTGTAGAGAAAAATACACCCTTTGATTTATTTTGACTAACTGATAAAATTTTACTGAATATAACAAAGTATTTATTGTGAAAGTTATTTACTTCCAGGAAATAAAATTCACTCTGGCTTCCTTGGTTCCCATAAGGCCAGCTGTGTAAACAATGATAATATATTCAGTTATTATTGTTAGTAATAATAATTGAATTTTTTAAAAACAATTCAATGTTTTTACTACAAACAGGAAGCTAATTATTAGAATTTATTACAAAACAAACAAAATTAGGAATTTTTCCCAAACTTTTTGCTATAACTTTATTTTTTGACTGTTTTAAAAACAAATTGCAGCATTGATTTCAGTGTAAAAAATCCTTTGAAATGATGCTTAGGTACTTTACGTATTTTTTTAAAGCAGAAATTTTCAAAAATATTAAATAGATATTTTTTGGGAGTATAGCATTTTCTATTCAAGAGATTTTCAACCTAGTCCAAAACTCCTCACAACAATTAAGGCTAATAATATTAATGAAGTAGTAATGGCGAAAAAATTATTCTATGAGCAAACAAAATATAAATATTGTTTATCAATTATAAAAATAAAACTATTGAAACAAATCGCTTCATTGACTACGAAAATATGAGGTTTGTCTCGGTTGTCTAATAAAAATTTACAACTTTGAATCAACCTTTTATTAAATGAATGTTGACCATGATATCTCCGACAGAATGCCCTGTGTCCAGCTGTATTGTTCTACACAACTGTTCCCACAAAGGCAAATTTGGATTTTCCAATATTTCCAGATAAGGACCCATAGAAGTAATCGGGACTTCGCTTTTTACTTCGATTCGCTCCGGTGAAATGCGGGAAATGATGTAACTGTAGATGAGTCTTTTGTTCCATTTGATTTTTTTAGAGATGACTTCTAAGTATCGTTTAAGGTGCATTTTTAACTCAGGGCATTTATAAATCACCGATATCTTCCTCTGGCTCTGTTTGAAAAAAGTCGGGTCGTTATCGTCATCACAGATTTCCAGATCGCACCATTTTGGCTTTGTCGGACCTGTGTGCCTTTCGGTGCAGTCCTGCTTAAAAAGGCGATAGTGGACGATGGATTTGCCCGACTCTATGCTAATCCCTGACGACTCTGTTTTTTTTCTATTGCTGTCGATCAACCTTATTCGAATGATATCACTAGTTTTCATGTTCTTTCCGTATCTAGTCTTGGCAATTTCTCCCTTTTTAATAGTTTTCATCTTTATTAAAGAACTTCTCGTCTCGCTGTCTTTGTTGCAGATCGTGGTCAACTCGGACAAGTCGGACTTCACATACGTACCGAGGGCACAAGTGTGCGGCCTCCTTGATTTCCTTAACCCCTTCATTAATTATTTGTGAATATTTCACGAGTCAGGGTGTATGATAAATGATAACACGTGCTATCTTACAAGTTTAATCACTTCATATATTAATATAAAGTAAAATTTATTTACGGATTGTTAGAAAATATTTTATCTTCATGACGCAAATATTCTCGGCTGGACACTGCAGCCAGTTTTAAATACATAATGATGATTAATCACTTTCCTGAAACAAACAAAAAATTGATTGACAGGTTTTGGTTGATAATATTAATTAAAAAATAAAATAAATGACTTACTGTTGGATCACAGTTTGCACAATGCCAGGAGTAGCCCCTGACCTTAGGTGATTTTTTTACTGGCGGATCGAGACAAGCAAAATGGAATCCTTGGAGGCACTCATCACATCTAAAAACGTATAAATAAACAATCGAGTTAAAACAATAAAATTTAATACATTGTTTTTTTTCATTTGTTAAACATTTCTCAACAGATGTGAAAATCAATATGATTACCTGACGAGATTGGAAGCATTGCCGACCATGTTGCAAGTGACGCACATAATTGGATCTTCTTCTTTTTTCTTGGCCACTTGACGGAAAACTTGACCAGGGATCACCACTGTCGTGGGACTCACAGCAGCGACAGGTTTTGTTGGAGATAGATTAATACTGGGCGTAGCAACGTACGAACTTCCTCCAGTCGGATGTGGGACAGACTTGAACTAAACAAACAAATGTTAATTTCTACTGGGAGAAAATAGAACTTAAATTATACTTACACAAATTTTCAAGCTTTGTCGTTGTTCGTCCTGCTGTTTGGTGTGTTTGTGCTTGTGCTTATGTGGCCTTGGATTCCCTGGTTCGGGAGAGTACCGATGATGTTTCTCCCGCTTTCGTTTCTTACCACTTCTGAAGCCTTCATTTACTTCTGAAATGAAAATAAATAACTGTAGAAAACTAATTTAAGCTTATAAGACACAGTACAGAAACAATAATTAACGAAAGAATTGAACTTCTTTAAATCATGATGAAATTATATTTATTTATTTAAAAGAATTGACTGATAATAATGACAAAACAGTCATTAGGTTCTAGGTCTGCAATTTTGTTGGTAACCCTTATTTGAATTCTTATTATTATCAATTTGTTTAGATCAGAGCCAAATTTGTTGGAGAATGCTTTCACTAGTTTAGTATTTATTTGTAGTTTTGTTTTTTCCGGTCATTTTGGTCTGCTTATCGTAACTGTTTTGGTCTAGCAGATAAGTTCGGCTTCTGCCATCTTCAATGGTGGGTGTGTATGTCTTTTCCCAGCTCTGTCAAAGAGACCACAACAGCAAGGATAGGAAGATAAAATTGATTAGGCAACAACTAAGCTACAGGTTCGTCACACCTTGACCCCCATGAAGATTTTTTTTTAAATTCAAAGCTTGGAGTCAGTCATCATTGATCATCTGCTGATAGATCTAAACAAATGAACCTTGAGATCCAATAAATAGATTGTTTGTGATGGCCTGATAAATTCCAAATGGCAGGTCTGTTCATGCTCGTAATTGAATTTTTACAAAGACCTGATAGATTCCAAATGATCCATTATGCTTAGAAATGATCGTTTGTTTTCTATCCTGTTTTTTATGATTTTGAAACAACTCACAGACTGATTGCATTAAACTTTAGGTTTTTAATTCTATATTGGCCAAAATTTATGAAATTCCAAATTATTCATGTAGACCAATTGAGTAAAAGTAAAACAAACAACAAATTTGAAGACCTAATCTAGCATTTTCTTCAAACTGTTCTGAAAAAGAAAGATAAGCAATTTCTGTACACAATTATGACCACAAAATTGATGGTGTAGCTGCAGTCATTCCTAATTGATCCACCAATAATCATAATTGTTGTACCACAAAAAAATAAAAAGTAAAAAATAAGTAAAATAAGAGCATAAAAATGTGTTCTGGCCAAGACTGCTGGACGTGAGTTGAAAGAGATCCTGGAAATTGGTAAATTAAAGATAAAACTAACTTTTTCAGAATGGATGATGAATTTTAACTTCTTCACTCTAATTTAAGAAGTCTATAAGAACAGTAATGAAATTTGGGCTGCCCTTTTTTTTTAATTCATGCAGAATAATAATATTGTAAAATGTTTACAGGGTACAATCCTATACCCTTGAGCTGCCACTTCTCAACCTGTAATTGCACAAAAAGGACAAGATGTTCTGACTCCTTTTCTGAAATATTACTTAATTGATATTGTTCTACATACATTAATAAAGATTTGTTTAAATCATAGCTATTAAAATATAAAAGCAAAGTTTGGGTACAATCCACGTGCAAGCAAAAAAGCAACTAACTTCATGCACAGCAAAGCTGTTCAAAAACACACCAATGAATGGAGAACCGTTGAAGGCTGGTTTCGTTTATCACATTTTGATGTGGTGAGGAGTAAAAAATATGTTGAAATTTCAAAAATTTCAGAAAAAAACAATTAAATTAAAAAATTATTTTACCTGACAACTGCATGACCTTTGAAACATCTTCAAATGATGAAACTTCTTTAACATCATACTACAAAACAGAAAATAAATAAAAACAAAAATAAAATTTAAAAAATAATGAAAGGATTAAATAAAAATATATATGAGGACAAATCTCAATGTTTTTCTTTACATATACCCGATCAGAAAAGAAAGAAGAGTCGCCGTTTCCACTTTTTCTCAGCTGCCTTGGCGCTTCAGGATCTACGATTTCGAGTCCAGAACTATCTGAATCTTTGTCACATTCTGAACACTGCCTAGAATGAGGAGAGCCGGGTTTTACACTCGATGAGAGGCAGAGTAAGTAAATTTGAAGAAAAAAAAAAATGCCTACCAGCCCATCAGCTTGGTTTTCTTGGGCATTCTCATGAGGGGAGGGTTGAGGCAGCCCAAGTGGTAATGCTTATAGCATGTGTCGCACTTGGCCAGCAGATGCTGGTCCTGCCTACCATTGCAAAGCCCGCAACTGTTATTTAAAGAGGGAACTGAAAATGCAAATAAATTAACCAATAATAATGTCCATTTACATTGAGTTGAAAATTTACAACTTGTTTTTTAGTTCAGAAAACAATCTGAACAATGAAAAGAGAGTATTAATTGGTTCATATATCATTAATTACTTCATCCTTTGGAATTTTTATAAACAACACGTAGTTAATTATTTGAGAATTTTGAATCAATACTTTTCTCATATTAATATTCTTCTTTGAAAAAATAATAATAATTATTTTTTGAGAATAGGTCATACATGTAAAAATGCAAAGTAAGCCATGGCAATAAGTTATCTGCCTGGAGGAAGAATTCAAAAATAAAACCCTTAGTCTAGAAACAATAAATTTTTAATGTGCTATTCAAATGACTGACTCGAATTTTTAATTTTTGGTCATTCCTAGAAGAAGAAAAATGGATAAATAAATAAAATAGGGGTGCAGGAAAATAAGGTTGAGGATCAATAACTTAAAATTATTCAAAGCCATTTCTAAATGTATAGTTTTAATTTAAGTAGACATCAGTTACTGCAATTGCAACACAAAGCTCACCACACTTTGCCAGTTAAAAAAAAAAAAAACAAGAAAAAAAAGCATTTTCACCAGAGCAACATTCCAAAGGTGCAATCTCAACATAATATGTGACAAACAATATTTTTTTGAAACCAGGCTTCATATAGGTTCGAACTGAATCAAACACGTGATGGATGGCAAAACGTTAAAAAAAAAAAAAAAAATAATAATAATAATAATGAAAAACAAAGCAATACCTGTCAAATTGTTTGCAGACATTCCTTGAGACGGCAACGACCCGGGCTTTTTGGGTGAACAGACTATAAAAATTCATATTGACAATATTTTTGTTTACGTCTGTCTCTTTAGGATTGGCATATACAAACCTTGTGTAAAAGGCGTGGGCTGTAGAAGGGGCCTTCCGAGTAAATTCAAGTCAGGCGGTTTGTGGTTGGGGCACAACAAAGAAATCAGATCGTGGTACTTTTTCAGTTCTTCTTTGAGCTGCTGATTTTTGTTCATTTCATCTGTGTTGTCCTTTAAAATCTGTGTAATATACATTTATTTCATAAATGACTCATAAATTGTGCATTAAAATATATATTAATTTAAAAAAAATCTGAAAAAAAAATCCTGGATTAGCTCAAAATACTAATAGAGCCATACTAAATAGCGAACTGATCTTGGTCCTTCACTACCTTCTATTCCAAGCATTCATTCTAAAGGTTATACTTCACTTTGAAAAAGAAATGGAGTAGACAATTTTTCAATTAAAATTGAAGGAGTGGCATAGAAGTGACCAACTGGTTCGCAGATGGCAATGATCAAGCATAATGTCATATAATTTAAATTTAATTCTTAAAACCGAAGTAGCTGAGTGGCCAGCATGTTAAGACTCCTGGCTTGCAGACCCTGCAGTTGTGGGTACAATTATCACAGTACCCCTGGCCTTTTTATTTTTTTTATTTTATTTATTTATTTAAAAGCTTAAAAGGTAAAACCTTATTTTAAGAAAAAAAATCACCTTATCTTTTTTTTCTTCGACGACTGATTGTTCCTCAAGCAATTTCGCATTCTCTTCCAATAATTCTGCCAACTGTTTGCGCATTGTTAGGATTCTTACATTTCGGTCAAGATAATAGCCGATAAACTCCACTCTACAAAAATAAAACAAATAAATTGAAACATTTTACTCTTCATGGTATATGTATTTTTTTAAAGAATGTGACTCACGTGAAAGCAGGTTGAATGTACCATCTCCTGTGTACGTCAGATAAAGCATCAACTTGAGACTGCCGCAAAGCCCAACCTTCAGTGTCTGCTCCACTAAGCTCCGCTTTCCTCCAGAGAGCCTTGCAAGCACTGGCACTTGTTGTGAGAAGTCTTGCCATTTTCTGAGTTGGGACTGAAAAATAATAAATTTTCAAAAACCTGTCTAATGAGAGTATGATAAAAACTTACCCCATGGTTGTAATTTTCCAATTCTAGAGTTTATGTATTTTGTCCTATACTTGCTAAGCCTACGTTTTATCCTCTGAAGCTCCTCGTCCTCTTTGCTCGTCTTTTTAATCTCATCTGTCCTCATCTGCAATGCCAGCCAGTTCCTCCTCCTTTTCCTAAAGGACAAAAATAATTTTAAGCAATAGTAGCAGAAAACAGGTAAATAATCAATTATGCATACCTTAAGAGATTTTTATCAGTGTGGAGTTTACAATGTGCGTAAAATGGATCGGCTTGTTCTACTTCTTCCGAATGGGCTTCAGCTAACAAGCCTTCTCTCTGACCACTGAAAAATTACAATAATTAATTTAAATGTTTTTACTGGCTTTCTTTCTACAAAAGTAAACAAGGTTTACCAAGTGACATGAAAGTGAGTTTTGCACATTCCAGCATCACAACCGACGACAACTCCTGTTCTAGCGAACCGCTGGTCTGGACAAAGACTGCACGGTTTGGCCCCCCATTTAGAATAAGCCATTTCGAACAGAGTGACATTCTGCAATTTATCGACCTCTGCGAATGCCACCCCTGGCACATACAGGGCACAAACTAAGTGGACCCATTTACCCACATCAGTTTCTTTGAATATCCCACCTGAGAGTAGAAGAAATTAAGTCAGACCACAATCTTTGAAAGATTTCAATGGGCATTTTACCTCCATTCGGACATAGCTCACACTCAGGGTCATCTAGACCGGCCTTACAAGCATCACAGAACCATGGCGTTGTAGGGCAAGGAGAATCAGTACTACAAACACTATCATTATCCTGAACCCCATAACATCCTAAAAATCTCATATTATTGTTAAATTTATGGGTATAAAACTATAGAAGTCTAATTTTCAGAACCTGGCTCTTTTAAATATGGAATTTTAAAAAAGTTTCATCTCAATTATTGATTCATCACATTACCTTCATGCACTGTAACACTGCAGTTGTCGCATTCGATGATCTCATTTGTCGCATCACTTTTATCACCAAGGCATACAGTACAGATCATGATTTTAAGTGCTGTTTTAGAATTAAACTGAAAAATTATAAATTAACAATTGGTACATTATTTGAGCTACTGTGATTTTTAAATGCCATTATTTGTCCTTTAATGTGATACCTGTTGTGCATTCTCCGACATGGAAAGGACATCATGAAAGTCTTTTTTCTCACTTTCAACAGCACTGACCAGCTCACTGCCTTCGGAGGAGTCGGAATGTTCACTTTTTTCATCATCTGAAAACAAAAATACGTCAAATTACAAAATTTGTACATTCTTACATTATTGTGAGATTAATACTATTACAATCTTAAAGTGATTTAATGAATTATGATTATTAACTGAAAAACGAGTGCAAAGGCAAGTAGCCAATCTTTATCTTTACTTTAAAGAAATCAACACTGGGACACACATCAAAGCAAAAACTAGCCAATCTGATGTCTAGAAAGACCTAAGAAACTTAAGTACAAATTTTTTGACACGTTTTGCAAAAAAAGGATGTGTTAAGTAGGCATTATCTGGAGCCCAGATAATGCTAACTTTCCATCCATTTTTGTCTAGCAAATTAGATTTCTGTAAGATTTTTTTTAGTGGAGAATGAATTGTGGTGGTTGCATTGATGCATTAACTGTGATGATTGATCAAATCATGCAAATAAAATTAAATTTTCTTGCATTTATCTTTGTTTAAAAAATCTCCTAAAAACACTTTACAAAATAATAAAGCTTGAAAAAATAATAAAGAGATTGGTAAAATTCAACTTCCCTAAATTTTAGAAGACTTTGGTAGACATAAAAAGGTTTGTTCAGTTTTCCATTGGGACTTTGCAAAAGTAACAAATTCACTAGTGTTCGTGGTCTGCTAGACAAATTAATATCTTTCAATTAAGTAAAAAATTGAATACTTGGAATAACAAACATATGCTTAGGTTTCAAACTTTGCAGGGTTATCTACAATGATCCTGAGCATTTGAATTTTTTTTCTTTTTTATTTTCTAGACGTGCCAAAATTTGGCTTTTTGCATATTGCATAAGTGAAATGTTGGGTTTTGTCTTGATTTCTTTAAAGTAACATACATGTGACGAAAATTGGTAAGCCTTAATCTTCTCTAGATGCAAAAATCTTCTAGCTTAGGCTAGCAGATTTTAAAGTTTCAGTCTTCTTCCGAAAGGAACTTCACATGTGAAGATATGCCATTACAACAAGGGAATGTAAATGGATCTTGTTAGTGTCTTTCTTTCCAATTATGACAGTTTAGAACTAGAATATTAATCATTAGAGCCATACTTGTTTAGTTGATATTTCACCAGATAATGCTAACTTTGCATCCATTTTCGTCTAGAATGTATCAAAATTAGTCTTTTGTAAGTTTCTTAGTGAAGAATGAATTGCAGTGGTCACATCGTAAAGTTGAGGCTTCCCTACCAAGCTCTTTCTTTCCTCAAGACTAATTCTGTAAAAATCATTCAATTCTTTGATAGCATTAACCAGGGCTTAATTACATGATGGCCAATTAAGTACTTTTGCTTTAACAAAATCAATGCTTCACATAATGATTGATTTACACAATGCAATAAAAAAATTGTTTTTTTGATACATTCTAGAAAAAAAGAGGTCTAATCTGCCCAAGCCAGAGGATTCTTACATCTCAAGAAGCTTGTAGCTTATTAAACTCTTACTTAACTAAACTCTTATTTTGTTACAATACAGTCAACTCTTGTTAATTTGAAACTTGATAATTTGAATTTCTTGATAATATAAACTCCTCAGCAGGTTACTTCGGTAAATGAAAAAAAATTCTGTGCATTTTGATACACTCAGTAAAACGAAATATATTTGTAACAGGGGAAGAAAAAGCATGCTAATAATCGAAATTGAGCCACTTTTCATCATTACAATTTCCACTTTTTCTTTGTTATATTCCTCTAAATTCCCATGTATTGTTTACTTCCTTTTTAAACTGATTTTAACAAAATTAGTCTAATGACCACCATTTAATATCCTTTCCGTCCCCTATTGATATGTCAAAATTTTGTGTTTTGTATTGATTTACTTAAAGCAAAGGTACATGAATAGTCACATGCAATTACATCCTGGTTAAAGCTCTGATAGAAAATACAGTCGACACTTGATAATTGAAATCCTAGCGACCACAAAAATAATTCAACATCAAAATATTCGAATTATCAAGAGGAAAGAAACAAAATTGTTAACATTTGATAGGCATTTTTTTCAAGTTATTAGTTTAATTGTACATAATAAAACATAATGCAAAAGAGGAAATATATCAACTGTAAAATTGAACATTGTTAAGCATTATTAAAATAAATCGTGAAGTGGTTTTTGTTCAATACGGCTTGGTTTTGTTTAAATAATTTTCAAAGTGAGCAGAGCTGAGAACACATTGGCAAAAACACTGACCGCAGAATAACAAACTAGAGAAAATTCTAAGAAACTTAGAGCATTAGAATCATTTTGTTAAAAACATAAAATTTTTAATTTATAATTTCCTTCCTTGATTTAAATTATAAATGTGTGGTGATTAGTGTTTTTGTTTTTTCTGAAACCTACGTCACACCAGACCGCATCTCACAATTTCTGAATAATCATTTAATTATAAAGTCCCTTTGAGAAGAAAAAAAACTTTAGAAATCTGCCCAAACCAAGGATTCTTCCATCTCAATAAGCTTGCAGCTCTTAATCTCTTAATTTCTAAAAGTCTTATTTTGTTACAATATTTTCTTTCAGAGCTTTAACCAGGTCTTAACTGCAAGATGGCTATCATTTACCTATCAAAACCCAAAATTTTGACATATCCTGAAATATAAAGGAATCACTTTTTACATAAACAGATAATTCCGCAAAGCTTGAAACCTAAGCAACCTAAGAAACATCTAGAAAAAAAAGCGTGTTAAGTGGGCATTGTCTGAGATATTAACTAAACAAGTCTGATTAACTTCTAAAGAAATAAATTGCCATAATTGCTAAGTCAGAATAAATGCAAAATATAAACAAATTCCATTTCCTTAACTATGCTATATGGCATAATTTAAATTATAAATTCCAATGGGGGGGAGGGACTTTAGAAATCTGTTATGTCCAAGCAAGAATATTCTTGCATATCAAGAAACTTGAGGCTTCCCTACAAATCTCTTTCTTTCCTCAAGACTAATTTTTTTAAAATTATAAAAAAATTTGATGACATCAAACAGGACTTAAATGCATAATGACCAATCGTTTACCTTAGCTGTAAGGAAATCAATACTAAACCCAAAATTTTGATATCCTGAAATAAAAAGGTAAACACTTTTTATATAAACAGATAATTCTGCAAAGCTTGAAATCTAAGAAACATAAACTGTCATAATTGCAAATGTTAGCAATTTCATTTCCTTTCCATTGTTATATAGCTTCATTTAAATTATAAAGTCCCTTTGAGAAGAAAAAAAACTAGAAATCTGCCAAAGCTGGAGGATTCTTCCAACTCAAGTAGTTTGTAGCTTACCAATCACTTTCTTTCCTCAAAATTTTGTTACAATCATAAATCATAAAATTCTTTGATAGCATTAACCAGGATCACAACAAAACCCAAAATTTTGACAAATCCTTAAATATAAAGGAAACACTTTTTATGTAAACAGATAATCCTGCAAAATTTAAGCCTAAGCTAATTAATTTTTTTTCTAATTTTGTTTTAAACTTTGTTTAAACTGTAAAGGCCTTAGGGAAGCTGAACAAACATTTGTAAGTCTGATAAGTGCTAAGCCTAAGAAATCCTGTCAAATCGGAAAATTTGAAAGTTAGGAAAAAATAGTAAAAATATATTTCGAATCAGAAAACTTTTTTCCATTAAGATAGCACTGGTAAGTTTTAAATAAAATACAAATCTTTTTAATAATTTTGTTTATTTTTTTAGAGCATAAAAAGTGCACTTACCGGAGGATGAGTCGATGGCGTTTGAGTCGATGGAATCATCAGATTCATCGCAATGATCTTCAATACGAAAATCGCTATCGTCCGAACTTTCGCCCAGGTCTTCGAAATCGAACAGAGCCTGGGCCGGCTTGACTTTGCGTTTGTTAGGATCCCGTTCCACTAAATAATTGAACAGCTTGTTAGGTAAATCCATTAGGGGATTTTGATTTCTAAATCCTTAAATAAAAGCCGTTTAACATAATCTCTTCTGTCGAGGGTTTTCAACAGACTTTTTTTTTTTTTTTTGAGGTAGAGGTTGGAAGCTTTGAAAAGTTCGAGTGGCAAACTTACTCAGAAGAGGAATCGCACGGGACGATTAAATGCGGCGTTTTCCGGCTCATAAAAACGTGCGAAATACGAGATCGCATTCAAGACCGACGGCTTCGGCCCGGGCGGACGAGCGAGACGCTAAACGCGGACGAGAACGGGGCCACGCATCAAAAACTTGGTCAAATCAAAGTCAAAAACTTGGTCTCGTCCCGGAGGCCGAAACACAAACAGAAAAAGGCGACACAACACGGCAGCGACAGCGGCACCGGGCAGGGTTGTGAATGTGCATGACCACGGGAACCGAACGGCACCTCGATTACGTCAATGCAGTACAATCATCAAACCGCACAGAGAGACATCTTTCATTCTATTGGACACACAATTAATAATAATAACAATAATAATAAACATATATAATATATACACATTTTATAAGCATTATAAATTAATATAATATAACAAAAATAATACAAATAAATGTGAGTAATTGATGTATTTACTTTTTTTTATTAAAAAAATGGAAGTATTTTCTAACAAAAACCAAAAAATATCTAGATTACGGAATAAATCCAATTTAAAAAATTTTTAAATATAGAGTAAGTAATACTTTGATTGAGTCTAAAATTTCTATCAATGTATAACTTCATTATTTACATTGTATATGTATTTGTATAATTTAAACAATATTTCTAAATCCCAGGCCCTGAAGATGATGTCAATAAAGATCGAAACGTAGCACGATAAAGAAAAGGTTTTTTTTATAAACCTAAGTCACACCAGACCTCATATCACCATCTCCAAATAATCATTAATTAACGATCATTAAACACCACACATTTAAATATAGAAATGTAACAATTTACAAAATGTAATGACATATAAAATAAAACTAAGAAAACAAGGAAAACAATTATTTATTTAACAGCCCATTTGTTTTTTTAATGTACAAGATGTAAAATGTAACAGTTTCCTAAATAAACTAATATTTACAATAAATAAGTTCAGGGATGCAATCATAAAAAGAAGCAGATTTTGTAACTTTCGCCAAGCTTTATTGAGGAATTCATCAGGGCTCTACAATTACAATGTTTACTGTTAATAATACGAACACAATAATTATCAGAAAACAGATAACTTACACATCATAATATTACAAGAAAAATATTTTAACAATAAATATAATAATTTATTGTATATATAAACATATAACAACTATAAATAATAACAAAAACTAACAATAGATAATTAATCAATAAACAGACACAAAGAAAAATATGTCTTAAAAATTATGTATATACATAAATAACAAACTTCCATTTAATAGTTCTAACAGGTGAGAATGATCCCTCTTCTACGAATCAGGTCCTCCAAGGGCCTTCTATTGGCAGTCTTAAGTTTTATTAGATAGCGGTCCAGACTATGGAATATTATTACAGACGGTGTCATACATAAGAATAGTACAATATTTTATATAAGCCCTTCCATTCAGGCTAATAAATACATTCATTACAATAAACAACATCTCATATATAAAGGTACTAAGATTTATATCAGTTGAAAATAGTTATGACCCTGAGATATTTTATCACGGAAATGTCTTTATTGATATTACACGTATTGAAAGGTCGTTGAAGTAAATTAAAAAAATATATATATCCTAGGATAGACCCTTGTGCAATCCTCACTCTAATAAACCCTGCTTTGAGGTCATTTCTCCAAAAGCAACAACATACTTTCTATTTGCCAAGATGTTTTCACACAGATCCAAGGGTGTAATGATGACATGAAATTTTGAAATGAAAGTTGACGGTTGGGAAGATTAAATACATTTTAATTTGACGTGTTTTGGTCTATAATGAAATGGATTTCCCTTAAGCTCGTTATTACTCTAGGGCAAAACCAAATGCCTACAACACTTCCTAGCAAGAATTGGCAAAATTTGCTTAGTTTTATCTTTTCAGCATTTCTGAAAATGAGTAAATGAAGAAAAAAATTATCAAATCAAATTTTTCCATGTAGTGCCAGAAAAAACAAAACAACAAAAACATATGATTTTTGTTTCTTTTGTGAGCCAAACTAGTTATTTTCTTTCTTTTTTTTTTTTTTTTAACATTTTTCATTTAGAAATTTCGTTTTGGATCTTGAACAATGGTAAAAATGACAATCACATTTCTTCTTGCTTATGTCCATGAAAAGCGTAAAAGGACTTCAAAAGTGAGCTCATCTGGAAGAAGCTCTTTTGCCTCGAAATGGTCAAAAATTTCTAAACAGTTATCAAATTCAGGTATCTGTGAGGATCCCAAAGAATGTAAAACTAGTTTATTTTTCATTGTATTTTGTTGTTAAAGGTAGCTCTAAAAAAACAAGGAGAGTATCACCCACAAACTCAAATACCTCAGTTTTGACCACCATCTCTAGAAGCTGTGAGGTTTAAAAAAAGAAAATAAAGAAATGCTAGACACACTGAGATTACTAAGCTTTGACTTTAATTTTAGCTGGTTACCGTTTCAGCATGAAAACTGGTGGTGGATATTTTATCAACTGCCAAGGAGCAAATCGTGGCTGTTACAACTTATCATATGATTTAATGCCACAAAAAACATGTTCCCTTTTGATATTTTTGTATAAAGGAATGGCCAAGGTAGAATGCTCAAGAAAACATTTATCAATTATTGACTTTACATATGACTGTAAATTCACCGTTATTTGTCTATTATACCTTAATTTTTTGTACAATGTATATGTCTTCATTTGTTTGGAAATTGTTTCCAATGTGAAATACCAAAATTAGTTTCTATTGTTGCAATAAAACTTATTTTTCCAAAAATCATTAGATGATTTTTGTTAAATTGAATCCTAGAGGTTATTAAATATTGCCTTGGCTAGAGATAAAATCTATTAATTATCAATTTTATTAAACAGCTCTGTAGTGGATTTACTTAAATAAGACAAATTACGGCTTTTAGATAAGTTCAATGAATGAAACTTGCAATATCAAAGTAATCAGAAGTCACTGTAAAAATTGGATCTGCTTTTCAGTGATTCACAAATTTAAACCACTGGCACTAGAACAAGTGGCTGAGTTCTTAAATCATAAAATAGAATTCAACTTAAATGAAGAAAAAACTGTTGATGACCGGTATGCACACTTGTCAGCTAGATGAGTATCAATTATTCTGTGTGCCATTTTTGACACAAGATGTTTCTAGTGCTTACATAGACCAAGGAAAATTGTATTACTGTTTCAATGAAAAACCAGAAACTGGAATCCATAAGTTTGAGAAAGTTTATCCAACAAGTCCAGGGGTGGTTCCGGAAAAATATGAGGATGAGGACGAGGACAAATATTGGTTTCCTGAAAGTGAGATGTTCGCTACTCGAATCATCCCTGCACCTTCACCACTTCATGTTCATCGAGTAATAGAAAAAATGGAACCGCCCAATGTTACTATCAGCTTTATGACCTGTGAACATGCAAGAAAGCCCTTATTGAAAAAAAATAACAATTTAATTCTAACTGGTGACCAGTTGCTCTATGGTAAATTTGCTTTAAGTTTTGATTACATTCACATTTGTTATGCTTGAGTCATGCCTGCAATCTGCACTAAAAATTATTTTTTAGTCAAATTTTAGAAATAATCATAATGAAAATGTAAACAAAAGAACTTTGTAATAATTATTTTCAGATAAACAAACGTGGGATTTGGACTCTGGACCCTTAGCAACAAAAGTTAAGCAATTTGCCATCTGGATCAGCCCAAGTAACATGTTATCCCGTGAATTCAGGGAAGAATACATTCCTCTAGGGATCTCCCTGAAGCGAATGATCAATGTCCCTTTGAATTTACCGAACATCGAGTAGGTTTTCCCCCCCCCCCCAATTGTTGAAGTTCACTTTGCTACGCTTTTATTTTCAGCTTCAGTAAGCTCTCTTTGGAGTACAGCTTAAAGGATGTCATTAGACAAGAAGTGCTAGTTGATAATATTGACTGGGAACAAGGCATTATTTACTTTAATTATTACAAGATGCACATCTTCAAGAATATCCCTCAAATAAATTTGATCAGAGCCTTACAATTTAACAAATTAAAGATTAAGGTTTTTAATAGATTATGAATGCAGTTGAAGTAACCCTACTTGTAATTACTTGGAAGCTAATTTCTTTTATTAAGAAACCATTATTTATAACTTTGCTTATAATAGGAAACACAATTCTCAACCACTGAGAATTTTGTTGATCTTTTTACAAAGTTTCTGTAAATTTCTATGATGTTTCACCTACAAAAATAATATTCTATGTTCTATTTAACCATCAAAGATAATAAAATATCTCTACCAAAAGCAAAAATAAAACTTTTAATTATTAATTTTACTACAGACTATAGTTTGAAACATTTGATAGATAAATCAAACTTAAAAAAAAAAAAAAAATACCAGTAGGATTTCTTTAAGTTTCAACCTCATATTTAGTTTTTATGTTTAAAGAAATTGTAATAAATGTTTAATTTTAGTTGCTGGCCCCTTTGAAGAAATCTACTGCTAGATATACTATTTGCCCTCTGACAGGAAATATAACCGATAATCAACTTTTTCATTTGCAAATGCAAGATGACAGGATATCCAAAAGGTCTGTTTTTAGGCCGATGAATGAACCAAGTCCGAAGAACAAAAAGGTGGTTCCTTCAAAAGTTGTGATTGGTTGCGCCTACCTCGACCTATCCTCTATTTTAGGATGCGCATTTAGAATGGACTGCAATGTGCCTATCACTGCTTGGGAGGAAACAAAAATCCTCGAGTGCGAGGAAATCAAAAATCCCTTTTTATTCCATGACTATGACATGTCTATACCAACGATTGTTGAAACGGTCAATGAGAGTAAATGGATAAGTGCAGGGACAATGATTAAAGTCAGTTAATGTTTCTTCAGATTTATTGATTTTTTTATTGATGGCATTTGATTTTAGGTTTCCGTTAGATATGCCGGTCCTTCTTTAAGAGACAAGCTTGACATCCTTCGCCAGAAGAATGAACATTACAAGAAGATTATCATAAAGTTCAATACAGGTCGACAATTTGTTGCGAACATCATTCAGGTGATGAAATTTAAACACAAAAAATAACTTATTTGATAAATGATACTGAGATAATGGTAATATCGCTATAACATCCTGAATCTAGGCAAAATATGGAAGGGATGAGTTAGTTTGCATGGTATTTTACCAAAACTAGAATGATCAGAGATGATCAAGCTTCAGAAGCTAACTGCTTGATTCTTGAACTTAAATGATTATTTCACTATAATTTTTTTCTTCTAAAATAATAAAATCAGACACTCATTCTTAGAAATGGGGCCTGATACATGATCCTGAAAACACTCTTTACAACATCCTATAAAGCCTACAAAGGAGAAGAAGAATTCAGGAGGAAATCAGATTTGGTATACAAATGCATCAAAGAGAAAGAAAGTATCGGACATTTTCTGTATAAGTCCAAAACATGAGTACACTCAATAGTGAAGTATATCTTGGTCATACAATCTGACCATCAACGTGCGTTCATTGGAAAATTAAAAGAGGTTGGCTGACAAAAAATCTCATAAGATCGACTAGCCAAGCAGATATTAAAGAATTAGCATGTAAAAAATCACATCAAACTTAGTCAATGAATCCAAAATGTAAAGAAACCCAATGACCGATTGTTATCTTGAGTACCAGGACACAAAGGAATTTTGAGAAAAGGCAGATTGACCAGACGAGGATCATATACAGATCCTGAACCTATTCTTCGGATAAAAATACACAGTGGATCCTTAAAAGACAAAAGGAGAAATGGATAAATTCTAGAGGCAGAGAGCTAGGCACAGTAAGCTTATGATAAAACTACACTCATGAAGATTGGCAAACTCAATAATAGAGTTAGAGAGGGCTAAACTCAGATGAGTGTTTAGATTATATATGGTCACTGGCAATTCAATGATGGCCCTATTTGTAGGTTATGTGGTTATACATAAGGAGAAAGAAAAAATCCACCCATATCACCTTTGAATGCGAAACAGCTGCTCAATGGAGACAATCTGGGATACAAAGAAAACCCAGGGAAAGGACTTGTAACAATGACCTACTACCCTTAGGAGAAAACGAGTCAATTGCACTGAATTAATGGACTAGGAAAGTATAATAAGCAAGAAGACTGCAGAGCTTGGGGAACAAAAAACTCCCACTTCTTATATCCCTCATTATTATCGTCATCATCATCATTTAGAAATGCAGAAAAGTTTGTAAAGTTTTCTCTTTTCTTTAGGTCAGTTTAACTTCAGGTTATCAAGCATATCCAGAGGTTTAGGCAGAAATTAATCTTCATAGTAACTATTTTCCAATCTGAACTAATCAATTCCAGTTTGATGCATTGATCTAAGTTTCTGCTGATGAAATCACCACTGAAATATTTTTATAATAATTCCATTTTTTTATTCCTCTACATTAACAACAAAAATGTCAATAAACATTCAAGAAGTTTTAAAACAAATAAAAATACACCATTCAAAGTGGATTTTTGCTTTTTTTTTACAGAGAATAATTAGTATGAACAAATGTGCTCTTCCAGAAGCATCCTCGTTCATTCCAGCTGTGCCTCATTATGGAATTAATCTGGCTGAACAAGATCTTACTGAAGAATACCCTTGTTTGATAACAGGTATATACAATTTTTTAAATTTTACTTAGTGTGAAAAATAGACTTTTTAATTTTTTCCCTCAAAAGGGTTTCTAATTGACAACTTCAATTCGAGCCTGTTGGTGCTCGAAGGGGTCGATAAGCTCACTTTTAACAACAGCCTGCTTGATGTCATGGTTCTTCCGACATCTGAAGGCCAGGTGATATATAACAGCAACTTGCTCTTTAATCAGGTATTAAATTCTATTTGATAAAAAAATGATTTTATGTTGAATCATGCATGATTGCAATTTTAGAGAAGCTACAAAGATTTCATTAAAACCGGTGGTATCTATATTATTACCTTAAAGAGGCCGTTTATTGAACTGTTGCACAAGAAGTTGCTGCGGAAAAAGGGCAACTGCCCTGTACGAGCTTTAAGGGTGAGTTTGTATCAAGATGAACTAATTAAAATCTCTGAACAATTTAATTTCAGGCTTTTTACAAGATCGAGGAGCTGTACGCCTGCCCTTCTATGGAATTTGCTATTAGAAATAAGTCCTTCCCTTCAACCCAAGATCTCAGGTCTTTTGAAATGGAGTTTGGGGTGCCTCATTATGCCAAACGAAGGCTGCCAAAAATTAAACCAATTTGTAGTTAAAAATGTCATTATAAATTTGATTTTGTGATAGATTGGGAAACAAAACCTTTTAACATTAACAAAACATTCCACTATTACAGAACTCATGTGACAAAAAAATCTGCCAATTGGGTGGGGTGGATAGCTTCCTCACATTTTGTACATACGCATGAGCATATGTTTGGATTAAAATTTATAGGGGATCATCTAGAAAGCAATTCACATAATCCCAGAAAATTGCATAAGAACCAACAATTTTTTTGTGCATGCACATGAGCTAGTGTTAATTAATAGGGGATTATCTAGAAAGCAACCTGCAAAATCCCTGAAAATCCCATAAGAAACCAACAAAGTGTCAGAGATATAGCCGTGTATTTGTGGATGCGCATATATGAAACTGATTGATATAAAATTCATACATCATAGGAATTTACATTATGTGTAAAAAATAAAGTAGGAAATTTATTTAAAAAAAACCATGAAAAAGTTAAAATACTTTGTCAAAAAATTTAAAAAAGTAAAATTTAGCTAAAAATTTTTGTAGTAAATAACAAAATATTCATATATATACCTAGGCCATCTGAGGGCACAAGTGCAACATCATCTATGAGTGGAAATAAAAAATTTGACAAACAAGTTTTATTTTTTCCGATTTATGATGGTGTGGAGTCGAGGAATAATACTGTTTTTGTTTGTTTGTTTGTTTGTTTGTTTGTGTGTGTGTGTGTGTGTGTGTGTGTGTGTGTGTGTGTGTGTGTGTGTGCATATAACAATTAAATTAAGGGCATCTCCTCAGTGTATTTCTCGATTGTTTAATTATTAATGCCATAAAGCAAAGAATGAAGTTTACAGTATGCATAATTACAACATGATTGTCAGAAGTAATTAGTAATTTTTGTGGCAGTGAGAGGTATCATCCAATCAGAAAATAAGCTTTTCCAGTATTAATTAAAACTTTTTCAATTACAATTAATTAAGGTTTTTAGTCGAGATGAAAAAAAGTTAATGGCACTAGAGGGATTCGAACCCACGACCTTCGGCTAGATACGCCGCTGCTCTACCACCTGAGCTATCGTGACCTCGATCCACTCGGACATCAACTCCCCATCTCAACCCCACCTTATGAGTTTTCCCTCCTTTTGCCATTTTCCAACTTTTTCATTTAATTTATATTTATGAAAGGTATTTGTTGAGATAAAAAAGTCAGCGTCATGAGCGGGATTCAAACCCATGACCTTCGGCTCAATATGCTCTTCCACTTGAGATATCGTGATTTCTATCCTCTCGGACACCAACTCTCCATCTCAACCTACAACATTTCGAAATTTTCCCTCCTATTTGCCATTTTTCAAATGTCGTGTAATCAGGATTCGATTCTCGGTGACATACTTTTATACTTCGTTTTACTTATGAAATCCATTATATTTAGTTCGAACGGCAACAGTACTAATGGGAAATTATAAATAGTTTAATATTTAAGTATGTACTACTTTATATGCAAATATAAATAAATGCAAATAAAATCCAGTTATATTTTTGCATTTATTGTTAGGTTTCTTAGTTATCAAAGCAATATTTATAACTAATAGAAATAATTCCAATCTGGATTCAAATATTTTATTTTATTTTTTTAAATTAGTTGTAAGCAGCACGGCGCAGAGTTCGTTAGTTTTGCAAGGACTGCCTGTCTTGATGGTTTAGCATACTGTCAGAGCCGTGAAAGAGACCGACTGTAGAACGAATTGGAAATGCAATTTTTAGTCGTTATTACTACTACGTTATTACGTTAATATGTTAGTTTTTTTCATTCTCTCTCGCCGGCGAGAAAATTAACTGGAAATGTGAGTCTTTTTTTGACAAATGCGAATAAGTAATTCCATAAATATATTTATAGTGTAAGCTCTAACATCATTTTTCTCAAAAGCTAGTGGGCCGATTTTCATAGTTGATAATTGGTTTTAAAGAAATTGTCGAATACATTTTATAACTGCATCAAACATTAAAATCTGACTATTATTTCAATTAAAAAACGAGGTTAATTTCTGATAAATAATGGTGCTATTTTGTGCATTTTCTTATAAAAATATTTTATATATTTTAATGGTACTTACGTCGTTAAAAAGCTACGTTCCTTTTCTTACAAATGGCCTGTTTGACCTTCAAATACTTTTAGCCGTTTTTGAATAATAGCCGTTTCAATCAGATATTCCGTTAACGACTTCGCAAAAATCATAACAATATTAGGGTTCAAAAAATGGAAAATTTTTATTTAGAGGTCTCTAGAGGTTCTAAAACAAAATTTCATATTAGTTTTACGAAAAAAATGTGACATAGTTTACTTGAAAAATATTTGGTTATTAGAAATTATTTGGTTATTGATAAACTTTGATAGTTTTTACTATATTTTTATTGCTATATATAGTATATTTAGTACATTTGCTATAATATACTATATTTTTTACTAGGATCTCCATAAAAAAATCTTTAAAATGATATATTCACATAGTTTATTTGAGCAAGTAGATATGCGAAATAAAAAATAACTTTTTTTTTGTGGGGGGTTTACGCTGGCATATTACCCATGAAGTTTTCTATTTTCATTTTACTGTCGTGCGGGATCAGCCGACCAGGACCAGGTCCCCACCGCGCTCCCCCCGCACCCACTCATTCAGCTCCATCATCTTCTCATCTTCTAAATTTTCATGGTTGAAGATAATCAAAAAGAATCATTTATCGACTTTAGAAATCCATAGATTATGTTGAAACCTGATGGATTGTTGCTTATTAGGACAGATTCTAAGTTTATTGGTTGTGAAATGTTTGGGACTTTGCTCAGATTTTTTAGAAGTTTGTCTCTTTCATTTTCGTATTCTGGACATTCAAAAATTATGTGGGAAGGATTTGAAGGGCAATCGCAAGTGGGACATTTCGGAGACGATGCCAAACCGATTCTCTTCTTCCCCATAGGCCATGATTTGTCTTCAGTCTAAAAATAGTAGAATAGAACTCCTTTGACATTCCTTCTGGGCCTTCTGAAAACCATGGTTTTTTCTTGAGCTCAGGGAACAGTGACTTGTAATAATTGTCAACATTTGATGCATTGTATTTTTCTTGCCACAGATTAATAAACAAAAAATAACTTAAATACGGAAAATTTAAATTTTCAATTTTTTTTCGAATTCAGGCCTATTCACAAGAAGTGGCATATACGTGTCCAATATTTTGGAATTTAGAATCACCAAAAAAAGTTTGGGCCAAATCCGTGACCCACCAACCTGGTCATCCCCTTGTGAATAGTACACCTGACGATTTAACATAAACTACAACTAAGGACATAGCTAGATAAAAGTGACTTTAGTCTATTTAAGCAGTTATGTTGCTTTTTCTGTGGTACGAATGCAACACCCTGAGTAGTAGTTATTTTATGCATGTAAGATATAAATATAATGATACCCGCAAGCGGAAGGGCAGACCCCGAGTCAAAGGGTTTAAAATATTTAAGTACTACTTTATATGCAAATTTAAACAAAACAATTATATTGTGTTTCCAATCCAGTTATATTTTTGTATTTATTCTTAGTTACCAAAGCAATATTTATAATTAATAGAAATAATTTTAATCTGGATTCAAACTTTTTATTTAATTTCTTAAATTAGTTGTAAGCAGCACGGCGCAGAGTTCGTTAGTTTTGCAAGAACTGCCTGTCTTGATGGTTTAGCATACTGTCAGAGCCGTGAAAGAGACGGCTTACGACGCTTAAACCTCTTGAAACAGATGGTCTCGCGATCTGTAACGCGACCGTCGATAAATTATTCACAATGGAAAGACGGGGTACTCGGAAAGAGAAAGAGAGATATCAGACCACAAGTATATAAAGAATGAGGGAAAAAGCAAAAGGACATTAATGTTACGTCAGGTCGAATGAAAAGTACGTTGCTCAATAAGAATAAATACGCCATCATGGATGGAATTAAATAATAACCTCATTCTCACGACAATTAGATCACACTTCATTATTATAAATAATTTCTAAAATTTAAAAATTGAATTTTTGACTAAAGCATTATTTAAAAAAAAAGAAAGGAAAAGTGCTATCCGGTAAGTTGAGATGTTTGTTACGGATTAGCTTGTTCCTGGTAGCTTAAGTACTTTTGGTAAACCTTATCTTTTACTGACGTTCAGACTAAACATTCGACTTTCCATTGTGCAGCACTTTATACTGGTCTGTATACAATAATGTGTATAATCTTTAAAGATAAAATGTGTTTATGTGTGATTTTGTACATGTGCTCCTTGTTATTAATATGGGATGATTCACTACTCGTACAACAAAGTTCGTCAGGTGCTTCTATACGTCAAATGCAACAAAAAAGTTCGTATGTACCATGGTCCGATTCTCAACCCTTTTGCACGTATTCAACATTTCCCCCCAAATATATACGGTTTTCATAATAAATCTACTCTTAGCTTTTGAATTATTCATTTTTGGTGAAATCCCCCCCCCCCAAAAAAAAGGATTGAAAAGAGCGTTAAATTTCCTTTAAGAAGGCACCATTCTAGAACTTTCCATTTGATTCATGTTAAAAAACACTAAATTTTTCGAAAATTGCTAAATTTAAAATTGGTAAAAAAAACTGAATTTGCAGCCTTGTTCGAAAAATAAACGACAGAACTTGGCAAATTTCATAACTACTTTATAGTTTAATAAGCTTTCTAGCGGTATACATTTTCTTTATTTACATTATAACTTATATGCGTAAAAAATTGTGGAGATGTGAAAAGGGGTGAGTGGGGTTAATCTGGTAATTCAACTTTTTGTCCTAGGCAAATTTATTTACCAATTTTAACTTAATAAAAAAGCCAAAAAAAAGAAAAAAAGAAACAAAACTCACAACAAAGAGACAATAAACATAGAAAACAACCAAAGCAGAAAAAGTGGACAAAATATGTACACTAAACACATACTACAATATAACAACAATGCAGTTGTTTTAAAATTAGTAACCCAAATTTAACGTAACAAAAAAATACACAAAAAAAAGAAATAAATCATCATAAGATTTATGACGAAAACCGTAGATAGTTGAAAAAACATAAATGTTGAACACCTGAGAAAAGGTTGATAATCGGAGTAGGACGGTCAGTCTATGTGTCATACATCACCTTCATTAATTCGTAATAATAATAAAATTATAATACAATAATGAAGATATTCTATGGTCAAGGTTAATACATAGCATAATTATCACGAAAAAATAACGGCGATGGCCTTCACTAACCGCACAACCGTGTCGTCATGCAGGTTTAGTATAATTTGCGCCTTGAACAAAGCAAGTGGAACATTTTTAGCTTTTTTTTATGCAACCTGAAATAAATTAAATTCTGTCCATAGGACGTTAAACAAAGGATTATTCTTTAGAATTGCTCTACTTAGAGATGAGAATGCTGATAAGGTGAAACTAGGAAGTTGAGGGCTTGTTATTTCCAAGCACTTTTGGCTTGTTGTACTTTTCAGTTCCTTAGTTCACTTGATTCCTTTTAAGAAATAAAACATATTGACTTTTATTGTGGCAATATTTTCCCTGCGTCTTCTTGATACCCAAGTTTATGTTTCAATTGAGTGGATCTTCACATTGAAAGATGACATGGTTGGCTGTTTCCTTCTCCTCGTTGCATAACCTACAAATGGGTCATCATTGAATATACCCACGTTGTGTTGATGTTTTCTCAGATGGCATTAACAGGCATGTTACTTGCTGCCTAGTAACAACTATCACTCTTCTGTCTAACTGGAGCAATGTGCTTGTCAGTTTTGTTGAGAGTTCTTTAATCACGAGGCATTTCTGGATTTCGTTTCTTTCTATTCTTTGTGGACCTATTCTGTGATAGAGGAAACTATTTTTTAAAATTATTATTTTTTTTTTTAAGGGCTGGCCATCTAAATTGAACGTTGCCATCCCTCAATTCAATCCACTCTTTCTCGTATTTTATCCTTCTAATTTCTTTTCATGTAATCAACTTTCTCGTTTCTTTATCCTCTTCTCTTTGTACTTCAAGGCCTTGTCAATTGTAGATAAAATAACACATACACAAAACAAGATAAAACATAATAGTCTGGTTAGCATTCACACTACCCAGATTACTCATTATTCTTCGGGGGGTAAGCCCCACATTCACGTTAATAAATACATTCCCACACCAGACTTCGTTCATACACACACCAGAGGACTTTTTATTCCTTGAGGCAATTAGGGACACCATAATATTATTTTCAAGCATTATTATAAGTGCTAATTGGTTTACAATATCTCTTAGTTTGCTACTGTTATGTTACCAATTCTTTATTAATATTTTTTTATTATATAAACTCAATTCTACATATATATGCACTTCTTTATGTTGTATATTACCTATGGCTTGTGTGATTCATGAGAATAAATTTTTCTTTAAATTTTAATCCCTGAATGATTTTTTTCTATTTTGATAAATTTTGTTTCAAAACCGTAATAATTACATAATTTTTATTAAAACTCATGAATTCCTGATCTCCTTTAATTTGGTTTACAATAAAATAAGCATGTTACAATTAATTTATCTATTACTATATCTAGAAACCAACCAGCACAATATGTGAAAATTTCATAAAAATTGGTGTCATGGTTTTGGAATTTTGCCAGTTACAAGAAATTGACCTCAGAAAAAAAACCATAGAAAAAAAAATTGTTCAGAACCATCTGAAACTCAAAAAGCAAGTGAAAATTTGGATTATGGAGGAGTACACATTGAAGAAAGACAACGGAGGAACATAATAAAATTGTTCAAAAAGGCCTGAAACTCAAAATGTAAGTGGAAATTTTTATTTAGAGGAGTTCACATTGGAGAAAGACAAAGGAGGAATATAATAAAATTGTTCGAAAAGGTCTGAAACTCAAAATACAAGTGGAAATTGTGATTTTAGAGGAGTACACATTGAAGAAATACAATGGAGGAATATAATAAAATTGTTCAAAAAGTTCTGAAATGTAAAATGGGAGGGGAAATTTCAATTTTCTAGGAAAAAATGTTCCAACTTCCCGCATGAATACATCTCTAGTAGTTTGAAATCAATATAATCAGGATTGATAGTGAGTCTAATGAAAAATTGGAAATGATGAAAATTTGGAAATGAATTTGTCATATTCACCAAATTGCTAAGCAAAAATGCTCAATTGCAAGGTTTTACTGTGTCGTCTGCAGGGTGACGAACGTGTAATTTGTTCATTACTGATCATTTTGATCTGCTTATTATGACTACGTTGGTCTGTCAAATATGTTTTGGCATTTAGCCATATTTTGAGAATTAATAATGACCAAATGAAAAGAAAGGGCAGACAAAAATGTTACTAACAACCAAATTGCAAAATAAAGAATATTAACTATTTTCAACAATACTCTTATTTTCAGTTTTATATTTTAGTTGCAAATTGTTTGCAAAAAATTAATTAGCCAGTTATATGAACATGGATTTGATGTGATGGTGGTCTGCCTGGATTTAGTTTGTCAGACACATTTTTACATCTTAAGCGATCTATCAAATATATAAGCAGGGTGAGGCGAGTTGATAAACCCATTATTACCCAAACACCAAAATGAACACTCATATAAGAATTCTAAATAGTTAAGTGTAGTAATAAGATTTTCATTATTCTCCATTAGTAATAATTATGATTTTACTACAATAGTAGTTATAAATTTAGTAATAAAATAAACAGCATTAAAATATTATATTTGAACAACATATTTCAATCATTCTTCTTGTTATACTCATTCTATTTATTTTTTATGCCATTGTTTAGTAGAATATTTCAATTATTTTTTTCAAATGTACAGTGGCTGACTTAAAAGACTTAACTGCTTGAATGAATGAATGAAAATTGTTACAGGAAGCATTCACATTTTCATTTCAGTTACACTTTATTAGGTATTACATTTACATAAAATATCACATTTTTCAAATTTTTTTAAAGGCCTTATGAGCTTGCATATTAGCCAGAGTACTAGTATTTATAGCACTCAATTTAAAAATTAATAGCAACATTATATTTAGTTTCTCTTGATTAAAACAATTACTTGACCATAAAGAAAACTGTGACAACTAAAATAAACAAAATCAAATTTAAATTATTAACAGAACTTTGATTCAGTGGGTATGGACTGTCACGGCTGAAAACCCTTGTATAAAGCCCTCCAGTGATGAGCTTCGGTGAATGGAAGTACAAGTTGGCTCGAACGAGTGAGCTTTCGGCCGTCTTCATAAACAGGAACTCTTTCGGTTTAGGGACAGTGCCGAAAGTATTTTTCTTGCTTGTAGAATGAAGGATGTTGGGCATGATCAGCATTTCAGTATTACTGTACACCGTAGATATGCTAATGCTATCAAAGGAGGTAGAATAAAGATCACCATCAGGCGACTCACCCTGATTGTCATCGTTCTCTTTGGGAATGTCAAAACAACTAGACTGTTTAGAATTCACACAAGATACTATGCCACAAACATCCAAACCAGAAGTCCTTTTAACACCGACGTATTTTCTACTTCCATCCAAAACCACTACCCTGTATCTAAATTTGTGAAAAGAGTCTAACGCATTGAAAATATCTTTGGGCTTGTGTGACTTTGAGTAATAACTTGAAGTGAAAGTAATGTTGAACTCACAACATAAATTTTCTTGGCAAACTGTCTCGACAAATTTTTTTTTTAGCTTGGCACCAACTTTTAGTCCATCCGATATTATCTCTTCTCTTTCAAGGATGTCGTCAGAACTGATTAGTTCACTTTTGTATAAATTGGCATTTTCTTTAAGTAACCATGTCATGCTTATCTCAGTCGGTTCACCCAGGACTTTAATTTGGTCAGAAGTACCAAAGTCCTCAGAGTAGGAAAAGCCTAAAACAAAATACAAAGATTATGCATTCTAAAATAAGTTTAAAGACAGGTATTATTATTATTTAATTTTTAGATTTACCCTACATACTACCTCACATATCTTGAAATATTTACATTCTGATATTTTAAAATTTACATATTAATATAAAAAATGGAAATGGTGGGATACAATATAAAGATATAGGCATAAAGAAAGTGAGGGAAAAATAACAGAATCATCAGTATTAAAAGTTGTTGGCAGAAGCTACAATAAGGTGAAAAAAATTTCTTAAATTGATGATGGTGGTGAGATATATAATACAACAAAATAATTCAGAAATTAGTAGCAAGCAATATAACATCAAACAGAGAGAAATCACTTTCTCATTTAGTCGTAGTGAAACGATAATGTCAATCATAACAAAAATAAGTATCAATCAAGATAGAACATAAGATGGGCAGAGCGAAGTCAGTATTTCTTTGGGTAAAGGGGAAAAGGAGTAGTCCAAGTATGCTTCCCTGTGAGACTCCTACTCCAAGGGCAATGGAGTAGACCGGGGCTTCCTAAACTGTGGTCTATGGAACCCTTGGGGGGGAGGGGCTGTGGGAATTTTGAAAAAAATAATATTTACAAAAAAAAAACGTAGAAAACGAATAAAATTAAAAAAACTAATAACAATGATTACCGAAAACAAGTTTTTATTTTTATTTTGCAGCAGTAGTTATTGTGTTTTTCACAGACATGCTCTAGATATTAAATAAATGCCAGCCTCTTCTAAGAAAGATTTGGATGTGTCTGTTCAACTTATTAATTATATCAAGTACAGTCATTGAAGTCAAGACTTTTTACAATACTACGTGACAATATGGGAAGCGTTATCATTCTCTGATTCTCCATACACAAATGACATGGCTGTCTCCCAATTACTGGAATTACATTCTGAAATCTTATCTTGTCAAATTCTCCAATGTTTTTAATGGTAAAAAAGGCAATGTAGATATTTTCATTAAAATTAATGAGTCTTTCTTTTCAAGAGAAGAGTATCACAACTTTTGATGCTAATGACAAAGATATTTCCTTCAAAAGAAAAATCCATTTTTTCTAAACCTACATCACACAAGACCGCATCACATGATTTCCAAATAAAGTCACTAAATACTACACATTTCTACACAAGAAGAATGAAGAGCAACCTGGGATTCAATGAATAGATTTCAATTACACATGGACACAAAGCAAAATGCAAACTGTTAAATTTGAAAGTATAAATACATAATTTGGAAACCAGAAGCCTAAAAAATTGACAGTTCCTCCCTTAAGATGGCACCTGCGGGGGTATACAGACCCAAAGTTGGTTTAACGTTAAGTATGCTTGCAAAATAAAAATTTATAAGAGGATGAAACGCTAACCCTTTTTAGGCATTTTTCCGATAATGACAAACGTTCCCTCCAAGTTTGTCTGACTAGTAGTTGGTGACATTCTCAGACCTCTGTACAGCCCCGAACCTGAGCCTTTCAATATCACGTCATTGTGGTTTGCTGCCAAAAGATTGATGTCAGTGGCGAAAGACCAACTTGACTGGGCCTGTATTGCTGGAAGAAAACAGGAATTAATTGCAACAATACCGAGAAGGAAGACAAGAAGGAAAACCAACCGGTCAGAAAAGGCAACTCTGAGAACCAAGCTGATGGGAAGACGATATCGTGGACGTCCTTCATTCGTGCCAGGTCGAAAGCAGGTGAAGCAAAAAGAATGTCAAAACAAATGAACATGCCAAATTTCACTCCAAAATCTGTGGTGAACGTTTCGATCTCCGGCTCCTTCGTTATGTTCAGATAGGCCTCGCCAAATAAGTTAAACTTCCGATATCTAAAGTTTAACAAAAGTAAAGTATTAAAAACTCATACAATCTAAAGCATAAGTCCTAAGCATATATTTAAAAAATGCCAACCTTGCTATAATGGTGCCACTGCGATCTAACACGACATTTGTGTTGTATTTTGTTATTTCACTTGCATTATGAATTTCATGAAGATTAACTACTACATACATAGAATTATCTTTGGCGGCTTTTGAAATTATTTGCAGCACCTAAAATAATGCAAAAATCTGAATTTATATCCAAGCATAATAGTTTATCAACAAGGTAAACTGTATTTTTTTGGTTTTTGTTAAAAAAAAATTGTATAGAGATGTATGTAGTCCCAAAAAGAAAAAAACCTTTATAAGACAAACTTTATATTAAAAACGGACAAAAAAGTTTATTGTTTTACACCCTTGGAGCATTATCTTCCTTCACAAAAAATAATGATCAAGTTGTAATAAGGAGGGGCAAGTAAAGAGATTAAAGTCATTGCTCAATGCTATTTGACATTCAGCCTTTTTCATTACAAAATAATGTAGTTTTCAGGCTTGGTCATGACAAAATACTTTGTGAACACTTTTATGGGTCATTTATTTATTTAATTTTTTTTAAAACTATTTTTTACAAGAGTTCGCAACAGCAGAGGTCATATCAACCCTCTGGGTGCCGTTGTTTTTGAAAAAAAGGGCATTTGTAAATATGTCGGGTTCAAATGCAGGGCTGCTGGATTTGAACCTGGGACCTTCACCATACAGTGATTAGCTCCATGTTCAACACTTAAACCGTTGTGGCCACCGACGCCCCACGGGTCATTTATTATGGGTCATGAAACTGTAATTTTGTTGTTACTTTAGGAGAGAATTTGTTAGCAAGCCTCACATTGGCCCTTGGCTTCTGAACATGGTGAAATGCTGAAATGCATCTAATAGCCCAAACCAGCTGAGTAGGTCAAAATGACAGGAAATGATCAGGAATTTTACTTTGTGTGTTTACATTCATACTATCTCCTAGGTTTCTTTGATGCTTTAACTAAAAAATGGTTTAATTTGAAATTAAAATTAGCTCATTTAAAACTAATAAGTTAATTTAAAGTTAAAATGGTAAATTTTAAAATAAAAAGAGATAATTTGAGGGTAAAAAAAGCTAACTTGAGTATTAAAAGCATATAATTTTAAATTAAAAATAGAAAAAGGTTTAATTTGAAGGTAAAAAGTAAATAAATAAGTAATAAGTAAGTAAATTTGGAATTAAAAAGAGTTAGTTTGATGAAAAAACGTTAAATAAGAGTGAAATTTCTGCATAGGGACTGCGGGTCTTCATGATTTTTTCCAAGACTCCATTTACTTTTTTGGTGGAACTCCTTGGTGGTTTAGTTTGTCACAAACATTTTGCCATTTTTCTATTTTAAGTGGTCAGTCAGGAGTTTAAGGAGGTTGAAGCAAGATGACAAACCCTCCACTAAAGGTGGCAAAATGCCCAAACGATAGCTCAAACTGGCCCAACTGACAGACCAAACCCGATATGAAAGTCAGACCAAAATTACCAGATCCCAAACTGCAAAAACACTTTTATTCAAATTGCTTTTGCAAACAAACATACATAATATGAACAACATTTCTACCATTTTTGCCTATCTTTTGGCCATATTCGCACCTAATTTCTTTTTCACCATTTCAACATATGTTACTTAGGGTTAACATCAGGGATATAAACAGGGAGAGGCAGGGTCCTTCATCCTTGAATGACAAAATGCTGTGTAGTCTTGTTTTAGTTTTTCTCTAATTGAAATGTAATTTGCTTTCTGACAAACAATTGACTAATACTTGTAATGATTCTTCTCCAAAATTTAAATTCTGTTCTTCAGTTAACAATAAGATCTAATAATCTATAGACCAAGAAATAGTGTATTAGTTATTAATAAGACCTTATTGAATTTTATGATTTAACTACTAACTATATTCAAGAAAGAAATTTAAAAAAAATTAAACCAACAAAATCAATATGAAAAATTTAAAATGAATTAAAAATTAAATATATATAAATTATAATTAAATTAAAATAATATAAAAGTTTGGAAAGAAATACATACAAGATCTTGAGTACTGTCTTCGGCCGGTGTCACCTTCTTTTCTGGGTCAGGTACCTCGACAAAAACACTTCGATCATAGTTCATGAGTCCGATTTCTGGAAACACGATTATGTCGACCTGGAACAAGTAAACTGTCAGAAACAATCCTGAGCATATCGAACCAATTTTTACCTTATTCAGTGCTGCCATTTTCATCACCTCGGCATACTTGTTCGCATTGGCGATCACATTTTCCCTAGGGGAACTTTTTATATCCCAGATACTGTGGTATTCAACAACGGCTGCCACATAATGGTCGTCTGCTGCTGTACTCTAGAAATCCCAGATAAGAAGTAAAACATTTAAGTTGAAATAGGTTGAGAACTGGAATTAACTAGTGTGAATGCTAGTTCTTTAAATGTTTAAACAAATTAGAATGAAAAATTGCCTGCCTCAGTTGGCTTTATTGCTTTCCTATTGCTATTATATATAAAGATTATATTTAAAAATTCTAGATATATTATTCCTAAATATAAAGATTCTAAAATTGCTAAAATGCTAAAATTCTTTAAAGAGAAAGAATAACGCCAATTTTCCTTGGTCGTTAGACATTTTTCTTTTTCTATGTTGATGATTGTATGCTTGATGTTTATAAAACATTGCATTAGACATAAGACATGTTTAGCTTTAAAGGACTTTTGTCACTATGTTCCTGCCATCAGACTAATCATAATTTCTTATTAGACACAAAGGCTCTATAAAACATTGTAATTTTTGTGAGAAAAAAAGAATCCAGTTCACCAGTCAATTGGCAATATTTGAAATTATTGCCATTAACACATTTTTATAAAAATAGATGATATTTGAAAGGGTTTTTCTATATTTTCACTAAAATAGTTTTCTTGTAAAATTTTCAAAACATCTAAACATTAAAATTATTATAATGCGAATTTTATTTTTCTGGCTTATTGCACTTTTATCCATCTCTATCTTCCATCAGGAAAGTTCACCATGGAAATTTTCCTAGGCTGATTAGTCTATAACAGTCTATATCTGTAAACTTATTTTATGAAAAAAAAACCCTGAGATTTGTTCAAGTTGTTAAAAAGTATTATTGTCGGTTGTATATTTGATTAACAAAATAGAAGATACAGATTTATTAAATGATTTTTCTAGTTTTTCAGAAAGGCATTCTTCTTTCTTGTAAAGTTAAGACAAAATCTTCTATGCTGGTTGGTTTTATTAGTTTCCTGTCATCAAATTAAGTTCTTCTTGGACACAAGAATTATAAAAAGGTCAAAACGTCAGATTTTAGTGAGAGAAAGAATGTAGTTTACCAGAAAATTTTTCCTGACTTATTAATTAATTAACGTAATTACATAATTAACTGCTTTACCGCATAAAAAATTCCTATAATCAAGTTTTAAGACAATTATTTTAGTACTAGAAATAATAATAGTGGTATGGGATACTTGTATGGTTCTTCTTGGACACAAAGATAACAAAAAGGTCAACGTCATAATTTGGTGAAAGAAAGGATGAGGATTACCAGGGAAATATTCCTAACTAATTTTATTACGCAATTAACTGCTTTCTCTTATACCGAAATTCCTATAATCAAGTTTTAAGACAATTATTCTAGTTGGTAGGTGATACATGGAAATAAACGATGATATATATTTTTTTTTGGGGGGGGATTCGTTTAGTTTTTAAAGGAATTACAGTTAATTAAGGTTTTTAGTTGAGATAAAAAAGTCAATGGCACGAGCGGGATTCGAACCCACGATCTTCGGCTAGATACGCCGCTGCTCTACCACTTGAGCTATCATGACCTCTATCCACTCGGACACCAACTTCCCATCTCAATCCCACCTTTTGAATTTTCCCTCCTTTTTGCCATTTTTCATTTGTCGTCGAGAAGCCAATCCGATTACACGACATTTGAAAAATGGCAAAAAGAAGGGAAAATTCAAAAGGTGGGATTGAGATGGGAAGTTGGTGTCCGAGTGGATCGAGGTCATGATAGCTCAAGTGGTAGAGCAGCGGCGTATCTAGCCGAAGATCGTGCGTTCGAATCCCGCTCGTGCCATTGACTTTTTATCTCAACTAAAAACCTTAATTAATTGTAATATATTAATTGGTCAAGCGGATCACGAAATTAGTGAATTTTAATGGAATGTCGTTCTGTGTTTTTTTTTCTTATAATATTTCATTTTTTCATGCCTATTTTTTTATTTTTTTTACCTTGTGTTACAATTAGCCATGGAAATATGTGGGGTGCCAAAATTTCAAAGAGCACTACTTTGAACACACTTTTTTTGTGGGGCTACTTTTATGGTTGTAGGCTTGTTAAAACAAAGGAGTTGTTATACACTCAAAGACAAAAAAAAGTTTTAAGCCGAGAAGTCTCGCCCGGGCAGATGCTTCGATAAACGAAGGACGTAGTGTCCGTTACATAACCCAAGTTCTAGTTATGCCGCGCTCTACCATCCACGATGATCTACAGCAGTTTAGGGCCACCTTTACCGAAGCGTAATCGCGATGTACGACGGTTGTAGATGATCTTTTTATTGCTATTTACCTCACTACGGAACTACCATTTAACGAGATCAAGTTCAAACGGTCCGTATTAAAACGGTGAGCTTTAAACCACTTATTAGAAGGCATCGCGGAATAGCCTTATCTCAAGACGTCCTGCATCAGATTCTCTTCTGGAGAGGAAGCAAGTATCAATCAGCATCTCGCTTACATACTTGAACAATGGGGGGGGGGGTTTGTTCTTTTAACAGATGAGTGCCGGTTTGGTTTGTGGCAATAGGATGATCGGGACCGTGTGTGGAGAACGCTTTGCTTCATGTGCCATGGGTGAGTCACAGCCATTTCAAAGACAGTCAGTTATGCTATGGGATGGAATGTCCATGCTCTTACCTAACTGTTTCCATACAGAATTGAATTCTCTAAGGTACATCGAGAGTTCTTGTGGAAGCTGTGGTCCCATTCGCTCCATTTATTGGGGATACTTGTTAATGATAATGTTCGACCGCACGTATCTCAAGTTGTAACCATCATTCGGAGGATGTCGGGATTATCACAATGAATTGGCCAGCATCTCCTGGCATGCATAACTTCAATAGAACACTTATGGGGGATAAAGAAACGAGTTAGGCATCGTCCGGCGCCTCCAACGATGGTTGAACAGCTTCAAACGGTTCTTTTTGGAGAATGAATTCTGTTTTACAAACTGAAATCCGGTCGCTAGGGTACTTTTGGCTCTCCGTGAGATCCAATGAAATAATAAGCGTTATTAAAAGCAAAACCATGTAATAAATTGTTAGTTTAGGTTTAATCTTCAACTAAATGATTTTCCGGTGATTTGGTAAATTTTCTTCCAAACCATCATAATTAAACATTTTTTTTCAAACTCATGAATCTCTGAACTTATTCTATTTGGTTTACATTAAAATAAGTAATTGTAATTAATATAACGGTAAAAATACGTATATTTTGAAATAAACAACAAAATACGCCTGTCTGGTTTTTATTTTTGAGAGTATTTTTAAATGTGTGGTGTTTAGTGACCGTTAGTCAATGATTATTCGGAGATTGTGAGATGCGGTCTGGTTTGACGTAGGTTTTAGAAAAACATTTTCTTTATCGCGCCAACGTTTCGATCTTTATTGAGATCATCTTCAGGGCTCAAATTGTTTGTTTTTCGAGTTGATGTGTCATTCTTGTTTGTCGTGTTGAGAGTAGCTCACAGGGGGCACCCTGAACACGACACAAATAATGACACATCTACCCAGAAAACAAAAACTTTGAGCCCTGAAGATGATCTCAGTAAAGATCGAAACGTTGGCACGATAAAGAAAATGTTTTTCTAAAACGTACGTAACACCAGATCGCATCTCACGATCTCCGAATAATCGTATTTTTAAAATGAATTTTCGTTTCGCTCGTGTTTTCTTCTTTCTCATAAAAAATCCAAAGTCGAAAAATATAAATAATTTATATAATGTGAACTGTTTCTTTCTTGGTTAAATGACTTGCTGATAAAATTTTATGGTTGTCAACTTGTTGAAATACGATATTTATGTTGTCTTCTTTGATATAAAGTTTCATTTCTGTTAAAATTAAAATCAAGCAAACATGATATCGACTATTCTTATATTTTCGTGCTTTTAAAGATTTAAAATTGATAGGTAACACAGCATAATAAATGATTTTAAACTTGTTAACATCTAAATAGGTCGAGAGAAAAAAAAAAAAACCACTGGCTAATAGAGATAATTAATATTGACGCATTGATAAATTTCTTTGAACAAAATATAATTTAAAAAAATTATATAAATTAATTAAAGTTTTATAAAAAGATACGAATTTTGTTCTTTTGTACAATTTAATTCTTTAAAATAAATATTTTTCATTGAAAGGTAAACAAGAAATCTTTCTTGGACGCAGAACTGACCCTGACCCCTTTGTCAATGTGTTTTGAATATATATATATTTTATTTTTATTTTTTATTTTTTTACTTATCTTTTACGGAAGAAACATATGGTAACAGGTAGGTTTACTTTTAGATAATTTTAGACATTTAATTTTAACCGATCAAGCGTGTTTTGAAAGATAAATTAACAACTCAATTGATTTGAACTCAACTGTTTCAGTACAAAATTGGCAATCAAAATTCGGGTTTTTTAAAAATTGCTATATCCTTTTTAAGTGATTTTTTCGTTGAAGTAAAGATTATACTAATGCATTCCTGTAAAATTTAACAAACAAATATTATCGTTTGCCTTGAAACGAGGTCAATGGCGTGCAAGGCTACCGTGGCCATGGGCTCACCTGCAGACTGACTCGGACGAATTGGATCAGGAGTATGCAGAGTAGCGATGCTCTCCACATTTTTCACATGTGCTGACTGACCAAAATTGCAGACAACAGAATAACTTAGGTTTAGATAAACTGAAGTGAATGGTAGGGGAACTTTCAAGAGTCGTTGACCTTGGGAAATACAGAATTTTTATCTATGATTTGTCCATTTGAATAGCCCCGATTATTTACATGGTTAATTAATGTAAAAGAAATTGAATAGCCTTAGAAATAAAATTAGCTGGTGCTATTTGTAGCGAGCTACTGCTATTTTCGCCACACGTAACAACAAAGTCGCCACACGTGTGGTCAACAATTGGAAAATTTTACCTTCATTTTACCATCAAAACCCTCCTTTCTTTCTTCACATTGTGAAAACAACTTGTTTTATATTATGCCAAGAACACGAAAATATGTAGTGGTAAACAAATAGTGAATTATAGAACCATCTTTGTATGTTTTTTATATGTAAAATAAATCATTTTAACCGTAATATAACAAGTAAATAAGGTATAATAGTGTTAATAGCTTAAGAATCTTAAAAGCTTAAGAATTAATAACTCATAGAATATTATGAAAACTCACTTCAATAATAATTATTTAAGCCCCAATCTGCACATTTGCATACTATGCACGCGTATACATAGTTAAGCCTCTCGCACCCAATTTCTCGTAGACCACCGGCAATTCAGGCTTTTTTAAAATTTTCTTTTCCTTTTTTTACGAGGATTCGCAACAGCGGAGGTCGTATAAACCCTAGGGTGCCGGTGTTATTGAAAAAAAAGCCCTTTTGTAAGTATGTCGGGTTTGAAAGCAGGCCCGCTGGATTCGAACCCGGGACCTTACAGTGAAGAGCGCCGTGTCAATGCCTAAACCGTTGTGGCCACCGACGGCTTTTCCACTCAATTCAGGCTTTTGTATAATTACAATAAATTTCCTGTCTCGAGAATCACCCACCTCGGGTGTTGGCAGTCCCCGGGGTCAGACCTCGCTTTTTTCCGTTCAGCCGCCGAGGTTGGGCTCTATGACCTATTAACGGTTTGTGGGCTTTTGTATTTACATACCATTAACTCAGGGTGATGGAGTACTGAACATTACGCCATTGACCCTCTCAGACCACACATTCACGCCAATAAATGCGTTCACTCGCTCACTACGGGAGACCAAAATGTCTGTAGTATATACAATAAGACAACCCTGTTTCGGACAAGAATCGGAACAGGGGACCCAAATACTCACTGCCGTGCTCAAGAATATCTCACATAAAGAGGCATTCAATCAAAAGTTGATCAACCTTTCCATGCATGCCGGACACAACGCGTAATAAGTGACCGTGGGCCAACCTCGCATGGCCTATTATTTATGGGATGAGGATGACCCTTCTTGACAGATTGATCAACCTTTCCGTGCATGCCGGACACATACGCGTAGTAAGTGACCGTGTTCCAACCTCGCATGGCCTATTATTAATGGGAAGAAGATGACCCATCTTGACACATTGACCAACCTTTCCGTGCATGCCGGACACATACGCGTAGTAAGTGACCGTGTTCCAACCTCGCATGGCCTATTATTAATGGGAAGAAGATGACCCTTCTTGACACATTGACCAACCTTTCCGTGCATGCCGGACACATACGCGTAATAAGTGACCGTGTGCCAACCTCGCATGGCCTATTATTAATGGGAAGAAGATGACCCTTCTTGACACACTGACCAACCTTTCCGTGCATGCCGGACATATACGCGTAATAAGTGACCGTGTGCCAACCTCGCATGGCCTATTATTAATGGGAAGAAGATGACCCTTCTTCTTTGAATCATCAGGTCCTCCCGTGGGCCACCTATCGGCAATACTCTTGTTTTGTGAAATCTTCTCCATCGGTCCAGCCTACCCACGCTGTTGCTTTCTTTTGATCATATTTTTTACTGCATTTTTACCGTCAGGATTGCGGTGGTTAAGTCGGGAGGTTTGGAACTTAGGCGCCTCGTCCGCTTATTCATTACCCACCAGGTGTGACCTGTGGTGCCTCTTCAATACGATCATAACGAAAGGGTCGTCGGAAGACCTGGCACTAGTTATAAGTTCAGAACACCAAAGGTCTTTTTTTAAAAAAGATCTGAACGCACGGCAATTCGCTGGCCAAGTTCCAGCAAGCTATCTTTACTCGGTTTTTCTCACCCTCATATCTCTGATTCGTCTTACGATGGATTTTTGAAATTGAAACATCAAATTAAGCATAGGTCGCTTTAGACATTGTCAACAATTTAAGAACTTAATATTAAGCCTTTTCAAATGGGGAGAATTTCAAAATTTGCCTTTTTTTACTGACTTACTCTCTGATCATTACAAATTACAAGATACTTCCCGAATAGCTAGAAACGTCAAATTCGGTAAAAAGGTAGATTTTATATAGTGAGTAAAGGTAAAAATCTGAAAATTGTAATTTTCTCAAAATTAATGCCACTTTAAGGGGGGAGTAGTCTCATCATCAAAATTATAAGGTACTTCCCTTATAAGTAAACATGTGAAATTTGTTAGAGACGTAGCTCTTATGTTATAAATAATGGTAAAAATCTGAAAATTGCAATTTTCTCAAAATTAGTGCCACTTTAGGGGTGGGGGGTAGTCTCATCATCAAAATTATAAGGTACTTCCCTTATAAGTAGACACGAGATATTTGGTACAAATGTAGTTCTTATGTTATAAATAATGGTAAAAATCTGAAAATTGCAATTTTCTCAAAATTAGTGTCACTTTAAGGAGGGGGTAGTCTCATCATCAAAATTATTAGGCACTTACCATAAAGGAATGTTTAAGAAAAAAAATTATCGAATGAAGTTAGAATAATAAAATCGAGTGTTGAAGCGTGCATCAAGTTTAATTAATTCACACTTTTTTTATTTTTTGGTTGTTAGTAACAGGAACATGGTAACTTTGTACAGATGAGATACATTTTTGCCTTTTGGTATCAACTTGCACTAGTATTCATTCTCATGCTATTTATAGCAAGTATAGTTTACATCCCGAAGTATCAATCGCTATCACGCTTGCCTTCCTGAAAGGGTTAATAATCCGATTTGGGCCTTTAAAAAAGATAGGCTAAGTTTTCCGCAAAATTCCTTGACTTGTCGGATATATTACACGTTTTAACAACGCCTGTTGGACTACTTGAAATTTTGTGTTTTCAGCCATTACACTTTTTTTTATATTTGCTTTTGATTTGCTAACGTTCGACAGTAAATATATTCAGCTGGCTATATTCACAAAGAAACTTAAATATATTATTTTACAAGTATAAATATTTTTTCTCTAAAAGTTTAAATATTTTTTCTCTTGTCCATTTAAAAATTTGGAATAAAAAAATTTAAAAAATTCATTGAAAATTAGATTGTTTTTATCTCTTGATGATCTGTAGGTAAACATTTCACTATCTTCTGTTTTCTCATGCCACTTGGGTAAGAGTTCATTTGAACACTTGTAATAAATTTTAATTTAATTAGCTGTTTTCACTTTAAATTTCAAAAGAAAAATTTGTCATTGATAGTTTGATTAAATATTAAAAATCTATAAACCACCATTTATAGAACAAATATGAACTGAAATGATTAAAACATTCATACGATATAACGAGTTTTTATTAAGACAGAAATTATTAAAAATACTAATAAATATCAAAAAAGATACTAAGTTGTTTGTTGTTTCAACAATACATACTTTTGTAATATTTTAGAATGACATCAATCTAAGTGAGGAAGTTGTTTTGGAAATCGGTATCAATGATCTCCACAAGATTCCACAAAAGAGAAATACACCCTGAGCGATGTTTCTGTAGCCAAGCAGTCACAAAATTTCAACACCACTTCAAATTGCAGCCTTCAAGTATTGACAGTGCCCTTGATACCTCACACCAGACCCTCAAATCGCAAGCCATTGCTGCTAAAGATAATTTTGAAATATTTGCCAATAGTCTGGTACTACAGGTTGGTTAGGGATGGTTAGGGGTTGAGAAAATTGCCACTTAACTTGGCTCTCCGATGTCGGTATAAGGTGATGACAATAATGCTCTATGATAGAGTGATGCAGTTTGAAATGGAGCTTTGTGAATTAACTAAAGAATCTGTTTTGTTCTATATTAAAATCTGGTCAATTTAATTTGTCACATTAACATGTCTTATTACAAATTAAAGCCACAGTTATAAAATAAATAATAAAATATAATTATATTGTTATAAAATAAATAATAAATTTATATAAAATAGAAGAAAAACTATGGAGAATTGTTAGCACAAATCTATATTTATTTTATTTAATTGCAAAAATAAAATATTTTATTGGATTTTTATTTACTGAATGAGTTCTCACATTTTAATAAATATGTATTCAATATTTCCCAATGTCAAAAATTTTTCTTTAAGTGAATCAGTAAATAACAAATCTTAATATTTCCTTTTGGGGTGTGGTGAACCTATAAGTTTGGTTATTTCCAATAATCTTGGACTGCCTATCCATGCTGGTTTGGTCTGTCAGATACATTTCTACTTTTTGCCATCTTGTGATTTCTGTTTAGTCTTTTATTTTATTAGTTAGGGATATAAAGTAGTGTGAAGCAACACTACAAAACCTCCACAGGTGATGGCAAAATGATCTAACAAACGAAAACATCAAGGATAGGAAGACCAAAGTGATGGGAAATGATAAAACCACAAATAACAAATTATCTATTTTGCGCTACTTTCATATGCCTTAATTATAAATCTATTACAAATTAATAGTAATGTTATTGCCAGAACTGTAACTAAAATTTCAAAAAAAAAATAAGATTTAATTATAAATGTTAATAGTAGAAACAGTTGTTATAAAACTTCTCACAATTTTAAAAAGAAATCTATTTTTAATAGTCATTGTGCAATTCTTTTCAAGCATGTTATCCACTGGCACTGGAAAAAACCAAAAACAAAGAATACATTTGAAATTAATCGGTAATACCACCTTTGATTTTATTTGATGAAATATGTCACACGTTTTTGAACTAAAAAAACCAGCATACTGCAAATTACCTGTTCAATATAATTTATCCATCGTTATAATTTAATCCTTTTAACTACAGTGGGATCTCCTCCAGGTCCGATGTAGCCAAACAGAACGCCCAGCACGAGGAATATTACGAATGGAACGAAAATGCACGAGCACACTGCTATTTGTATGATGGAATATTTTCCACAACTCCACATGGCACCCATGGGAGCCCGATTTTTTATTATTTAGCCAAACAGAGAAATAACATCTGATCACTACTGTTTGACAAGGAAAATTTAATGGGAATTTTATTAAATTACTTTTCAATAAATGTTTCTGTTCAATTTTTTTACTACTTGGGTAAAAGTAGTTTGTAATATATATCTTTTTTTTTTTTAATTAATGATTTATTATATTTTTTATTGCAACTATTCAACTCTTTTATCAGTAATAACAACTTTAGAAATTAATCCTAACATTGATGATGCATGTTTTTATGAGGAAAGTGGTACATTTTATATTCAGCCAACAACAGTTTTATGTAATTCTTTTATTACGATTTTTAACAGTTTTGCTTTAAATTTACAGATGTGTAATGTGCATACCAATTACCAAATTTCAATCTGTATCAGTAATCGTACTGTAATTAAATTTCAGTAATACATTAAAAAATTTGTTTAATTAAAAAGCACAAGAAAAGTTTTTGGTTTTTAAATATAAATTTCGTCCTTAAGTTTACCATTTATAGTATAATTTGGGATGTCTAGAAATAATCATGCAACTGAGACCAATCAGATAATATACATTTTTTTATGTACAACATCAATAGCTTCAATTGTTAAGCTCTTTCTTACACTAAGCATCATAACAAATATCATGTCAACCTATTTTAAGGGCGTCTAACATCCTAAAACAGCAATTCCCTGCATATGCAGCATTCTTTGATAGCTATGCAACTGGTATTTACAACGTCCACTATAATATACGTCTTTTAACTTCTTACAGGCATTCTAGATTAATTTACATTATTTTTATGTTAAATTAAACATCTTACCATATTTATACTGTGATTAAAATTCAAACCGACTTTCCTGGAACTGTCATGATTCCATATTGTCTGGTTTATTATATTTACATTCATATGTACACATAGTAACCAGTAGTTTTTGACATTTCTAATGATCTATTTATTGTTGTAAACTTAATTAAAGCTCCTATAGTCATTATATTGCTATTTTGTTTATAATTTCAAGCAAATTTATTGTGATAATATGGTAAGACTCTTAACAACCTAGAATAGTCAATGATACCTGACTTCTGATCTTGACATAGATATACTTTTTTTACATCGATAATAAGGATCCACAGATAAAAATTACACTATCTCGGGTGTGTAGAAGTGGGCGTTTTCAAGTTGAGATTTTGGCTACCTAAATGCATCTTTATAAAATGAAATTATATGCATTGAATTGCTCTTTGTTTATAAAACTATTCCAATTCTTTATTCCCAATAAATATTCATTTGCTCCAATCATAAAAAAATGGAGGATGGATGAATTGACTTACTTTAAATAAAGACAGAGTTTGATATAATCACAATGGGCTTCCATAAATATTTTTTTTTTTCTCTCTTTAAATATATAATTATTGGCAGTATAATAGTTATTTACCTAGTATAAAAAAAATACTTAAAATTACAATGCCATTAAATATATTGGTTTCTTTATTAGTTTTTTAAATATATGTTTTATTTCCTTAAGACAATTTTTACATGTATAATAAACATTAATTCAAAAATACTTATTAAACTTTGTAATTTTTAGAACAAAGCAGACATATTTATGAGTCGTCTTCAAAAAAAACTAAATAAGCCAAACAAAAAAATTAGGACAAACATGTCAAATGACGCTAGCCTCATTTATTGTAGAAACCCCCACAATAATTTATTTACAGTCTCAGAAACTATAGACGTATGCATATAATCATTAATTATAATTAACACAAGATAAAATTAACTACATCAGTTCTGAATTTTACATATGACAAATTGTATTATTTGAGGCTTATAAAAAAAGAAGAAAATATAGCTAAAATTAATGAATTGTAAGATGAAAACTGATATTTAAATGTGTGATGTACAAATATTTCTCGCTAAAATAACGTTTTCTGGAAACTGTGCTAAGAATAGTATATACTTTCCATTTTTTTTATTTTTTTATTTTATCCCTTAAATATATCATAAACATATTCAAATCAAAAGCAAAAAAGGAAAAGTAATGTTGAAAAAATATAATACAACATAAAGTTCTCTGTACAAAAGACAATAAAGAAATTTAGAAGTGAGTTTTTTGTTTTTAATTAATAATTACACGATAAAAAAAAAATAATAATCTAGTGATTAAAGGACTAGATGTTTTTGTAGATAGTGTGGGTTTTACATAACTTAGAAAAATTATATATACAAAAAGTAAATAATCAAAACTATACAAAAAAATGGAAGTAAGTTCTGTTTAAAATAACCCAATTGAACATAGATAAAAATCCATAAATGACATATTTCTTTCCTTAAAGGTGTTGGCTGATCAGGAGACAGACGATGAACCCGAGGAATGCTTTGACTGGATGCATGATTTCACCGCTGCCTGTCACATAGATATCACTTTCTTGCAAGAACACAGTGTCAATGACATGAATTACACCGTTTGTACATTCAACGTCAGGACGGAACACATGAATCCATTCGTTGTTCCACTCAACGTAGTAGCCTGAAAACAGAAACGAACGTTTAAAATTCAATGACGACATAGGGAAAATGGTTTAAATACTCAAGTGTGCACAGTGCGTTTTAAAACCCACAGTGCAGACAGTTAAAACAACAAAAATTGTGTCCAATTGTATATCATTAATTTAGTCTCAATTCGTTTGCCATGATTTATTAGTACAATTAATATCAATATTTCCTTAATTGTTTAAAAAAAGAGTATAATTAATAACAATTATTGTTTTAGTAATAAACTAACTGAAACATAAATTGAGCAAAATTTTAGCAATAAATACTGCCTGAGCTCTTGCATAAAAAATACTTGGCCATTTCCAACAAACAACCCTGTCAGCAAAAGCTTACTATGAGAAGTACCAAATAAAACAATAAAATTATGCTCCACAATTGAACCTGATTGACGAAGTTTGGAACTATTATAAATTTATGATATTATAATAAATTATTATTGCTAAAAATAATTCTTTGTTACATTATGCAAAATTTTTTTTTGTAATTTATGTTTTACCATTTGAAATTAAAATCATAGCCCCTTTTTGTATCACTAGTTGACAATTTATTAAAAAATTCTCCTTATTTGATTTTTTCTGAATAATATTAGTTATTTGGACTTTTGTTTATTTTACTGATTCAGTTTTCAAGTATAGAAAAGATTTATAAGAAGATTCGTGTAATGTTTATTCAATATCTATTATGTTTTGTGGGACACAGATTTGTTATTGTGACATTGCAATGTACAATTACCAAGAAGGTTGAGCTCTTTGATGATGGTGGGCTGTTTGTGATTGGATGAAGGCCCTATCAGACAAAATTACCATTGTTTGGGTACCAGGTCACAAAGGGCAGAAGAGTAGCAACGAGATGTCGATAATTTGGTCATGGAAAGTTCAACAATGACACCTATCGACTCTGAACCATTTTTCAGCATACTACATTGTCAAAAACGTAAATCAGACAAATGGTAAAGAATAAATTCTCAGTTCAAAGTTTACCATTTCAGAATAGAGGCATGCAAGAAATTAATTAAAAAATCATCTCAGAACTACCTAAGATATGTTAGGATTAGAATAATAGTAGGACTGCTAACTCTGCTGACTTTGGAGACATATATATAAATTCGAAGTAGCAGAAACAAGCTTGTGAAGATTATTGCCAGAAAGAAGACGACACAGTGGAAAAATCTCTATTGGTGCAAAGGCATACAGGCTGAGATTCTTATTCTTGGGAGAGGAAAAGCCAAGTCTGAAGGATACATGAGAGCCCTTAAGAAAACTATGGAACCTGGAACTAGCCTTAGGCTTAATGAACAGCTCTAGATAAGAATGGAGAATGCACAATAAATCAATATTGATTGTGGTATTTAAGTCATAAATAGTCTGATTCCTTTTAACTGTAACTTTAACCCTGATGGCGGTCATTTCATCAGAAAAAAAAAAAACTTGTGAAAGGCATGTCTTCAAGAGCTGGGCAAAACAGAATGCCAATAACAGATAACCAGAACTGGATTAACATTTTTTCATGTCAAAATTGTCCTTCCATGTAGTTCATAGTAGTCAAGACATTCTGAACATAATAATTTCTCAACGAACTTCTAAAAAGAGATTATACGTAAATTTTTACATTTTCATAGTGCTCTTGAAATGTCTAAGACTCAGAATTTCACACAATAAGTTTGACAGAAAACTTCAGTTGGACAAATATGCCCTATAAATTAGGTATTGTTAGTCTTTCGTACATCGTCCTCCAAACAAACTTAAATAATATTTTGTATATCCTTACCAAAAAGTCATAAATTACTATTTAACATATTTCTTTTATAAAACATTTTTTCCCCCTGTAATATGCAATAATTCTCAATGTAGTTTGTGAGGAACCTGAAATTTGGTCATTACCGATCATTTTGGCCTGCATATCCTCAGTGGGTTGATCTGTGAAAATGCATTTTGGCATTTTGCCATCAGTGTTCTTGTGTGATTGAACAGCACACTGAAGATGGTGAAATGTGAGAAAAAGATGATGCATAAACATCCAACAGACCAACCCGCATACCAGCACAATGATTTGTAACAACCAAATTTATTGAAATATTAACCTAATTCTTTGTCACTTCAGGTCAAATTGTCAATTTTCAGCAAAACACTATCTGCTGGTAAGCAAAACCTTTCAGTGAACTTAATATTTATCATTGAATTGTCACCAGCATTTATTTTATCATTTGTTATTTGAGTACCTGGTTGAAAAATTGCTGAGCATGCAAAGAGTTACAACTGAAGCCACAGTGAAAGCTTTGGTATTCAACGTCGGACAGTATGCGTGCTCGTAAATAAGCTAGACACTGAAAAAGCCTACTGTACGTGGTTCTATTTGACCACTCACCATATTGGACAGTTCCATTGTCTCTCTCTGGCAAACAAATAATAATATAGTTCAGGTTGAAACATTTTAAATTTATAAAAGCATTTAGTGTTCTCTTGACTCGGTAAAAAAATCAAGTGGGTTTATTCAATTATTTTGCCTTTGACGGTCTGAGCAAAAGTTTTAATATGCAAATATATGAAAAAAAGAATAAATAAAAATAAAGAATAAAAATGAGCAGTATATTTTACTAACTTTTGTCACTCTCCTTGACTCGCAACTTGACAACATCTCTCACTGTCGGCAGCTGTCTTGCCTCGTGTGTTGTCAAATTTCTGAGATCCGCCATTGTGAAACGTTTATCAGCAACAACTAAATGTCTTTCTAGAATTTGTTTGGCCTGGAAAATAAATTTAAAAAAGTTAAAATGCTGACTTTAGCTAAAAGGATGAAATTTTATTAATTTATTATTATTATTTACTGTTCAAAATTTTAAATCTAAAGAAACACTAAAAAATATAAAATTATAAATTTAAACAGATAAATTATTGTCAAAACCGATTATAAAAATAATAATTATAAATTATAGGAAGTAATTGTGAGGAAGAACTTTCTACTATTCAAAATTATTGGGTTGTCCGGAAAATAATGCAGGATTTTGGTATTAAACAAAAAAAAAAGAAACTAGTTACTTTAAAGCAATGTTCTTTAATCAAAATAATTTCCCATACTCTCAATACATTTCTCCCAACGTGTTGGTAACTTATTAATTCCGTCTGAGTAGAATTCAGAATTTTTAGAATTGATAAAGTCAATAAATGCATTTTCCAGTTCCGTTTGATTTTTGAATATTATGTGTTGTAAGTAGTGGTCCAGGTGTCTAAAAAAATGGTAGTCAGTAGGCGAGAGGTCCGGAGAGTAGGGTGGGTGAGGCAAAGTTTCATAGCCAAGCTCCAATAATTTTTGTGACGTTACACGTGACACATGTGGTCGAGCGTTGTCATGCAACAAAATGGGCCCTTTCCGATTGACCAAAGAGGGCTTCATTACTGCCAATTTCTGATGCATGGTATTAATTTGGTTACAGTATGATTCAGCATTGATGGTTTCGCCAGGATTTAAGAAGCTGTAGTGTATTAAACCAAATGAAGCCCACCATACCGTAACCATTACCTTTTTTTGATGAGTTGGGGGCTTTGGAAAATGTATTGGAGCTTCTCCTTTGTCGAGCCACTGTCCAGAACGTCTAGTGTTATCGTAGAGAATCCACTTTTCGTCACATGTAACAATTCTGGCCAGAAATGGGTCATTTTTGTTTCGACAAAGAAGTGATGCACAAACATCAAAGCGCTGATTTTTTTGGCGATCGTTTAATGAGTGTGGAACCCAATTTTCGAGTTTTTTCACTTTTCCAATCGCCTTGAGGTGGTCAGCGACGGTCGTTTTACTGACTTTGAGTTGCTCTGCAAGTTCTCGAACAGTTGTTTTGGGGTTTTCTTCCACCACTGATCGCAGAACATCATCATTAAGAGAGGAAGGCCTTCCACGACCTTCTTCATCTTCAAGGCTGAAATCTCCCTCCCGAAATTTTTTAAACCACCTTTGCACAGTGCACTCATTAACACAACCCTCGCCCCAGACTTGGTTAATGTTTCTAGCCGTTTGGGCTCCGCTTCGGCCGAGTTTAAACTCGTAAAAGAAAATCGTACGAAATTCTCGCTTTGACATTATAAGGATGACTGAATTATTTCCAAGTAGCGGAATGCTACAGAGGTAAACAAACAATATCATTTGGAAGAGGATTAATAAGTGTTGACATTCATACAAATGAGTAATCCTGTAAACGTAAACAGAATATTTTATATAGATTTTTTTAAATGAAAACTTAAAATCCTGCATTATTTTCCGGACAACCCGATAATAATTTAACATTTCAAAAACACTAATAGTCAAAATTTAGCCAACTGGAAAACTCAAAAATAAAGAATTTTGGACAAAGTTTATTTTTCAATTTACATCTACTTTTTAAATATACAGGGTGAATCATTTTTTGATACACCATTGGAAAATCAACGTGGGTGCGTTTAAATCTGACTCGAGGCTTATTTCCTTTGATTAATACGTTAATAAAAGAAAGTGAGTCAATTTTCAGCGCACCATAAGAAAATCAACATTGGTGCATCTAATTATGACTCGGCACATTTTATTTTGTGTCTCGTATCAAAAAATAGGCGAGTCACTTTTCGACGCACCATTTGTTACCAATCAGTTTTAGTAGGTTGGAAGGAAAATAAAGAAAACCAATATTATTAAAACATTATTTAAACACAATGTAAAAATTTAAAAAATATTCTTTTCAAATTAATTTGATTACATTGTGTTTGAATAATGTTTAAATAATATTGGTTTTCTTTATTTTCCTTCCAATCTACTAAAACTAATTTGTAACGAATGGTGCGTTGAAAAGTGACTTGCCTATTTTTTTGTACTAGACTAACAAAATAAAATATGCTGAGTCATAATTACACGCACCAACCTATGGTGCACTGAAAATTGACTCACTTTCTTTTATTAACGTATTAATCAAAGGAAATAAGCCTCGAGTCAGATTTAAATGCACCTACGTTGATTTTCCAATGGTGCGTCAAAAATTGACTCACCCTGTATATGTAGGTAGTAATAATAATATAAGCATAGATATAATTGGATGGAGGATTAATTACATGATAAGCAAAGTCATTCATGAAAATTTTCTTATGAGCAGAAGGATATTTAGTCTCCATTTTTTTCCATGCGTAGTCCCTTGGTACGAAATATGTGAATCGCTTTGACATATCATCGAGCTGATCATTGAAGCCTTGGATTTTTCCCAGCAAGAAGGTTTTGCTGTAAAAATAAATAAATAAATAGCATAAAAATATTTGCATTTGTTTTCTTTATTGATTAATTTTGTTACTTGAGCATAGGATCTGTGGCCATTTTGCGACCAACTGTTGTAAAAGGGACACCGAGGACTTTATCAATGATGTGGATGATACCGTTGGTGGCTGCGATGTCAGGCTGGACAACAGTGGCATTGACTCCGCCGCCTTCTACTGTCAGGGTTCTGTTCGAGCCGCTTGTCACAACGTTGAAGTAGAGATTTTTCCTAAGAGCTAATGTGTTCACCTGAAACAACTGTAAGGTGACAAAACCAAACGGGGACAAAATAATAAAAAGGATGCAGATTAGGTAAAGGAGAAAGAAAAAGGTTGAAAAAAAAGGAGTCAGAACTTGGCTTTATAATATGTTCAGCTAAACAGTACTATTTTGTTCACATGCATTTTTTTACAGCATGTTATGGTGATGAAAATGATAACAATTTCCAATGATATGTATGAGTATGATTGCATCAAGTGTTAAACGTATAGTTTAAAACTAGCATGAATTAATATTTCATGCATTTAAAAATTATTGCAAGTGTGTAATATGAAAGGATGATCAAACATATTTACTCATAGAGATATTAGTAAAAAAAAATGTTCAATGGTTTGTTTTTTATATAATGGTAAAAATGCCAAGTAATTTGGAAATGAGAGAAAGCGGAATTATTTCAGGCAATGGATGGATTGTAATGGATCATGTTAGAAGTACCTCGAGTTGATTGCCCTCAATAATTCTGTCCAAGGGAAGTTTCTCTTCGACAAGATGCATGTGAAGGATTTCCCTAATCTTTCTTGTGTCGCGTAGAATGTTGTTCAACGAAGGGTCTTTCCAAGCTGCATTTGACGGCGCAAACAGTGTGAGCTCTCTCATCTGCGTCATCCTCTCCATAAGGTCTCCCCCAACATCACGAATCACTTCATAAAACTTGTACAACGGTCCATCTTCTCGATCCTACAACGAATTTCCCCATGAGTTCTCATTGTCTTCATGTGTCGAGAAATGAAACTACTTTGTGCTAGTGTTTTATTTTATTGACATTTAACTTTTTTACAAACAATTTTTGGAACTCAAAATAATACCAACAGATTTCTACCTGCACCGTTATTTTAAAAAATCTATTTATAGTCCATTTTATCTGTCAGTACTTACAATTCCCTGCACATGCAGACATGCGAACATCAACGACAGACATATGCAACAAAATAAATACATAAAAATATTGTCAAACTCGCTTAATAATTCAAAACTTAAGATTCATTTTGAATTTAATAAATTTTTAGACTTAGTTTACAGTTTTGAATTGTTGAAAATTGCCCCCTTGCCCAAGCGCCTGGAGAACTGAATACCCAATACCCAAACAAAACACACCACAGAAGCATTATATTAAAAACATGTGAAATACTAAACTCAACAGAAGAAAATGTATACAGAAAGCATGCATGTGCTGAAGAAGTTCATGAAGAAACTGAAGAACTGAAGATAGGGAAAGAAGAGAATCGTCACAGCTGAGAGTTAATGGAAAAGTGACAGACAGCACAAAGAAAAGAAAGAGATTTAGATGAAGAGTAAAGAAGGAAAGACCAAATGAGCAAAACAAATAAGATGAGAGCCACACCAGACTTAATTTACAATTTTTACTCACCTTAAAAGACTGGTTCCCAAATGAAGTGAGAGCGGAAACAAAAAATACAATTAAAAATAAAGTCGCAGACAGTAAAGGACCGAATTTTTATGCATTAACAAAATTTCCTTAGGGTCAGTCAACAAAAAATTTGATAGGTAAAATTTAAAACTGCGATAACTTCTTAATAATTAAAATTTTCCTTTTCAAATATTAAGAAGAAAATTATATTTGAACTAATTTTAATATTTAGCCAACTAAGAAAAATATGTTAATACTGGACGCTAAGTTTTTGGTATATGTCCCCTTATGAGCTTATAAAATGGAATTTTGTTTTGAACCATGAATCCAAATTATTTGAAATTAAATCTAAATTTGAAAATAGTAAGAAAAATGAAGTTCTGAAAATTTGGAAAACCATTTATATCCCTGGATAATTCAGCAAACCCAAATATAATAATGTACATTACAAGAGTATAATAATTTCAATTTTATTTTTCAGAATATAGTATGATTGTGGATGTGATTAAAGCCAACCATTAAATATCAAATATTACTGGAATTCATGAAAAATGAGCCAAATAGACCAAGAAGATTACCTGAAAACTTAGACACATGGAAAATATTGCACAGAATTAACCAATTATTTTTATGTCTACTTATCTATCTATGTATATTATAATAGAAAGTTTTAATTAATAATAAAGCATGTGCAATTTGTGTTTGTATGTCTGTTTTATAAATTATCCCGTAGTGCATATCTAAACTGTTATTTAACAAAATATTTAAACTAAAGTCACATTTATTTAAAATAGATATTAATCAAATCAAACGAGGTTTCATAGTCATATTTAGCCATAAAATAACATTATAAATTTATATTCACCTCCAAAAACTGAGAAATTGTTACATCCACAACCATGAGAGGACGATGGATGAGATGAATGACACCGTTACTGACGGGGATATTTCCTTTGACGATCTCAGCAAGAACAACCCCATCTGGATGATCCGAATCACCAACAATAGTGTGGCTCTTAACATATTCTACAAAAAGGAGGTTTTGTTAATTAAAGAATTATTACTTTTAAAAAAATTATAAGCGTACTTTGTGTGCGAAGGTTGTCCGTTTCTGTACTGAAAGAAACATTAACTTTTATCCTTCCCCAGGCTACTGTCTTGTATTGCTTGTTGTCCGGGGTTGGGTCTGTGAATAGTACTTGGTCTTCGATAACATGGCCGTCGATGGTAATTTCGTCTATCTTTTCTGGCCTTGGAGGAGGCTGAAATAAAAACCAATTTTTATTTAAAAAAATGACCGACCTATTTTTTATCACCCACCGATCCCAAATACGCAACACTTAAACAACACATGAAATCGACAGCATTGACCAGCAGAAGAAAATCAATGACTGGTCTGTGATTTTAAGCCATAAGACAAAGCAAGAAAATCCCAGTGCCGCTTGTTCAAAATAACCAGTTTGAATATTTACTACAAAAAGCGTTACACAAAACAAAAACGTGTCTGTGGTTACAATTTTGTTATATGACAGACTTAGTGACCAGAAGCGTTTTTCTTACCTGAAAAGAAAATCTACTATGATGCCTCTGAAAACACATGGACCTCTTTTAAAAAACATCATAACAAAAAACTTCATTTATAAGAATATGAAAAATGGATAAGCAAATGCTTCAATTAAATGATTAATTTCAAGATAAAACTATCTATGTATTACTTTTATTATTTTACGTTCACAAAAAGAAAAAAGTGAGAAGAAAGAAAAGAAAGGCAGCACAAAGCATAGTTAAATAATTATTTTAAAAAACCTCTAAATTTTACACTTAAACTTGTACATCAATCAATTATTTTAATTTAGGTTTTTAGACCCAACAAATTAAAGATTAACTAAGTAAAAAATTACAGGAAAGTTTTGCAAACATATATTAAAATTGATATGATAATCAAAAATAGCAAGACAGCTTTATCAAAAATATTAAATATATACATTGGAATAATGCTGAATTATTTCTAAAGATGTAAATGTTCTGAGCTGAAGTTATACAATTTTATTTGAAAAAAAAAAAAAAAAAAAGAATTACACAAAAATGACTTTTTCTTCCTTTCTTGAGGAGTTTTTTAATCAATTTAAAAATATTTATGAAGTTTTTAAGACAAAGTTTAAAGAATTTTTTCTCATTGAAAATGTAATCTCTTAAAAATAGTGATATTTTATTTATAAAATATGCAGTGAATGATATTTAATGATAGTGAATAATATGTGTTTATCTAGTGAGATAATTTAAGAAACAAATCTCTTTTTGATTTTTTTTTAATGAGAAGTTTTAAATATAAGACTGAGTAGCAATATACTTCAATAAAATCAAAGAATTCTAAGATTTTTAATTTTTGTGTAATATATATATATATATATATGTGCGTCTCCTCTCTCTCTCTCTCTCTCTCTCTCTCTCTCTCTCTCTCTCTCTCTCTCTCTCTCTCTCTCTCTCTGTTTGTTTGTATGTATGTGTATGTGTGTGTGATGAATTAAAAATACAAAAAACTAAAAAACCTAAAGGTTCCTTTAAAGAGACTACAAAGCTTTCTTAAGCGAGAGAAAAAAACTTTTCAGGAAAGCCACTCATAATACACAAAATAAGAAATTTAAAAACATAACATGATGAGTCTTTTTGGTGAGAAATATCATATTTATTTAAAATAATATATTTTCATAACATAAATGTAGTCTATAAATAAGGGTTGATAGAAGTTTTGTTTTTTGATTCAATTTCTGTATTTTTAAGGATCAAATAATAATAAAAATAATTAATTAATTAAACCAAATAATACTAAAAAATAATTAATTAAGTAAATTAAAAAACATAAGTAAATGTAAATATTATTTTTTGTATTTATTCAGTAAATGCTTAATAAACTATTATTGTTTATAATCATATGTAATTTAATTAATTTCATGTCTAGAGGAATGGCCAATCTGAAAAGTGAAAAAGGAAGGTATATAGAACTCTAAATCGATTTGTTCCCTTTGACATATTACACATATTTTGTAATGTAGCTAAGATGGTTTAAAGCAGATTTTGAAAAGTTAAATAAAAATTTGGTAAAATACCTTCGGTGAATAACCATGTCGATAATGCCTGAACCCCTGTGAAAATATTTGGAAGTGCCATTAGACGGCTGCGAAAGTTTTGTGACATAATCAGCGGTGGTTAAAAGCCCTTTGCTTAATTTCAATCACAATTTTGCTCTGTTCGAGACAATTTTTTAATATATTCTATATTAATTAATTATAACTTTACCTGAAAACCTTCATCAATGGGGATGAAAAAAGTGTGCTTTCCAGCTCTCTTATAGAGGTCTTCTTTGCCTGTATGTTTGACTCTTTGTCGGAATGACCTAAGGAAATAAAATTTATCATATATTTTCAACATTGAAGATACTATTTGCCTTTATTTACCTCAACCGGATATTTCCAAGACGTACATCTTCAGAACCTTCCAGGAAATCATATGCCGTTGGGTTGTATTTTGTGGTTTCCGGGCTGATGAAGCGTACAGGCTCTAACAATTTCTCAATCACATGCAGTACCTGAATTTAAAAAAAATTTAAATATGTATAAAATTCATATACAGGTCCATTGCCTTTACAGGTCAGAATATATCAAACTGATTGGCTCACTTGTTTTTTAGGATAGTTTAAGTAAGTGTTAGACTTTTCTGTGATAACTCTGGCATTGTTTAAGTATATCAGATCTGGATTGACTTTTGTCACCCAGATCGGTGGATTCCCTTGACCCATGGTGTTTACAGACGGGCCTAAATTACTTAGCGTCAAAGGCGAGTTTGCTGGAAATGACAATTTTTATGATATGATAGACGATAAGTAAAAGGTAAAACTTAAAAACATACCCATGTGATACAGTACAAGGTCTTGATCCTCGGTCCTTTTTGACACATCCTGAAATGCAGAGTTCAGTGGAGCAAACACGGTGATGTCTGAATACTTGAGTGTATTCATAGCAAATGGGTTATGCTCCAGCATCGAATAGAACTGCAAAAAGAAATCAGAATAATGTAAAAATTAATAACTATAATATATATATAAATCTCACATGTTCAATTATTATATAATAATAGTTACTTTATTGAGGCCATCACGGCATCTGACCTGTATTTACCAACCAAAATTCTGGGTTTTCCAGCACAGGAATTTAATTGGAAATTAATTTGGAAAAAGTGATTTTGATCATTCATCTTCAACATAATGATAATGTTAATTTGTTGAGCTTATTTTTAAACATTAGTGTAAAATAACACTGAAGCCAGAACATCAAATCATCCAATTGCTAATGTTGAATAATAAGAATATTTTGAAAAAAGTACTACAGACTACAAAGATGGTAATAGATGCACTTGTATTTATTATATATAGTACTAACAGTTGTGTGTCCCGTAGTGTGTTAAAGTGAATGTATTTATTAGCATGAATGTGCCATGTCAAATAATAAATCAAATAATTAAAATGAAGTTCTGGACTTGTTGAATTTATAATTTACACGACAAGCAAAGGGGGCAACTTTATTCATATGAACTGTTGTCAGTTTAGGACGTAATAAGGATTTAAATTTGAAGGAAGTAAATTAAATTAATTGTTTCTTCTTACAGGCAAGTAAACAAAAACTGATTATGTGTTTCAGTGAGGATGAAGGGTTTATGAAGTAGGGCTGGGCAGGCCAAAAATAAAATATTTCAAACGAACAAGTATGCTGATGTATTAGTCGGGGTGTGTAATATATTGCGCTCTTTAAGAGCTATGGTATCACCCGTTCTGTGCCTATAGCATACCGGTGAGTCCTATTTGATTAGTAGGCCTGATTTCATTGATTGAATCTTTTCTACAGTCACATTGCATGTCCCAAAGCACTTCATCCTGAAGGCAAGTGTGACACCCTACAATACGTATGTTGGTGTTTCCTCTGCTTCTTTGCAGAATCTGCATGTGCCGTGTCGGGTTATACCAATCTTCTTTAAATGTCCGTTTAGTTTGCAGCGTCCTGTTAAGAATCCTATTAGGATTCACAGTTTATTCCTGCTTCCTTTGACACATTCTGTTATTTCTTTTCTTCCAAAGTTTCTTAAGAGATTCTTGGATTGCCTGTGTCCAATGATTGAATTCCATTGTACCTTCATTTTCTTTTTGACCTTCGGTCTGAGATACTCATTAATAGTGTGGGTTCCTATGCCGCAGAAGGGTTCAGGTCCTGTCAGCTATGTAGCAGGTCCTTTCCTTGCAAGGGTGTCCGCTTTCTCGTTGCCTTCTACTCCCATGTGTCCTGGGACCCAGCAGGCTGACCTTGTTCTTTCTTTTAAAACGTAATATGTTTAATTTGGTTTTGCAGTTCAGCACCATCTTTGAACTAATGACATTTGAGCTTAGTGCTTTGATGGCTGCTTGGCTATCTGACATGTTTGTATTTTTCTGCATTTGTACTCTTTATTCAAGTTGAATTGTGTACATCTATCGATTGCGTAGACCTCAGCTTGGAAGATACTGGTGTATTTTCCCATGGGTTCTGAGTAGTTGGTTTCAGGGCTGAATACTCCTGCCCTTGTACCTTCTTGCATTCTAGATCTATCTATGTACCAAAAGCAGTTCTTAAAGGAGGTGTTTTCCTCTCGTTCCCATTCTTTTTCAATACATAAGTTTATTTGGAAGTTTTGATTAAATTCAAACATCCTGCTCATGTTGTCCCTTAGAGCCATTCATTATATTGTTGCTATCTCTCCATTTTAGCTTTATTCCTGTTGGAGGCTTCTCTTTAATAATACTAATAGATAATAGTTTTCTGTTCTGTCCTCATTATCATTTCGTGAAGGAGGATTAATCCCAGTATCTTTTCCAGCTTCCAGTACAGGTAATAATATTAAGCAATTAATGAAATTATGAATATGTTTTGTTGTTTTGAATATGTTTTTTCTTTCTTAACGACTGTAAAAATGGCACTCGACTTCACAATCAGAGAAACCTGATAGCTTATGATCATGGGGATCTGCAAGACCCGATCATGGATGAAATCTCTATCACCTGTCCATATACGAGTGCAAACGTTAATTTTAAAGGATCAGGGATTAATCGGGGATCCATTTTTGGAGAAGCAGGACTAGAATTAGAGGCACGTGCCCCCGGCGACGTCTTCATGGGAAATTGAGCTCCCTCCGGCTCTCCTGCCACGTGATCGGATATTAGCATAGGGCCGCTCTCTAATTAGAACCGAGGGTGGCCAAACCTCATTTTATACATCATTTCCCTCTGAACAAATAAGGGCCGTTTTCATTATTCTTGGCGTTTGCCACACGGTCTGTTTACCGGCTCACAATTGGCCTTTTAAGTTTAATTATCGGCTGTAGGTGACAACAATGTGGAACAATCGAACTTATTTCCTTCAAATCTTCCCCTGATAATACCCTTCATCCCTTGAAAATTTAATGATATTCATTGCCCTGCAAGCTCAAATTTGTATCTTTAATACTACACATACACTACACGCCGAAGTTTAAAAAAATACAAAATACAACAAGGTTGATCCGTTTTTGTACTATTGTACAAGTAGACCTGTACAGTATGTTTAACCTTTACGAAACTGATGTAAACATCAATAAAATATGAGGATTTCAACCCCACCTGACAAAAGTATTAATTAAAAAATGTAAAGAATTCCAAGCAGAAGATAAGCTAAAATATCTTCTAAAACCCAGAAGAAAAACTTCAAAAAGAAACTTTTGGCCAATTTGAGTGGAAGTGAGGAACTTGCAGGATATCCTCTCTCCGAACAACGTCAGCAGAAGCGTCAGCAGCATCACAGTAAATGTGCGTAAAAATCGACAAGAGTGCTTATCCTAATCTCTTTTAGTTGTTTTGTAAATTGTAACAATTGTATAATGGCGGAAGGGAAAATTTCCCAGATATAAGATATATTTGCATTTTCCGGAGGAAGTGAGGATGAATCAGGATCACACGGTATCCTAAACGTACATGATATAAAGAAATTACCAAGACTGCTTATCCTAAGCCCTTCCAGCTGTTTTGAATACAGTAACAATCGGATAATAGCTTAAGGAAAAAAATTCCCAAATTTAATGACACAAGGTATTTTTGAATTTCCCAGAGGAAGCGAGCATGTAACAGCATAACAGGATATCCTAAACCCAAAAGAAGTCAACAGTCTGATTCAGCTTCATAAGGAAATGCTAATGACGTAAAAAAAATCGACAAGGCTGTTTAGAGTTATTTTAAATACAAAATGTGACTAAGCAGTAAAATGTTTTAAGACGCATAAAATAAGAGCCGGTTGCTTTTTTAACATAGCACACCCGGGCAAACGTCTGTTTCAGCAACGTCAGCACATATGTGGGTTTTTTTCCCGAAGAGAGGAAATCACCTACAAAACACTTTTGAACGTTTTTGATCACGGATGAATATTATAAACAATTGTAAGTTTTAATCACAAGCCATTGATTGTGAATTGTCTTTAGAGGAGAAAAACTCTGATTTTATTGAATTTCACTGATGGTCAGGCTGCTGAGTGAAACATGGATGAGACTATAAGGTAATCTGATGATGCGAGATCGGATCTGAAATAAATGAATGAGACGTTTTTCATGACAAATTTCTCTAGTTTCATTATTGATTCGAACTTGTGTTTCGGGTTCCGCCAAAACATCAGATCGGGAATTCATCGAAGACTTTCATCCTCATATTCCTCATCTTGTACCGATTGCAGACATCAGTTAATATTTGTTCAGAAGTTTGCACAAATATATTCGGTAGTTCTTTTCAAACCATTAGATCTCCTAGTTAGTCAAAATAATTGGAATTTTACTATCGTCTTTTCATCATAATTTGAAGTTTTAATTATATCACTGCTTTACGGAATATAAAATACATCTTATTGCTTATTATGTAAATACAATAAATGAATGTTTTTGCTTATTTTTATATTCGATAAATAGGTTTTTAACTATTTTTTTAATATTTTACAATTATGCAATTTATCTTCTCAATTAATTTTTCTTCTTTAATATACAGTTTATTGCAAATGTATAACTTAAGTTTTAGTTTTTTTAGATGGACAAATTTATATTTTTTATTGCAAAATGTATTGTACATTGTTTGTTGGGCGTCAGCTCGTTTAAATAAATAAACAAAATGAGATTAAAAGAATGCAAGATTCACCTAAATGTTTTCTGGTGAATTTACGAAAACAATAGCCTGTTTCTTAATGCTTGTAATAGAATTACTTAATATATATACAAGTAAACGATGTACAAAGTACCGACACCAATTTTTTTCAGGTTCAATGAAGAAGGCTTTACTAATTCAAGAAGTGATATTCTACAGGCACAAATTTAAACAAGAACAAATCAGCTGTTCAGTTAGAGAGGAAAACCAACAAGCAAATAATTTATTGAATGGGTACCGCTTTATTTTCAACTGGTTCATTATTCGGAATCAGCAATCCATCTTTTATTACTCGTGAAACGTGAGGAAAGTGGGCCATATTGAAAAAATTATTTTCAATTGTGACGTTTTCTGGCCATGGAACAATTGTGTGAAATAAAGGAATATTAAGCGCATTACACACGTACAAATGGTACACTTACCAGCCAGTGCAATGGTACTAGTTTTTTGCCGGAATGTTGCCACTTTTTCTCGTTGGGTTTTATATTAGTGGTCCTGTATCCATCAATAGCGGCTCTAGTCTGTACTATGACATCTGACCCGTTACTTACAAAATCGAATCGATCAATGTCATGCACATTTTTCTACGTTCAGTAACATTGTGTTGAGCCGTACATTCAGTAATTTGTTCATCATCACGAGTGAAAAGTAAATCCTCTAACACTCTAAAGAAATGCAGGAGCAAAGTAATCTAACTTTTGGAAGTTTGCACTAATATTGACCTAAGACATTATAAAGACAGGTATTTTACAAATATTTGTATTATTAGTGACTGGTTCTGAAACGGAATTCCTTGTAGTTGAAACAATTTT